TTGGATTCTTAGAAAAATATGTACTTATATTTATTAAATTGGTAATATTCATAACCTTTTAAAAGGATTATGAAATAATATTTGGATAAACATGAGCAAATTTCTGGCAAAAAGTGCAGCGAATTGTTTGAAAACCATGCGTACTCTAATTTATGGTTGGTAACCTGAATTATATGTAAAGTGGAGTTCCGGGAACAATTTTCAACCTGAGAGGGTTTTCACTGAACTTCTCCCGGAAAAATTTCACTCGCTCTCTTCGTTCTTATAGGATATATGTTTATGGCTATAAAGCAACGCAAGGCAAATTTCATAATAACATACAATTACAATTAGTTTTATTCGGGGTGTATACGTAGTGTGTGACACTCTTTAATTTTGGAACCTTTTGACAAAAAAAAATAAGCTCTGTTTCAGTTGTATTAGTATGTATATCACTAATATGAATCAAGCTACATTATTCGTTTTGATTCACTTTTGATGAACGTTTTTTTTTGCAATAATTCTCAAAAGGCAAAAGTTTCTAAATAATTGAGGTGATTGTTCTTTAGAGTTTCCCATAGGCTGGCAGAATTTCGTTCCCTAAAAGAAATGTGATAAAACACACGACTGCTGCATCCATTTGATATTAAAAATATGTGACAACCTAGTAGTGCAGTATTTTTCTGGCATTCTTCATGATGAGATCCTTTTTTCGGGCTCCCTCAGGAGCATTATTATATTTCTGCAATAGAAATGTTTCATTTTTGTTCAAATTCTGCTCTTAAAAATCTTACCGTTGCAAGTTGAATTTTCCATCTCACAACGCTCCCCCCTCTCTAATGTTTCACGAGAAATATGGCGAGATTAAAGCAATATTTGCATGAGAAACCAAATCGGATTGGGCTTTCTCACTCCCACGGTCAGATATTTAAACCTCTAATCAGTTATTTTTGTAATCCAGATTTTTCATCCAAATAATCTCATAACACATTTCTTCAATTTTCCCCACCATTTATAATAATTATAGTAACAACTGCAATAACTGTGAAGGGAGTTCAACAAATGGTGATTGATTTATCCCAATCATCGCGTTGTTTGGGTGTCATTAACTCATTAATTCATAAAATCTCTGACCATCGATCACAAGCTTATTTCACCCCTATTCGAAGCATCATCTGAATGAGTTGGGGTTCCAATTCGCCACGTAAAGGCATGTTCTACTTAAGAGATTGGAAATCAGATTTCGTATATAACAGATTTACCCACTTAATTCGATTTAAATCCGTGACAATGCCTTTCCAGAAATCCTAAGGGTGTCGTTTATAGTGTCCATTCAGTCGCTTCGCTTTTGAAACGATTTTAACATAATGGGTCGTCATGCTAAGTTAAACCAATGACATTCTCATTTCTGCATTTTAAATATTTTTTTTATATTTTTTCCAAAGCACTAGAGAATAACAGTGGCTGAAAATGTACGAGTCTTAATTAGCGTTTAATTGTACTTTAGATGTGTGCACTTGGTATTTTTTTTAGTATTGCAGGCCTGAATTTTTGAAGAATGACCTCTCGAATACGGTAGTGTGTGCTCTGAAAAACCAATATTTCAAAGCAATAACCCTGAGTGTCCCATTTTTTTGTTCGGAAATTCTAAATGAAAAATCAAATAAGTGAAATCCTATTCTGACGTTGGCTTTTTTTCTGCGAAACTGGGAATGACCCTCTCCGAGCATAATCAGAGATTCATCTCATTATACTCTCCATCATGAAGCCGAAGCTGAGCACGAGCGCGCCCTCCGAATGAGTGTGCGTGCTTGAAAACATCTATTATCCCACCAATAAGGTTGTTTACATTTTCACAATTGCGAAAAACAAAAAAAAAACTCATACGAATATTTTATCGTATTCTGTTTTGCCATTACCGACGGATTTTTTTTTTCTTCCCAAGAGGTTGATATATAATTCACGTCGTGGCGAGGGTGGAAAACTGAGCGACTGGCTTTTTACCGTGTGTGGTTTTTACTCGGAACTTGACACAGGAAAAAAATTTCTATAGAGGTGTACTTAGAGATAGCTCAGAGTTCAACACGAGTTGTTCATTGTCGATTCAGTGTCCCAAATCCGAACCCTGTCGCATTTTCTCTTCTTTTTTTTGCATTTTCATAGTCCTTTTCTTTTCTTTCTTTTTCTTTTTTTCTACCATTTTTTTCTTCGTTCGGGTTTCGTTTTTGTGTCCGCTTCGTCGGCCAGCTGTCATGAAACGAGCCCAATAGCATGGCCCATTGATATTGGATGTTGGAGATGTTCTCAGAACAAGCATACCAAATGCGGGCACCTCATAGATGCGCATAGAATGCTGAGGAAAAAAAAACGATTAGCTGATTGGCTAAATAGCGGCTCAAGAAACATCTCACTACGGCGACCTTTTTAAAGTAATGGTGTCAAGAGCGGAGGGGAAACAAAAAATGAATTTTCTTTCAATTCCGGGTTGTGTTTTCTTCATTTCAATCTTCTGTGTCTATATTTTCACCTAAGTAATTTGTTTGGGTATTAACTTTATTTTGAAAGAGTTCCTCCAAATCCCTAGTGTCCTGAGAGGACTCCAATAGTTCGACTGTAGGACTCCGCTTCCTGTAAATAAGAAGCTGAATCACGTTAAGATCGAAGATTTAGCGCCAAAAAACCTATATAAGCCGCACTTGGAGACAGAGTGCCCTTAGATTTCTGATGTTCAACTCTGTTATAATATTTGGGCACTGTTTTTAATACTTATTATATACTGTATCAATATTCCGCAATTAAAACACTATAGTTGGAGATTTCATTAGCTAAGACGAATAATAAGTTGGTTCCTATAGAAACCTTTTCGTATTTTCAGTCAATAGGGCCTTTTCTGACTACTTGCAAGTCCTTGAATTTTTTTTTTGAATAATAGAGAATGAAAAAATAGAACATATTTTTTGCAATGCTGCCAATCAGGTGGCTCGTCATATTTTATGAATTTTTGGAAATTTCAATACGCAGTAAACAAATAATAATTAGAAAAAAAAAATAGTTTTTTGTTTAATAAAAATGAAAGGATGACATAATTTTTAAAAATAATCACGTAATAAGTAATTAAAAATTAACTGCATGTGGTATGACTTAAAAATTTTGGATATTCATTGAAATTTTCCGCTACATCGTTTTTAATGAATATTCTTTCAATTGGCTCATTTAATATGGCATATAATCCTTTCAAAACCAAACATGTGAGTGAAAATCCTTGCAAATCATCCAACAAGTATCCTTTCAAGACATCAAACTTCTATCCCTTTATTTTGCGAAAAAATAAATATTAAAATTATACTATAAAAATCGTCACTTTTCTTGGTTGAGCTTTTAATAAACGTGCATTTTGGCATTTATTCCTCCACGCTCGTTTTTTGATATTTTGCAAATATTGAAGAAGAGGAAGATTGGACATCATCGAAAGTGGTAAAATGTATCCCTTAGTTTTTTTTTCGCGTTCACTCAGATCGTCCGGCGCCGAGTATTTTTTCTTTGCAAGATTAAGAGAATGATTAATGATTTTTCTTCAATTCCAACAATGTTCTTCACTTGATGATCGGTTTTTTTGTTTTCCCGAAATGAAATTGAATTATAATAGTGAATGGGTAAGACAATTTTAAACCATTCATTAAAAATTGCAGGTAAAGGGTATTAAGAAATGTTATTCTTGAACTATTAATGTACGTAATGGATGAGTGACAGCTAGCATCATTTCTGAACTTTTAAATTATTTACTATAAATTCATCATTAACTTCCTCATTTCTCTCAACATCCTAACAAATTTAGATTTCATAAATGTTTTGTCATACTCATTTCCTGGGATTTTGCCAAAAGCTCAAATATTAACTAGTTTTTGCAATGTGACCAAGAATTTTCATTTCTCTGGGTTCAAGGTTTGATTAAATATGCTGTGGAAAGTGATAGAAATCACGAAAAAATGTTTTCGCAAAAAAAACGACTCAATTTTTATTTCAATTAATAAAAATCTAATTTTGATATGAATTATAATAATATTTTTCAGAAGAGAGAAATAAAGAAAATAGCTTTTTTAAGGAATATTCACAAGGCTACCATAATGAAAGATGGGAAATTTCCCATTGAAACCAGATTGATCGCTCGATGATTAATAACCTGGGAAGTCGCAATTTCCTGAAGGGGCAGCCGTTGACCCACATAGCTTTTCCTCGCATGGAACCATGAAGATCACATTGCACACACGACTATGCTAATCGTAGGGTTGCGTGCACACTCAACAATGGTTTCCATAGGTGATTCGTTTATTCACCGGAAGCCATCTAATTTCAAAAGCGCACCTGGACCTTGTGCTCATTGTACACTCAAAACCAAGTACAACGAAGCAAAAAGGTGTTTGGCCCAAAAAAATTATTCTCCTCAAATTCACCAAAGATATGAGTGGGTGGAGTCTGGCCTCCTATTTACACAGCATGCCTGTGGTTTAGCAATCATTAAAAAAATTTCTGCCAGCCGGCGGCAGTCATCCATTATTAAAGTATCTCATTGTTGAGAGAACGTTTCTCGAGCAAGTGCGATGTTCTATCCCTATCAACAAAACTTATTACAATCGGTGTCTCGTCGAAACCTATTAACGCATCATTTAATTGAGAGCTTATCCACTTTTTTCCTCTTTTTTGACCTACCGCAAAACTCTTTCCTCTGGATAATAAATAAAGAAGAAGGCGACTAAAAACTCGATAGTTCATTCATTTTTAATCTGTGGTTCAGTTGGCAAAAAATGCTACCGATTCGTCATTCCAGGCATTATTAATTTACGCAATCATTTTTTTTGGGACACTCATTTATGCTTGTTTTGATTTCAGACCTTTATTGTCGAATTTGACGTTCTATTTTTTCCTGGTGTTGAATTTCAGTTGGTTCTATTTTTTTCATCGGACTCGCACATTTCCTGTTTTCTTTTCATATTGCTATTCCAATTCCAGGGTGTAAAGGTGAAATGGCGTGCATCACATCGTCTGAACCGACTCAAAGGTCGTCGAGTGCCATTCCTTTCAAGAGGGAGAGACGTGAGAAAATTCATTTTGCTTGTTTGTTGTGCTGAGAAACAATTCTTTGAGAACTGTAGGCCTCGTGATTGACACGCAGCTCTCACTTGTATAGTTAAGCGGTTGCCTATATTACGTTGAATTGCGATTTTATAATTTTATTTTATTAAGTCATTATTTAAGGCTATTAATATTACGTAAATAAATGCGTAGTTATGTACATAGTTTCCCGAGAAATGTATCGCGTCACAGGCCAGCGGTCTTCATTATGTAATCGTGACTCATTAAATATTATAAGGGGTGGACACATTTAATTAATGCTTTTACTCAATTTCAAAGTTGGAATTCTAATCAAAATTTTTTAGGTCGCTCGAAAGCCCGTCGATGTTGGTTTGGTTGTATTTGGTTTTCACGGGTTTCGCTTTTGGGGAGCTCATCATCATCATCTAGGTTTGCAATTTCAACCGGATTAGGTTCATATAGCTTCAATTTTTTTAAGTCCGGAACCGGAAGAGCACATGACTGTGATGGATAGAATTACAAATATGCTCAACGAGAAGCCCATCAAAATGGGGAATATGCTCAAAGTGGCCAAGTAACGACACAGAGCAATTATTTTCTGCTAATTGCGTCATTTAAGATTTACGAACAACTCGACTATTGACGAGAAATTAACAATGTTTAATTGCGGTATTCTTCATTCAATTCTCGACTTGATTGCTGAAATGGCGACGACTGAAGTTAGCGTGATCATGTAAGTATTATAATTATAACTCTAATACTATAATAATGAATTGTTATTGTTTTTTGTTTGTGTACACATGAATGTGTGCGCAGGCTTTTTGGAAATGAATGGAATTCAAGACGTGGCCACAATAGTCGCAGAAATAGCGGTCAAAAAACAAGTACGACTGTCTTCGAATATAAACAACACGAAATTTCCCACGAATTGACCACACGTTGGGAAACAAATTGACTGCAAATTCACTATGGGGGGGGGTTTGTGATGGCAAAAATAGAGCAGGTCGCTGACATTAGCTCTTATTTATTTGTTTTTGGAAATTTTGCTAGTTGCACGATAATTAGTAATATGGTCGAGCGATTATGCGTTAGTAATGTGCATACATAAAATATGCGTTTCATTAGCCTATTGGACAAAGAGCCGAACAAATTCGATTTCAGTACTGGACATGGGGGGAAACGCGAAGGAAAAAGGCGTCATCGTCGAAACTCGTCGACTTCATTGAGTCATCGCGGAATTGGATACGGAACGGGATCGACTCGCTCGAAATGGGACATTGAGAGAACCGTTGAGGAGAAGCTCGCACGCGAAGAGCATCTGACATGGCTCCTCAACGCATTCAACGCTTATTTGGTATCATGGCCGCTGGGAGATAGCCTTACTACTGTAAACGACACCTCATTTATCACACCGGGAACTGTCAAGCTTATCGTCGAATCGAAACTCATCGGGATTTTAGAAACAAATTTGAGAAATGATAGTATTTTTGATGTCATCGAGCATATGGAGCTCTACCAGGTAAATCATTTGTCACTTGAATGAGTTTCCAAAACAAAAATTGTAGTCCTTCATGGAAACTGTTGCATGTATGGCTTCGATCACAGAATTCATCCCATATCTGATCAAGCCATATAAAGAGAACGCCAAATCGATCGCTAAGGAACTGATCCCAGCGTTCCGAAAAACCGTTGCCGGATATGACGATCGCTGGAAGAATCAAATGGGATCAGCTGACTTCCGCATGGCTGATTTTGTCGCAAAGGTCGAAACACTGTCTGTGGTAAGAATCTTTATTTTTTTAACAATAACATCATTATGAATTTGCAGTTCATAATAAATGCTGCTGAAAAGTATGAAAGCACTCTTCCTGAGGACAAGCGCATGACATTTGGAACACGTGAATCCGAGGAGGATAGGGTAAAAACCGTTTAGAAGGAAATCCGAAATTAACCATTTTAGAAAAGTATCATTAATGTTCTTGCTGGCGAAACTGATGCCGATGATGTTACTTATCGGGAGAACATGAAAGAGTTACAATTAACTACCTATAGGTTACAGATTTTTTTGTAGAATTTCAAGATTCATTGTTTAACCTTTAGATTTTATGGTGATTTTGGTAAATTGATTGTTCCATACTCGTTCAAGAAGGATTCTAAGAATATTAATCCATTCTCTCCGGCGTTACGAGATAGGTAAACCTTTCATAAATAATAGAGTTAGAAAAACATTTTTAAGAACTAAGAGAATTGCCAAAGAATTGGCTTCAATGGCTACTGCGCTACCGCTAAATGCGAGCAATAGCATTTTCATCACTGTCGATGAGTCGCGATGCGATATTATAAAAGTAAAGATTTTCAAAAATTTAAAAAAAAAGAAGAAATTTTTCAATTTAGGCACTTATTTCCGGTCCAGATGATACTCCATACGCGAATGGGCTCTTCGAATTCGACATCTTCTTTCCCACTGGCTATCCATACTCTCCGCCAAAATGCGCGTTTTTGACAACTGGCGCTGGAAATGTTCGATTCAATCCAAATTTATACAATGATGGTAAAATCTGCCTTTCGATTCTTGGAACTTGGGAGGGAAGACCGGAGGAGAAATGGAACGCTTATTGTTCGCTCATGCAGGTGTTGGTCAGCATTCAGGTATAAATCTCAGCTAATTTCTTCAAATTTCAATAATTTTTTTTCCAGGGTTTGATTTTTGTGAAAGATCCATATTTCAATGAGCCGGGATTTGAGAAATATCAAGGAACTGACAAAGGGCAAGATTATTCCCGAAAGTATAACATGCAAATCAAGCACGCAACATTGAATTATGCGATTAGGGAGCAAATGAGAAATCCGCCAGAATACTTTAAAGTATAATGAAAAAATACTTCAATTAAATTTACAGCATTAATTTTATTTTTGCAGGAAGTTATCCAAAAGCATATATGGCAGAAACGTCACGCTATAAGCAGTCAGGCGCAACAATGGCTGGATGATCTTCGTCGCGATATTGCCGACGAAAAACACTTGAAAAAGAAGGAGACTATCACGTTTGAAAGTGGATGTAATCCGTTCCAACAGGTTACTAAAAGCGTTCACTGGCAATATTTGAGAAAGGTTTTTAACAGGAGCGCATCATTCAGCAATTGATTCAAGAGATTGAGAAAATGGAGAACCCATTCGATCAAAGTAGTCAATTTTATTAATTTCTGACTAATATTCAATGAATTTCAGCACCAATAACTGACGTTTAAGATGACGCTCGACGCCTTCATGAACGGTTCATAAATATCGTGTGATTCGCCATATATAATTATGATGCAAGCATTTCCCATTTATACAATTACTCGCAATTATTTCTCAAATTCGCTTCAATCTTACAATTACATTTTATCACATAAATTGCTTCCAAAAAATGAAAGTGTGTTGATTTTGCGAAATGCGTTGCGAACCTTTTGGTTTCGAAGCACATTGTAATACAGGTCTTCACAACTTCTTTTGTATGCATAATCCTCCTTCTTCCCTTGATGATTGAAGAGAATTAGAATACAAGAAAGAAGCTAGGCAATAGTGAAAGATGAGGGAAAAAGGAACAAGTTTGACGGTATTGTGTAGTATGTGTGAGTGCGTGTTTGTGACTATTAGTGTGAATTTCAAAAGCACACTACAATTACTACCAATGAGGATGGTACATATCGATTCGAATGACCCAAGTCGTGTGTAATTGTGACTCACAGTTACAGTCTCTTGCCTGAACAACGCTGTAATTATTTCTTTTACAATTATAGATGGGATGGCCCTTTTTTCTGCCATCATCTGTAATGTGAGTCACTCTTTACACACCTTTCTCCCCCCAGTTTCATCTGGCCTTGCATCTGTATGTGTGCGAACCTCATCATGCCAAATTGGTCGTTTTGCCATTGCCATACATGATGCATGCAAAAACGATCTGATCGACTAGGCCCCGTGTATTTTTTCGTTTTTATTGAACAGCGCAATTTTGTCACTTTCACCCCCATTCCTCTAGATATCAATCTCATGAAATTGCAGATAGCCTCTTAAAGCAAATTTCACTCTAATTTACCCAATTTGGCTAGATGTTAGCCATCCATTTTGCCAGTTATATGATTCATATTCGCTTTTTGGTGTTGTAATATAATTTTAAGAGAGAGATATTCATGATAATGCGGTGAAGAAGCTTCTAGCTAGATCGAAATAAGATCATTTAACTGTTTGTTGTCAAATTCAATATTTCTTTTCACTTTTTTTTCTCGGTTCTTTTTTTAATTTTTGAATTGAAAAACATTTCAGCATACATCGAAATTCAAACATTTTTTCCAATCGATCTGGATGCTATAACATGAAAATAATTGTAATATATTCAATACTTGCCATAAATGTTTCAAACGCTTCCGCGAAGCCGATCCAATCTAATGATGTTCCCGCAGCGACTCAAGGTAAATGAAACGAACAGTTCCGAACATTAATATATCACAGCTGAGAAAGAGGAAGTGAATCAAATACTGTTTGGTGAGCGCGGAATTCTTACGGGAATATTTCGGATGATGGATCAGCAGCGGAAAATTCAGCCGGCGCCGCAGCAAGACACTGGTGATAGTGGAAAAATTGGTGAGACTTTCGATGAAAAATTTTCGAAACGCCGACTTCAGGGAAATTTGACTTCAAAAAAATTGTGGACTCTTTGGTGACAGGAGCTTCAAAAGGAGAACTCGGTGATCATCAGGTCGAACTTCCTGAGGTATTCAATTTATTCATTCATCTGTTATCTCGTCGATTTAATTTCAAGGTTCTTGGAATTTGCAATCGTCTTAGCTGTGGCGATATTTATAAAGCAATCGACAAATTCAGAAAGTCGGAAATGTTTAGTAATTTCCAAGTAATCAACAATCATATGACTTTTAGTGTAATAACTACTTCACTTTTAAGACCGCATTGACACTTGTTCAAGACCCGAATGGTTGGGAAACAATTGGAAAACTTTTGTCGAACCCGGAACTTATTTCACAGTTTACTGCTGGCACTGGAATGGAAGAATTGTTTGGAAGTGCGCTTGGAGAAATGGAGAAAACAAGCAATATCAGTAATATTTTTATAGGGTTTTATTAGGTTCAGAATATTGTGTTTACAGCAAAAAAGAAAAACTCAAAATTGATGCCCGAAGATGGAGATTTCGGAATCGATTTCAGTGAAGATGGAGAAGGAAATAATGTTACCGTAACTTCTGATAAGGATCCGAAGGTGGAATTCTCAATCGACACGAAATCAGGTGGAGGAGAGGATTATTATGGAGAAGTAGCTACTATACTATTATTATATAAAACATGCTTTATATAGGTTTCAAAAGCTGGAGATGATTCCGTAGAATATGAAACTGTAAATGAAACCCCGCCGTCAACAAAAATTACAAAATCGAATGGTCCTGATAAACCAGGTTAAAAAATAAGACGGGTTCAGTGACTTTAAAAAATCTTCTAGAAGAATTGCCAGAAATATCATTCTCAATTGATGAAGGGGATGATGAAAAGGAAGTACAATCGGTTGTCAAAGCGGAATTGCCGCCAACAAGCTCTAAAATTGTCAAGGTAAGTATTAATGGTAAAATGCAAATTTTGCAACAAAAATTCAAAAAACCGATTAAAAAAGCTATTAAAAAAACTTTAGAATCTCAATGCAAAAAAACGAATTTTTAAGTTTTTAAAGTATTACTCTAAAAATCTGCATAAGTTTAAAAAATCAATATGAAAATGCGAATAGAAAGAATATCGGAAAAACATAAATATCTAACCATTTATAATTCTTTCAAAATATTTTTTTTCTGTTTTCCTTAACAAAGTTGGTACCTACCTTATATCCAATAAAATCACATAGATATTAAAAAATTTTGTCTTGTTATTTTTGTATGATAATTTGCAAAAAAAAAAATGTGTATGCTGATTACTTAGTGACTCATAAAAAATATTTTTCCAAATGACAATATTTCCTACATATGAGTCAATATTTGAATTAAGAGGATTCACGCGGGAAGCACGGTCACCGAAAGCAGCACTTTGTATCCATCTAAATCAATTCAGCAAAGTACTGCCGCCCCCACCACTCGTCTAACAGTGAGTATTTCCGCGTGCAACAAACATCGTTCATTTTGAAAAATGACTGAGAAACCCAAAAAACAGATGCAGAAGCCTAGCAGCCGTTATGCAACACTTCGCAGATGGATGCGTGCCAATTCATTTGCTTTACACTGATCGCTCATTGAGCCCATTTCGAAAAAAAAACTGATAAACAACATATGGTGATTACGGTAATACTTGCAGACGACAACAACAACCAGAAGACCAGCAACGATTCGTATAACGACTACACGAGCCACGACCACTACGCGTAACTATAGAAAAGATAGCGACTATTACGTGATGTACTACGACGACGGTGACAAATTGTAAAATAGTTTTTGTTTTTCAACTTCACTTCTGAATTTTTCTATTTTTGCTTAAATATTTTATTTATATGTTGTGATATATGTATAAAGTATAAACGCTTTTTTTCAAACCAGTCGCAAAATTTTAACAAAGTCATTTCCAAGGGCAAAGGGCAACAGATGATGAGCGCATCTGTTCTAAATGTTTTGCAAAAAGAACGGATGTTTTTTTTTTTTGAAAAAAAAACATTAAAATGAGAAATGAAATTGCAGTTATATGATTTTCAGCCTTTAACAACTAATATTTTAAAAGGGTGGAATCTAGTTTGAATGAAAAAAAAAACATGCTTTAATTTATTGTTAAAATAAATTGGCCTGTTTCTAAGAAAAATATAATTATAAACTAGTATGACAAATTAATAGGATTTTTCAAGAAAACTACATATTCAGTTATTAGATCCTCGTTAACTCATTACTTGCAATTTGCGGTTAACTAAGACGAGGTGAACATTAGAAAGTACTTCAGCACCACACTTTATGATTAGAATTCCAAAGATTGTCTTAAGGTAATATGATTCGTTTGAACTCCGCTGACGTAATATTTTCGAACAAGACTACGCTCTTTCACGTTGCATCCTTCCGATACATAACCATATTCTGAAGAGTTGGATCTGCTGATACAACGAGTCTTAAACATTCCGCTTGTGAACAAATGGAAGATCAAACATCTTGCAATCAGGGATTGTTATATTGAACTGTTGTTTATTAAAACCAAGCGGAAACGATTAAATAAAAAATGTCAATTATATTAGAAAAAATTAATAAATAAAAATGTGAAATGTTGAAGTAACCGTGGAGTGGAAAATAATTATAAGCAAACTAAGCCAAAAGAGGATCATCACAATTATTCAAGAATGCACGTTCGAGGCCGTTGGAATAGGATATTATGGAATGTGAATGCGCCGAAATATTAGTTGGTTTTCTTATCAAGTTTTGAAAAAATTTCTCGAATTTGACCCTTCATACGATCGAGAATGTCATTATTGAATTGCGTCATATTACCAGCATAAGCATTCTAAAATTGATTAACATGGAATTGTATGAAGGTTGTCACTTACCTCATTTTGATTTGGCGTTACTCGCCGACAGAAACTTGAGAACAGCTCATCGTGGTCATTCTTTTTAAGCGAGGCATGCTCGCGCTCCAAATAAGCGTCATAGTAGTTCTTTACTAAAGAACGTGCAGCTGCCGCACTGTCAATGCACACTTTATTAATAATGTATTCCTGAATCTTAAAATTTATTCAAATTTTCTTTCGAATGTTCTTACATGGCACATTTGGTGGCATGAAATGAAATGGCAATGCTCATTTTGTTCAACCAACGTGTTCCTTTCGGGTCTTGTGAGCTTCAGCTCGTTTATAACTTCCTCCTCGTTTGGCGATATTTCAATCCGAAGGTTATTGCACACATTATTACAATCCCTTTGCACGTAACGATCCGTCAGGCTGAAAAACATCCGCTTTATGTTTTTTTTTGCAAAAATAAACGCGTGCACACCAAGGATCCGTGAGAAACGCTTTTTGGTAATTGGATTAGAGCCAACATCAATGAATCACGTACCTCAAGCAGTTAATGTTCCGCTCAAAGTTTTCAAGTTGTCCCAGGCATACATGCTTTTCTGGAGACCACGATGTCCTATATATATGGCATTCCTTACGATAACACGCATACTTTTGGCGTGTTGATTGGCAGAATAGTTTTAAATTTGCCTTGCTTTTCGTTATCGTCGGATCCAACGGTACTTCAAAATATTGAGTATCATATAGTCGTTGGAAGTTTAACTATAATAAAAAGCGGTATGACGAGCATTCAGAATAATTTCAGTTGTGCTTACATGAAATTCACTTTTCCACTGTGCTTCACAAACAACTTCACACGCGGGGCTGTTGGGTCGGAAGTCTTCAAAATAGCTTCGCCTTGCTCGGGACATAAGTGCTCCCCCAACGAAATAAGTTATCCAAACGATTGTTACCATCATCATATGCATTATGTATGCGATCTGAAAGAATGCATTGGGGGAGGAGCATTTTTCGCCGACGTAATGTCAGAGTTGCGATTAATCGGATGAATCTGGTTAATTTTGCAATATCGGTCCGACTTGGTGGAGATGGAGTAGACGGTAGGAAAACAATGCAAACGCATGGCAAAAAATAATTTTAAAATGGAGAGGACGGCGAGGATGGAGAAGGAGGTGATTGGGGGGGGGGTGGGGAAACGGATGGACCAGGAGGAGGACGACAGAAAAGATGAAACAAAACACCTTGAGCAGTACACGTGCTGTCGGGGGGAGGAGCAGTGACGATGTCATCGAACATCTGCTTAGAAAAAAAAAAGTTTTTTTCCGAACTTATCGCATCGGTCGTTATTACTCTTCGCAACATTTGGTCGTTGGTATCGCAGTTTGTACACGGCGGAAATATCAATTTTCCCAACTCCCACCAGCAAAGATAATGATGGATTGTCGGGAGTTTGACGGCTGGAGTTGCAACATTCAATTTGCAGTGGGAGAAGGTCAATTTCGATTTTGCAAAATAAACACTTTTCTTCCATTGAATGAAAATACATATGATTAATTGGTTGTTGAAACACTAATGATAAGAAGCTTCTTTCAACACATTTAATCACTACAAAATTCTTAAATATGGAAAAAAACAAACCGTGATAACTCTATTTGGGAATGTGTTCTATAAATGTCATTAAAATTTCATCATGCATAATTCCTGTGTCATTTTATAACAATAAAGACATTGTATCATATTTCTAAATTAAGGAACTCATTTGAAGTAAACAAAAATTTTAATCGACTCTGAATATAAGATGGTATGCTTAAATTTGGCATGATGATTTCTAATAATCTTGAGAACAACACGTTATTGAAAATTAAGAAAATTTTCGACACAATTAACCGGTTCCTAATAAAAGGTTAGGTTTCTATACATAGATAAATTTTAACAATATCTGGGTTGGATTTTTATTACTGCTGGAAATTAGTATTTATACGACCGAAATCTGTTTAAATAGTGTTAGCGATGATGATACCGGTGCAGAAAATATCATATGTATTCCAAATGATTTTTTAAATTGTATAAATTGGGCGTTGAAATACAAATAATGATTAGAAGCCTTTAAAAAAAACATAACTAATATGTATAAAACTTTTATGTAAGAATCAAAAACAAGATTTTGGCGTTAATACTTAAAAGAACTTCATCTTTTGAAAAATAGCAATATTGAAACATTTTGAACGTGTCTAATATCTATGGAAAACATTGAATTCGTCCTAAGAATTTTAGTACATTCAGCTTAACTGATCCTTCATTATCTAAACATATTACAATTTTGGGGGAAATTTACGGACAAATGATTCTTTTTTTTTACATTTTCTCCCTTTTTTCATTTATCAAGGTAATGATATATTAAATATAAAAAGTGTTTTTGCTGGAAAAGATGAGAAAACAAGCCCTGCACAAATGTCGGATGTAAAAGGTTCAGCGTATGGTCGCATGTAATCATTTTCCAGTAATGTCCTACTTTCTGAGAAATTTTATGTTTTTTTCCGTGTGATTCAGTGTGATTCACACAATTTTAATTCGTGAAAACTATCGATATTCAGTTTTTTTGCATACGAGGCAACAGTTTTCAAGATGTTACGACACGAAAATAAAATTTAATATTGATTCGAACGATAATATATTTTTTGTTGATCCGATATGTGAACCCCAGACAAGCTCTGATAACGCCCCCGACTTTTCTCGAAAGTCTAATAAAGATTTGAATCACAAAAATGTCTGCAAAACACAATTTTCTCATTTTGAGAAGAATATTAATTTTATTAATTGATCCAGACAATAAGACAGTTATATTACACAATAGTTATTGAAACAACAATAAAATTCATTTATAAAATCAAATTCAAACATTGACATTAAAAAAATTGTTTCTCTATCTGATGTTTTCTAAATCAGGCGTCACGTATGTTGTATGGAAATCGTGTAAAAAAACATTAAGAATTGCTTGCTTCGTCTTCTGAACAACCAATGTACAACTCTTGAACACATTATTAATTCATTGATAAAAAGTTTGCTCTTCCATATTGTGTATGTTAGAAAAGAGCAGATAGTTAATCCATATGAGAGCTGTCATTTTTAAAATAGTGATACACCAAATGCGTACTCTGACGAATATTATGGAGTCCAACTCAAAAAGAAGTGAAAATTGAGATTTGATAATAATTTGTGTTAACTTTTAAAATTCTTCTTGATAAAAATGACAAGTACTTGGAACATTTTTATGATGAATGCGAGTTAGCACATTTCTCGGTACTATCCTTACAATTTTGATGCAGTTAGAATTGATGGGGACAAAATTACGATTACGAATGAATTTGGCTCTAGCACTCAGGTGATAACGCATTTCATTTATTAGTGTCTCCTCAAATTCTCAAGCAACCTTTTAGTTGAGCATCGTTATCGTATCGTTCCTGAATTATTATTTCAGATATTAAACGATTCTAGATTGTAGATTTATTTTTTGATGATTCAATTCATTTAATTGCAGATTAGAAACAAACAAAGAATTCGCCCGAAAGTTAACAATGAAGAGCATAAGGTTTGAAATTCTAATTTCTTTTTAATTAGTGTAATTTTTGAGAATAAAATATTCTGTCTGTGATCTTTTTGAACTCTCCTATCAAATATTGAAATCAAAGCATTATTCTGTCTATAACAACAATCAGCTAGTTATCACTACGAATGAGACTCTTCGGAAATAGTCATCAGTACAAATATTTGTTCTTCTCATTTTCAAATTTGCAGAAATTTCATTTAAATCGAATGAATTTAGATTATCAGTTTTATTAGAAATATTTTTCGATAAAAAAGGTAATTTATGTCAAGATATATAATAATAAATTAGTTAAAATGATCCAGTAAGAAAATAGCTGGGTACAGATCATAAGTTTTATACAAATCATACGCGCTATGTATAGTTTTCAAAAAAAATTATCTTTCCCATCCCTCTTTTTTGAAAATACAAACTACACGAGTAGTTAGTAGTGAAAAATCAATGAGTTCAATATAACAAATGCTGATAACACGAGCCGAAACTATGAAAAACGTCAGTGTTTGTGTACCGACAAAATACAGATATGCAAATTTTTCCGGTGGCAAAGTTCTATTGAAAAAAAAACATACAAGGCACAAAATTCTCGCTGGTATATAATACCGCCGAAAAATGAGAGTGAGCTGTGAGAGTTTCACTTTTTACTTTTGTTTCAACTAGACACTATTTTACAGTATAACATTTTATTTTTTAAAATTCTGTTTTATTTTCAGGCGTCGTGAAACCTACTACTATGAAGGTTCATTCGGACAAAAATTTCTCCTTGGATACAGCCATTGAAAGGAAGCCAACGTCGAAGAAGGGATCGGGATGGGATGTGGTATAATATTCAAAAAGAAATGATCCAATCATTTTGATTTTCAATTTTCTAGTTTCGTTATTCCGATTGGAAAGATTGGTTGCTTTTTTGCGGTGGTATTATTCTCAGTATTCTCAGTGGTGCACTCATGCCATTTAACAGTCTTATATTTGAAGGTAAAATTGTAATATTCATATTTACCCCCAAATTCAAAATATTAAGGAATTACAAATGTGCTGATGGAAGGAGAAGCTCAGTATCAGAATGGAACATTTGATCTGCCTTGGTTTAGCTCAGAGATTTCGTATTATTGCTTGAACTATTTTTATCTAGGAGTAGCCCTTTTTATTTGCTCCTATTGCTCAGTGAGAAATCAAACTCCGAAAAAATTAATGATATAACATATAGAATGCATGTTTCTATACCATGTGCGAACGAAGAATTCATACGATTCGAAAACATTATCTCCGCTCTGTTCTTCGGCAAGATGCCCGCTGGTTTGACAGCCAAACAACAGGAGGTTTAACGCAAAAAATGAGCAGGTATGAATTAATTTTTTCTTTTTTTTTAATGCATTTTTTTAGTGGAATTGAAAAGATCAAGGATGGTATTGGAGACAAAGTCGGTGTCATTGTTTCAGGAGTAGCAACGTTTGTAAGCGGTGTTTCGTTAGGTTTCTATATGTGGTAAGAAACCCAGGCCAGGCAAATTCTCCAATCTTTAAACTTTTAGCTGGCAATTAACATTATTGATTCTGGTCACGGTTCCCCCTCAATTAATTTCCATGTATCTGTCAGCAAATGTTTGTCATTAATTCAATATCAACTGCATCAATTTTAATTCCAGTATTTATCTCGAGCCACTAAACATGAAATGAGTGCTTATAACAGTGCGGGTGGAATGGCGAACGAGGTAATTTCTGGAATCCGAACCGTTATGGCATTCAACGCACAGCCATTTGAAATAAACAGGTAATTTTGATAAATTTCGGAATAAGGGGGAATGCAATAAAATAATTTCTAGATACTCACAGAAATTGGATGAAGCTCGACGAATGGGAATACGTAAAGCAGTGGTTTTGGGAATTTGTAGCTCTGTCCCTCTGGTTTTAATTTTTGGTGCAATGGCTGTCGCATTTTGGTAAGAGCCAAATGATTTACAATTAAACTTTTGTGTTGAGAAAGCATCAGTTGCATGTGTTAATACGAAAATTTCTTCTTGATTTGACCGGTTTTATTCCCACATGAGTTAAAATATTCATCTAAAGGTATGGAGCAACGCTTGTTGCCGCTGGAGTTGTCAGCGCTGGCTCAATTTTTGGAGTTTTCTGGGCGGTTCTAATTGGAACTCGTCGTGTTGGTGAAGCAGCACCCCATATGGGAGCCATCACTGGAGCACGACTTGCTCTTCGTGAAATATTCACTATTATTGATCACGTAAGATTACCGACGAAAGATGATTAAGAATTCAAGTTGATTAAAGGTGCCGGAAATTGATTGCATGAATCCGCACGGAAGAAGGCCGGAAGAGATTGAAGGAAAGTTGGTGTTCGAAAACATCGAATTCACATATCCATCAAGACCTGATGTCAAAATTCTGAAAGGTGTCAGTTTTGAAGTGAACCCTGGTGAAACTGTGGCACTTGTTGGTCATTCCGGATGCGGAAAATCCACAAGTATTGGCCTACTTATGAGATTCTACGAGCAACAAGCTGGTGTGGTATGTGGAAGCAATTGGAAGGCATGTTCAAACGGAATTTAGATAAAACTTGATGGAATTCCAATTCGTGACTACAATATTCAATGGTTGCGTGAAACAATTGGAATTGTCCAACAGGAATCGATCATCTTTGTAGCGACAGTTGCCGAAAATATCAGGTAAGATCTATTATATTTTTTGTCTGAATAAATATAAGCTTCTGTCAGAATGGGAGACGAGAAAATTACTGATGATGACATTTTGAATGCCTGTCAAATGGCTAATGCTCATGAATTCATCACCAAACTTAGTGATGTAACTATTCTATTATCATAATACTTCTATAAACTGTTATAATTAAGGGGTATGACACAGTTATTGGTGCTGGAGCGGTTCAACTTTCAGGCGGACAAAAACAGAGAATTGCGATTGCCAGAGCTCTTGTTAGGTAGATGGCCTTAAATAAAACCTGTGAATTAGTTGCAAATCATTAGAAATCCAAAAATTCTTCTTCTTGATGAAGCAACTAGCGCATTGGATACAGAAAGCGAGCGAATGGTGCAAGCAGCCCTTGATAAGGTGATTAAAATTATTGATATGACTGTAATTCTGTTTTATCAAGGCCTCGAAAGGAAGAACTACATTATGCATTGCTCACCGACTGAGCACTGTGCGAAATGCCAGCAAGATTCTTGTCTTTGACCAAGGACTTATTGTTGAGCAAGGTATTGTTGAAATATAGACGGAATGTAACGTGCCGAATTGACAGGATCTCATCATGAATTAATGGAACTCAATGGAATCTATCGATCGATGGTGAAAGCACAGGAAATTGAGCAGGCCCAGGAAGATACGACACTTGATGGTGTGTGCTTCTGCAATTTTGCAGCAAATCGCCGTCCTCTAGGCTAGTGCTAGAGCACCGAACGACATGAAATATGAAACGAGAGCACAATTGAATTTGATTTCAGATGGGGAGGATGAAGATGTTCATATGCTATCACACCGCGACGCCGTCACGTCAGATGAAGAGCGTGAAAAGAATGAGAGTCTGGCACGGGACTCGAACCGATTACGACAGAGTATGATCAGCACCGAATCGCAAGTGCCTGAATGGGAAATCGAGAGCGCCAGAGAAGAAATGATTGATGAAGGTGGAATGGAAGCTTCACTTATTGATATTTTCAAATACGCCAGACCGGTAAGAAATCATCACGAAAACATGGTAATTGATTATTCCAACTAGGAAATGAAAATGGTTTTCATTGCGGTAGCTTTAACAATTGTGCGGGGATTAACATGGCCGGTATTTTCAATTATTTACGGACGACTTTTCAAAGTAATATCTTTCCAAAACATTGCCAATACATCGAAATTTTTGAGATCTTGTCAAATGGAGGAGACGACCTGTCGTCGCGAGCCCTGTTAAACTCACTATGGTTCCTTCTTCTTGCAATTGTTTCAGGACTCAGCACTTATTTCTCGGGATCGCTTCTTGGAAAATGTGGTGAGACAATGAGTGGAAGATTGAGAATGGATGTGTTTAGAGTGAGTAGATAGTTAGTATTTCAATCCAGTTTGTCAATTATAGAATATCATGCAACAAGACGCTAGTTATTTCGATGATCCAAAGCATAATGTCGGTACATTGACATCAAGACTTGCCACTGATGCGCCAAATGTCCAAGCGGTATATTCACACTTCTCTTCTTTATTCTTATTCCAAATTTAGGCTATTGACCAACGATTGGCTGAAGTTCTGACAGGTCTGACATCGCTGTTCTGTGGTGTTGCTGTGGCGTTCTACTTTGGATGGAACATGGCTCCAATTGGATTAGCTACCGCTCTTCTTCTTGTCATTATGCAAAGTTCAGTCGCACAATATTTGAAGTTCCGCGGGCAAGCTGATATGGACTCGGCGATAGAAGCATCTAGAGTAAGATTAAACAACTATTTAACCTGCAATGATTTCTAATAATAATAATCTTCAGATTGTGACTGAATCGATATCCAACTGGAAGACAATTCAAGCTTTAACTAAGCAAGAGTACATGTTCGAAGCATTCCGCGCGGCATCCGTCAACCCACACAGACGAGCAATTATCAGAGGTACATCATTGTTTTTCACCATTGTAACCGATTTATTTGTCTAGGTCTTTGGCAATCACTCTCTTATGCACTCTCGGGAAGCTTCGTTCTTTTCAATTTTGCAATTGCTTACATGTTTGGACATTGGCTCATCAGTAACAATTGGAGTACCCCCTTCACCGTTTTCCAGTAACTGAATTTATTTCTGAGCAGTTAATTGAATGAAAATTTCTAGGGTTATCGAAGCATTGAATATGGCTTCGATGAGCGTTATGATGGCGGCGTCTTACTTCCCAGAATACGTGAGAGCAAGAATTTCGGCTGGTATCATGTTCACAATGATTCGCCAGAAATCAATTATTGACAATCGCGGTATCACTGGAGACACTCCCGTTAGCATTTATGAAAAATCATAGATCTCAAACGAATTTTTCTTTTCAGGAAATCAAGGGAAATATCTTCATGCGCGGAGTGTATTTCGCATATCCAAATCGAAAACGCGCCCTTGTTCTCGACGGATTTAATATGGCTGCCAACTTTGGTCAAACTGTTGCATTAGTTGGTCCATCGGGTTGTGGCAAAAGTACCACAATTCAGTTAATTGAACGTTACTACGATGCTTTATGCGGAACTGTGGTATGTGAAAATAAATATAACCAGCAATGCAATCGTAATTTCACAGAAAATCGATGACCATGATATTCGAGACATTTCTGTAAAGCATCTCCGTGACAATATTGCCCTTGTTGGGCAAGAACCAACATTGTTCAATTTAACAATAAGGTATATTCCATTATATTTAATTAAGTAATATTTTTATTAATTTGAATTTTTCAGGGAAAACATAACATACGGCTTGGAGAACATACCTCAGGAAAGAGTTGAACAGGCAGCGATTCTTGCCAACATTCATACATTCATTGTCGGTCTCCCGGAAGGCTATAATACAAACGTAGGACCAAACGGCGGTCGACTTTCTGGAGGTCAAAAACAGAGAATCTCAATTGCCAGAGCTATTGTTCGGTAAGCAATATTGAGAATATCCGTTGTAAATTTTCAATTTCAGAAATCCCAAAATTCTACTACTTGACGAAGCGACAAGCGCATTGGACACCGAATCCGAGAAAATAGTTCAGGAAGCTCTTGATAAGGCGAGACTTGGAAGAACGTGTCTTGTTATTGCTCATCGATTATCAACTATTCAAGTGAGGAAGCTTGACATTCTAAACTTAATAATTGTTTTTTCAATTTTGAGAACGCTGACAAAATCATTGTGGTCAAAAATGGCAAAGTAATCGAGGAAGGAACGCATCAAACTCTTCTTGCACGACGCGGGCTTTATTTCCGTCTTGTCGAGAAACAATCGAATTAAATTCAGACATAAATTATATAATATTGATGACATTGGCATAAATTATAACACCTGTTGTAAAACAATGTTTTGGATTGCTAGTCACAATTCACAAAAAATGAGTGCTTCATTTGCATTAGCGGATTTCCATGAATAATTGTCAGAGCTGTAATACAATAATGGTATGTGGTTTATGTCGAAAATATTAAAAAATTTGAAAGGGGGAATGTTTGAATTTTATCGTGAAATCTCTAGGTCCTCCATTTTGATCATCTTCTAGCTGCACTATGAAGGAAATTTCGAAAGAATTTTTTGCTCATAAAATTATTGCAAAATTTGCCGAGCCGGCATGTTAAAAATCTTGAGTTTTTGAATCTTCAGTATTCAAACAGATCAAACTATTTGGAATCTGGGAAAGACTAAACTATAAATTCTAGCTAGTGTCAATACGTGTTTGACAAGCTTAAATTTACAACCATTTTTCTTACGCTAAAACATCATGAACTCTGCAGCGAAATTATTCAATACACTTTCCTTCCCGAATGCTATCAGATTCTCAACATGTTATTTATTAATAAATTAGAAATTAATCAGAAAGACACAACAACAAAAAAGTCGAGACCGAACGGATAAAAAGGGTACAACGAAGTCTCTAAAAAATTCGAGCCACGACAAGCGCAGTAGAGAACTCTTTTCGTTTTGGAAACTTTGGAACCCTCTGGTACAATTTTTGGAATTTGGCTTGTGCATCTTTTCTTATTTCCTAAATAAAATTGTTGAGAATTTATCAATCACATTTGCAAACCTTATTATCTGAGCAAAGATCAACACAGATCATTCTCTCAACATCACTCGATCTGTCGTTTGGGTCCCTGCTGTGAAGTCTCCAAAGGATTCCTCGTATAATATCCAACGTTTCGCATTTCAAGAAGGGTCTCATACGGAACCAAGCGGCCTTTGCCAACTTGAAATTAAATTTGCTCTTCTCCAGATAATTCAAATCGCACGAAGCGAGCATTCTAAGAGCATAATTGGGGTTCTTCTCGAATGCGAGATCATATCGTGCCATTAATGTCAAATTGTAACCAAGTTCCAGCCGTGTATAATATCCGTTGTTGCGGTTGTCACCTTTGCGGGATATTTGATCTGGGTTGATCAGCTGAAATAGTCTATATAATTAAGATGGTAATAAATAAAATAATTACAGATAGAATGTCGAAAATCCACTTTGGAATCAATCTTCGTTTTTCCGTCGATTTTTCAGGAAGAATTTTCAAAGTCTTGCTCATGTTACCCAGACATTTCATTAGCGGTGTAACTGCTTCAAGAACTGCGAGTCTGAAAATAAAGAGTCACGATTGTTTAACTTGAATTTAATACTCATTTTGAAAGTCCTTTCGTGATCCGTTGCAAACCGTTGTTATGACACTTACAATATCATTGATGAGAAGTGGAACTCTTCCTGCAATTAATATTTTGATTCTTAAATTATTACCACTTTGCAGCAACCTGGCTTCATGTAGGAAGGACGGGTAGTTATTGACAGAGGAAGAAGATCCGTAAAAAGTTTAATATGCTCCATATTATTATGCTGTATTTTTTCCTCATCCAACATCATCAAAATGGCTCTGGTCATTTTGTAGAGTATATCGGAATGCGGCAAAATCATAAAAACAACAACCGATACTACCTGAATATGAAATCTTTTTTTTTGGTTTTAGACGCAAAAAAAATATTGCCGATTTTCGTACGATATTCTCACCTCATAAAATTCGCGCAAAGCGCATGAGAAATCATCTTTGAAAATTAGATCAAAGTTTCGAGCGTAATTGTTCATACAATTGGCAAGAAACTGTTTGTCGAAACTCGAAAGAAGCGATTTGAAATCATTTCGAAAGTCGATGTATCCTGTTGGCTCAAACAATTTCGCATCAACTGTATAAATTGAATATTGCGAACTAATTTGCAAGTATTGTCGATAAGATGGTCCGAGTGCGTGAAACGTAATCGCGTATGGCTCATATGCTTTGATTCCGAATCTTATAAGAGTTGCGAATGCTGTGCCAAAAAGAATTTGACCACTCGATTGATCGTAAGCTAGAATTTTGCGGATGAGCATCATAAGGCCCTTGTATGACTTCATAAACTGGAAAACCATTGCCATAACTGGAAGTGTAATTCTTCTGAACTTGATGGCGTCAAATCTTCCTTCTGAAATCCATGATTATGACGCTTGTTCATTTTTTAAGACGTACTTTCGTTAAAACACATCCATTTGATGATTCGCTTCAGCAGCCTCTTTTTTTCGATGAGTTTTCCTTCGAGGCAATGTCGCATCATCATTATTCTCTGTTCAAAGCTGAATGATGGATTCTCGATTCGATAGTTGCACAATATGAAGTTGAGAAGTTTTTCTTGATCCGGATAGAAATCGCAATCATTATTTTTTGGCAGTCCAAATAAATGGTCGACCTAAATTATGCAAATAATATTCAAGTCACTTTTGAATATGTTTACCGTACACTTGCAGCATTTGCCGCCCTTACAGCCCTGCAATATATAAACACGTGTAAGCGCTGACCAGAAATGTAACATCTTACCGTATATCTGTTGTCCAAGCTCATTTGGCGTGGAAGACGGACTGGAAGTCCAAGTGTATCCTAAACCAAACAAAAATAAGTGTCAAATAAAAAAGCAAGAGTGAGAATCGTTTATCATCCGCCATATGTTGCCCGTCCAATGTGTTCGCGTGACATGCCAATTAGATAGCTTTTGTTTAAATTCAAAAACTATTGTTTGAGATTAACAAAAGGTTTTTATAAAATTTGAAATTCAAACCGAATTGGTTGCACAACTAAACTAAACTGGGAGAAATCTAATATAGGAGCTAATATAGGGTTTCTGCAAATTTAGAAATTAAAGAGAATGAGGGTATAGATAAAGTTTCGAGGAAGCGATGACGAAAATGTTCAGGGACACAACAATTACATGTTTTTTATACATTATGTTTAAAAAAAACTGAATGAAAACTTGGGCTGTCATCTTCAAAAATACAAAATTTTCAATCCTAAAATCGCGAAGAGATGAATGTGACAAGTCGATAGCCAAAGTTTCCAACGCAAATTTATTGTGCCTACGAATAGCATGCTTTTCAACAAAAACTGATTGTTTTCACGTAAGCAGAATTTTCGCGAAGAAAACATTCAAATGGCTTGGGGTCTGACTCATCAATGGCACACCCACACGCACGCAAATTTGCACACCGTTTGAAGTGAAAAATGAATTCGGTTTTTGAAAATCCGTTTTGACACGCAGATCTTTATCGGGACAAAAATTTTTCGCCAGTGTTCGTGAAAATTTCTCAAAAATGGATTAAGAAAAATTTGTTGAAAATTGTAAAAATTCAAAATCCTTCATGAGAATTTTATAGCTTTGACACCAAAAAAAATCGAAGGACTTCAATGAAATACGAAAAAAAATCCGAATTTGATTTACGAACTTGATAAAATATCTGGTCGGTTCGTGTATCGCACAAGGTTCTTCTATATTTTTACGATTTTCACGATTTGAATCGTTACTTTTCTTCACCGGCGAGCGGTTTTTTACCAATGATATCAAAATTTCTTGATGTTGCTGCAACACTTCTTCAGAATTCAGCAAAGCTTCCCGTTAAAATTGCCATGATCTGAAAGGAAACGTTAAAAAATTTGAAACATTTTTCGTGTTTGGCAATTTTCAGCGTTTTACTTCATCGTTTTCACATTTTATTTATTCTCTAACGCGATCTGAACAGAATACAAACAGAAATAAATAAGAATGATCAAATTTGTGAAAAACTTGCTGTGTTAGTTTGATTCCAATAATTTTGGTCCATTTTACTTGTCGTTTTGTGTGAGTATTCAGTTGCAGTTCATAAATTTATATGTATTAGTGACACATGTGAACTTAAATATTAGGTTAACTATCCACCGGCAAAGCAATAGTAATGAATTACATTTAAAATTATGATAGTTAATCACGTTTCATCATTCAGTTAAGCGAAAATTTGGTTTGAGGGGCTTTTTGATCGGTTATTATTTTGATGGGTACATTTTACACATATTGAGAAACAATACATCCATACGAGTTAAGGCTTGAATATGAAATTAATAAACTTCGCTGAAAAAAACCAGCAGTGGAACAATGAAGATAGTCCCGTAGGAACAAGCATCCCAATACAACAAAGATTATATAAACATTTAAAAAAAGGAGGGATATGTAGTCTGACAGCAGCAAAACAAGCGAGGAGTTATTTGATTCGATTTAATTGATGGACATTCGATCGGCATGTTCTGATCCAGAAACTGCAAAATTTTTCTCAAATCTATCACTGCTTGATACAATAAATTACCATTGGATTCGATTTCCTCTTCTCCACGTGCGAGGTTATCACTCGATCCTGGAATTTCAAACGCTCTGCGAAGTCGGAGATTCTCGGCACGTCGGCGATTCGCGTTTCCTCTGCAACAACATCCCAATCATTATTTTGAATGGTTTTTTTTTTTGGAATATCTCACCTGAGGTTTGAAATCTCTCGACTGAGTTGATCATTTGCGTCTTGAAGATCATCAGCTTCGCGTTGTAGGTTTCGAACCTTAGTTCGTTCACGTGACAGCTCCTCTTCAATCTCGTCCATCTGACGGCGCAGATTTCTTTGTTTCAAGTTTGACTTTTCAAGCTGCAACAGATTAATTAATACAAATATTTTCATTTTATTGCATTACCAATTCCTTGCTTTGCTCATTTGCGCGCTTTTCATCTTCCAACTGTTGAGTGATATCGTTGAGCCGTTTTTCAAGCCGTCTGGCTGCTCGGTTCGCCGCGGTTCTATCTTGATTTTCAGTGTTCAACTGATCCTCCAAGTATTGAATCTTAGCTTCTAGAGCTGCCATTTGAGCTCGAGAACGAGATTGTGCTCCTGACTCGAGCTCGGTTATTTTGGCCTTGTATTCACGACAGATTCTCTCCAAACTCTGCTTCTCAGCGTCAGTCTTTTGCAATTGTGATCGCTCCATTGACAATTCGGTAGTGACTTGCTCCAATTGAAGTTGAGCCTTGCGCTGCTTATCAATGGCAATCTCGCAGTTACTCTGCTCTTCCTCAAGTTCTTCTTCAAGTTGCGCAATCTTTGCTTCCAAGCGTCTCTTTTCTTCAGTACTGATTCCACCACCCTGAAACAATCACTTTATATAATTGAAAAAGTTTAAATTACTTACTCGTGTTCTCAGCTCTTCCAACTCTTCATTTTCAAGCTCCAGCTGTTTGCGGATCATCAACAGTCCTTCATTAGATTCTCTCAACTGCTCTCTTTCTGTTTCAACCGCACGCAATCTTCGTTCAACGTCTCTCAACTGAGCCGCAATTTCCTCTTTAGCTTGTCTAACCTCTTCGCACTCAATCTGGTACTCCTTGATGATTTGCTGATTCTTCTTGAGCTGTTTGTTGTACTCCTCTTTGAGTCGGTTGGCAACTTCAAGTTGTTGCTCGAGCTCGCCGACTTGGCTTTCCATTTTCTTTCTGTGACTAACAGCGCCCGTACGTCCGCGTCTCTCATTCTCCAACTCGTTCTCAAGATCGCGAATCTGCTTTACGAGACTTCTACGCTTCTCTTCGGCTTCGACGTCCTTGTTATTCAAAGCGCGTTCGCTCTCAGTGCGTAAAGCTTGGTTAGTGACTTCGAGTCGAAGTCGAGCATCCTCAGAGATTTGCAAGCTGTCTTCAAGCTCCTCCATTTGAGCGCGAAGATCGGCGAGTTCAGCCTCAAGAATTCTCTTAGACTTCTCCAACTCGTGAGCATTCTTTCCAACATCGTCTTTGTTGGAAATCTAAAATAATTGAAATCATTTCAAAATTAAAAACGCATAAAATTACCGAGTCTTGCAATTCTTGTTGAAGAACGCGTCGCTGCCGCTCAGATTCCTCAAGTTGCTCCTTCATCACATCAAGCTCGTTCAAGAGAGACAAAATGCGGGTTTCTCTATCTCTGGATTCTTGAGCAAATGCATCACGATCGAGAAGAGCTTTTTGCACTGTAGCTCGCTCTTCAGCCATTTGAGATTCAAACTTTTTCTGTCTCTTTTCAGCATCTCTGTGTGAGCTGCGGACGTTTTCAAGCTCCATTGCAATATCCTCAAACTCTTGTTGAACCTTCTTCTTGCTTTGCAGAATGCGTTCTTTTGCAAGTTCACTTTCTTCAAGTTGTTGTTGCAAGTTTTCGATATCGCGAAGATGTTTCTTCTTTATCTCCTCAATCTGCACGTTCATCGCCTCCTCAGCTTTTCGGCGAGCTTCAACAACTTGTTGGCGAGCAAGAGCGATTTCCTAGATAGGTTTATATTAAAAAAAAAAACTGCTACCATTTTTTTTTTAAACCTTCTCAAGATGAGCTTTGAATCCATCAGATTCATCCTTCTCCTCAAGCAATGCGTTCTTTTCTTCTTCGAGTTGGCGGACTCGATTAATTTGGGCAATTTTGGCACGAGTTTCCTCTTGGATTTGCTCATTGAGCTCTTGAATCTGCGCTTCAGCTGCCGCAAGTTTTCTCTGCATGTTTCCAAAGTGATGTTCTTCTTCTTCACGGACTCGAGACAAATGCTCCAACTCCTCACGAGCCTTTAATTATTATTGAATGCTTTATTCGACATAACTTTGATCCTTACTCTATCTAATTGTTCTATCAGCTGTCTTCTGTGGTCCTCGCTTTCCGCGAAATTTCCTTGCAATTCCATCAGATGACTCTCATTGAATTTTCTCTTTTTGTCAATTTCGGCCTTGCTAGCTTGAAGAAGAGCAATCTCTTGCATCATATCAGCGCGATCTTGCTCAGCTTGAAGCTGATTCTTCTCCAATTGCGACCTCTGCTTCTTATGCTGTTCAATCTGCTCATGAAGATCTTCAATGAGACGATTGAATTTGGCTTTTTGCTCTTCCATTTTTGCCTCCAACGAGATTTGAACTTGCTCAAGAGCTCTCTGCAGTGTCATAAAGATTAGCATAATATAGCAAAATCGATACCAATACCTTTGTATTATTGACTTCTTCATCTTTCCTCGACATTAGATCTTGAAGCATAGTGGCCTCGTCAACTTTGTCGAGAACATCTCCTTTCACTTTTTCGAGTTGAGCAACAACCTCTCTGAACAGCACCATGTGATAGAGCATTCAGAAATAATAATGGAAAGTTCGACCAAGCGGTCGGCAAACCTGTCATCTTGTGCAAACAATACTCACCTTCTGGTCATCTCGGCTTTATTTCTGGCACTTCGCTCGGTTTCGATATCCTCTCGAAGCTCATCAATCGTCGATTGCATATCACGCATTTGCTTTTGCATGAGAGCCACGTTCGCCGATTCCTCGTCGTACTTTGTGAGCTGATGTTGGAGTTCTTCGTCTCTCTTCATCAAGTGCATGTTCAACTCTTCGACCTTTGCCATCTTCTCTTCAAGATGATCTCTGTTATCTTCGAGCTCGGCGAGAAGCTTCCTCTTCTGTTGGTCAAGCTCTGCGCGCAATTGGCGCTCACGTTGAAGGTCTTGCTCAAGTTCGTGAAGCTGATTCTCAAGTCGTCCTTTAGCCTTGATTCCATGCTTCGCTCGTTCCTCGTGTTCCAAGAGCTGCGATGTGAGAGTTTCAACCTTCTCTTCAAGAATCTTCTTTTCTTTAAGCAATTTGTCATAAGCATCTTGAAGTTCAACAAGTCGTTCTTCAAGATTTCTAAGCTTCTGATCGACGTTCGTCTTATCAAGAAGCAACTTCTGGCGTGCCGCTTCTTCCTGTTCAAGCTGCTCCTCAAGATCTCTAACAGTTTCCTGTTGCTTTCTACGCTCTTCGTTGATCTTCTCATTTCTTTGTTCTTCCTCGGCTAATCTATCTCTCATTTCGTTTACAATGTATTCAAGCTCATCCTTCTTCGCTTGCAGACGGTTTCGAATTTCCTCCAATTCCGCACTATTTTCGGCTTCTTGTTGCAACTGCTCTTGCATGACAGTGCGCTCGACGAGCACCTGGTCAAGCTTCTTCTGGTTTTCTTTGTATTCGATTTCCATCTTATGGAGATGCTCTTTGGTTGCGCGAAGTTCGTCGTCTTTTGCGCGAATCTCATCATCAGTACGAGTAACTTGAAGAAGTGGTTTGACTTTGGTGAACAATCTCCACCATTGCCAATTCCTCAACTTCAAATATGCCAACCCATTTCTCTGAATGACTCGAATCGCACTTGATTGCTGCATCTGAAATCAACAATCATTATTGATCTAACAAGGTGAGAAATGTGTAACTAACCCTACGCATGTACAAACGCCTCGAAAGGAATCCACGGCATTGCGCTTGGAAGTTCATTATCAACGCCGTCAGCTTCAAATCTCTGCAACCAATGTGATGCTATGCTATCATGTTCATTATTTGATTTATACCTCTCCTCTTCCAAATGCGCAAGCACCCCAGTTCTGAAAAACACCTTCGACTGTCCGATTCTGTACAAGTTCGAATCAATATCCAATGCAGCGATCATCTTGCGGACTGATTCCTTTCCATCAATAAAATGTTTTGGAATAACATCAGGGGTAAGAATCTCATAGCGATGTCTAAACTCTTGGAATGGGACGCGATTAGGGAATCCCTGTCGACAAATTCGAATTCCTTCGAGAACACCATTGCAACGCAATTGCTCGAGAACCAAGTTCGAATTGATCTTTCCAGCCTTCTTCTCGTGATTTGGAATGATGCAACGCACAAAGTGTGGTGAAGTGTTGCGAAGTGTCGTCATCAATCTTGTCAACTGCTCCTTATGCACTTGCGAAACAGTGCGGAACATTCCCTTCCGAGATCTCATTCCAAAAGCAGTTTCGTTCATTTCAGCCGCGCAGATGCTAGCAAACTCAGCTAGAATTAAACAATATACAATAGTTATTACGACATTCATCTTACCATCCTTCCAGATTCCAGAAACGAATGGATCAGTAGAGTTTTGCATCAGGCTTACAACATTTTCGTTCAACGGGTCCATGTTCTTCATTAGCCATTGGTCAGCAGAATAATCGACACGTCCTATAATATTTGCTCGAATTGTCAAAATTCGATTTGAAATTTTTACCGGCGTAGTGGACTACTGCAAAATGACCCTTGGATCTCATGTCAGGAACAATGAACTTTGGATGTTTGGCATGGGTCTTTTGAAGCTTCTCAACAAAAGTCTTGTCGGTGGCCTTCGGGAATAGACATTCTTCGTCAAGAAGAGCAAGAACTCCCATTGGTTTTTCGATAAGATCAATGGTTGGTTGCAAGTCAAGTCCGAAATCGATAAAGTCCCATTCGATTCCTTCTCGTTGATATTCCTCCTGCTCCAAAATGAACATAGTGTTATTGAAGAGCTGCTGAAGCTTTTCATTGGTATAATTGATGCATATTTGTTCGAATGAGTTCATGTCGAAGATTTCGAAACTACAATTAATATGGATTAATATTTGAAAAGGGAATTTCGAAATTACCCAGCGATATCGAGGATACCGATGAAGGAAGCACCTTGACGATGAGTTCTATCCAAAGACTTATTAATTCGAGTGACGAGCCATTTAAACAGTCTTTCATAGCATGCTTTGGCAATGGCTTCAACAGCAAATTCGGCTTGCTCCTTATTCTGTGCTTTATTAACAAATTCCCTTCCAACTTTAATTCTTGGGCGCAAGAATGCTTTTCCAACTTCAATTACGGGTAACCCAAGAAGATGGCACACTTTTTGAATAACTGAAATTAAAGATTGATTTGAAACTTGTAAAATGAATTGCCTCGATCATCTGGGAGAATTGCTTGATCGCTCTTCTTCTCTTGGAAGAATTCAAGATTTCCGAGAAGTAATACTGCTGAGACAACTCGCAAAATCGCTGAAAACCATATTTTAATTATGTGTGTAAAAGAGTAGCAGCATACATGAAATTTCTTCGTCCGAGAAACCCATAATTTTCATGGACTTAATGGTGCTATGGAACTCTTGAACATCATCTACGTTCGGAAGAGTAATACCATGATTGACGAGGAATCGATAGTTGTCGACGGATTCGAGCAAGTATTCATCTGAAATCAGTTGATTAAAGATGATTTCATTTGAAATTTTTGTTTTTGAGACGCCAAATTATTGATGATCGAGCGTTCCGAAATAGTTACACCTATGCATACATTTATTAGAGAAATTATTGATTTCTTAAAAATTAAAACTATTTTCAGTTTTTTTATGCTGTCTTCTCTAAATTTCCTTATTCATTTTTAAAAATTCAATTAGAAAACTTCAGATTGCTTAATTTCAAGGTTAGATGGGAACAGCCTAAGCGCGAAAAGATCAGTCCCGTGATATTATTATTCCGAACATAAAATGCAACAATTATCTTCGGATTGTATCAATTTACGAATTGAAAAACAATAAATAGTTGCGCGGCGGGGGCAAGCGAAGGTTATCTTCGGCGAATATCTACATATATCTTATCCGTATAGATGTACAACATTTATATTCGATGGGTGTCGGACTTACTTTTTTCCTGTGGACTACATCCGCGCAGAATTTGGTAAAAGACGTGGAAACTGCGCTCATCAGGCGCCTGTCGGAGGACACGTGATTTTTCGAGAAGATAAAACTCAATGTTTGCTCCGCTGATATATCCGCTCATGTCAAAGTTGATACGAATGAATTTTCCCTAAATGTTGAATTATTGCACAATTTTGATGACGGTTCCACTAACGAAACGCGAAGAATTATCATTTTTCACTGTCTTTGAGTTTCCGAACGCTTCAAGAATCGGATTGGCTTGAAGAAGCTGGTGCTCTAATTCTCCCTGAAATATTAAGAATGTTTGAATTAGTAATGGAAATACTACATCACAACACTGCAGATCACTTCTAGCTTAAAAGCAATCTGGTTGAAAAGACAATTGAGTTAAAACGTCAGGACAGCATCGAAATTAGTACAATTTTATACGATATTCTATAAATGTTGTTGATATTGTGGTTTGAAAGCAAAGGAGAGCAACATGTGAAATAGTTGGTTGGTGGGCTTTTGTATTAAAAGCTTTGATCACAGTTACAACGCGATAATGTTTATCATTTCACGAACACGAAAAAATAACTAAAAAGGATTTCACAAGAACGACAACAGTGCGTTCAATTCACATCAACTAACTACACAAAGAATATCACATTTTGGTAGTTGCAGCTAAAAGCTACGAAAACTTACGATAGAATTCCGTTCGGCCTGCTAAAAATTGATTATTATGTGAAATTTGGCTGGAAAATTGACTAATAGAAACTTTTTTCATTGCTTCAAAATTATGACTGATTAATATTTTTTACCAAAATATCTTCAGAATTCAACTCCCACGTCTGAAATTTGATGTTGAATAATTAATTTTTCTTAAATCTTTATTCGATTTTGATTCACTTTTCTTTGGCATTCTTTAGAATTTTTTTACGGAATTGTTCCGATTCTATTTCTGTAGCTTCTATTGTTTTGATGATAATGCATCAACAATTCAATCGTTCGAATGACTCACCCTTTGCGGTGCTGACGACGGCGCAACACCTTTGTTTCTTGTTGCGCCAGCCACGTGTGCCAAGTACTGAATGACCTTTTTCGTGTTTTCCGTCTTTCCTGCTCCGGATTCTCCTGTACACAAGATCGACTGATCTTCGCGCTCTGAAATATTACACCACCAAATTGTATCGGAATTTTTTTTAAGATACCTTGAAGCATTGACCTGTAGGCGGTATCAGCGATGGCGAAAATGTGCGGTGGCATCTCATGCCGTTTCTTCCCTTTGAATTCTTCGATAAGGCTCTCGGAATAAATTGGCAACTTTTTGTATGGATTGATGACAACGCAGAAAAGACCGGAATATGTCTGAATATTTTAAAATGAGAATTTTTAAATTAGGTGTGAGTTTTAGAAACTTACATAAATCAAACTGCTATAGTATCTCTCTTTGAGATTGTGCAAAACTGAAGCTTCATTGAGATATGTTAGTTCGGACATGTCCTCCACCTGAAAAAAAAAGATAGTGTTTGAATCACGACTATTCTTATTATTCACTTTATCGAATTTCGGGGGATTTGCCTTCTGGACATCGTCTTTACTTATTGTGACTTGCTTTCCAGAATCGCACAATTCCACAACGACTTCGTCATTAGTTTCCCTTCTGTAATCATTTTTATTACTAATGAATCTAATACATAAATATGAATTGTTTATTTTTTTGAAAATAACTTTATAAGTATATTTGCCATTCATACCTGATCGATCCCAATAGAAAACCCTCATTCTGATCAGGAACCCAGCACAGCTTTTTCTGAGCCCACGCGGCAAGTGTGGCTGGATCGGCGACCGCCGCTCGCTGGACCTGCAGATATTGCAGGTCTCCCATTCCAACGAATGCTACTTTGCTGAAAATGAGGCAAATATTAGGCAATATCACTAATAAATATATGCAGAACGAAACGCGGAAATGAATCATAAACTGATGGGGTGGGCGGTTGGCAGAGGAGGGGGAATCGAGGATGGAAAGAGGCACAGGGGCGCCCGAAAAAAAATCAAAATGCGAATATGAAACAAACGGCCACCAGGAGGCGTTTCCATCTGTATATTTTTTTTTAACATAACATATATCATCAAAGTTGGCGGAACAAGGAATGAATCATCGTTAGCGCGAAAAATTGTGATTTCATTGCTATTTGTTTTTTTTTAATATAAAGACGCTTGACATTATTTTTTCAATTGTCATCAAACATGCTTGTACGGTTCTTTTTTGTACCAGTCACCAAAAATATTTAATGAGAAATCAAAAATCGTATTGATTTGCCATGAAGGGAAAGTTTGAAGTCGAATGGATTGTGAAAAAAAAGCGCAATTTTATTTACTTTTGAATGTTCCTCAATAGGTAAAACACATATTTGAGTCATTGAATCAATTCACGAAGTCATGTCAATGAGACATTGTCGCAAAAAATTCCGGCAACGAGCGGAAACAACACCGAATATTCAAATGAGGTGGAATTTTTGGGAATATATATGTACATGTAAATGTTCATGGTCATGTACGGGGCAAGAATGTCCGTGGGGGTGTCAAGTTAGGAATCGCGCAGTGAAAGTGCTACGGACGAGACGGAGGTGACAACGAAGAGAATGTCGGAGGTGGGGGGGGGCACCAATGGCGAGGAGGCGATGACTTTGACCAGCCGCATCGAAACAAAATAACGTCGGACATACGAATTTGGTTGTCCTTGATGCGTTCGCCGCGATGCACACCCGGACGACAGCGTCGAATCATCGGACGCGATGGTGGTGGTTTCAAGCGGCATGGAAAATGGCCGACGCGCAAAATACCGTGGTGCGAACAGAGCGCATCGCGAAGAGACGGCGACGAACGAATATAGGTGTGCGCGTCAGTTTTCGGATATTACAGATGAAAATTGTTAATTCATTGATCTGGTTTTATCAAAGCGATGGAATAAGACCGATAAGAGGGCATTCAAACAAAAAATTGATATTCCTCATTTTTGGACAAAAATCAACGGCGCGCACAATTTTTGAAAACAGGTGTAAAACATTGAAGATCGTCCATACGGCTTGTACAATGTTTGAGGTGCTAAATTTTGAGGTGGTCTGTTTTGTTTGCTCAACCAGTCCAAAATGTCTGGGAAGCACTTCCTACCCTATAGCTTCGTATAATAGTGTTCATAAAATCGATATCGATATACGGGTTCCTCAAATAAACAATGAAGTTATCCATAAATTCTATGAGTCATTCAATATGAGATGATCGAAATTTCTAGGATTTATCGGAACATAACACTTCCGGTGATAATTATTAATTGTTCATTCGAAAAAATGGCGCGTTATCTTATGATGTTTCCGGATGAACGATTTCAAATAATAGATTTCGAATCTGTAACCTTCAAAAAATCAAAATTCAAAAACTGTTGACATTAAATGCAGTGAACTCAATGGAGCGCATTTGAACTCGCATAAACACAACATCTGCCGATATCCAATAACGGACAGTTGAATAATGAATGGCGGGGAGAATGCATTTTCGGAGATGAGAGACACGCGAACGAACAATTTGAATTGCTTCTGTAACCTTTTTTGTCTGATTAAACAGTTAAGGTGTAGAAATGCAACTTCTCATCTTCAATTATTCCAAAAATTTTGTCGGAATGTTCTCCAGATGACCTACGGGATAGATATGCGATTTAGAGATTGTCATCTCGCCTTTCATCATTCGAAACGCACTGTGCGACAAGAATCTTGGATGTTTGACGGCAATCTGCCATGGATTAGATGAACTCGAGATTATCCTTGTTTATGGGAGGAGGGGGGGGGGCGATGCGAGACAATAGGAAGCAAATAAACAGAAACTGACGGGGGTTGACTTTTATGGATATTAGAAACGTTTAAGAATTAAAAATCATCAATGCTTATAAAATTCCAGAGAACCCCCCCCCCCTTCATATGATAACAAAACGAGTCGAGTCGGAAAACAGCCAACACCATGATTACACATTGATAGACAATACCGATTATGTTGATAACTCTAATATTGGAAAGTGAATCATCAGTCATTAAAAAACTATGGGGATACAATTTTTGACAAGAGCGAATCAGGACGTGAAGTGACTATTCTCAAAACTTTTTCTATAACAATGTTCTTTCCAATGTCGGGCGGAGGCCCCGTTACGCTTCAGAGCATGATGTTGTTTACTCTTCCGATTTATGGAATCATTCGCCATCTTCTGAGCAACACAATGTTCAACACGATTTTCGAACTATCAAGATTGTATTGTTGAGTTTACCAAAAACAATGCATTCGGAACAAAAAAAAACAACAACATGACTGGAATTCATCATCAACATTCTAATCGGCGCTTCTCTCAATAAAAATGAATGTAAAATTATGTGCGATTGTCAATCGGAGGGAATTATGGTGTTAGTCATTTATGTTAGTGCATGTTCGCGGTTTTCGATAGAAATCTGTTGCGTCGTGACAAGAGAATTTGCATGAAAGTGGATTAAAAAACCGAATGATACGCTGAAATGCATAAGTTCAACAAATTGATGGTCAGGGATTGTTGTGTTGATCACAATTGCCACTAATTTTTTTGCTGGTGAAATTTGAAATATTTTACTGATAAGAAATATTTGTCTACTTCAAAACAATAATGTGCTTGTAAGGAAGTTATTATGAATAAAGGATACTCATGTATTAAACTATTTAAAACTTATTCTAAAACTTATATTATAATAACGAAATTGGAACAGGGAAATATTAAAAAATTGCAATGAATAATTATTTGAAAAGATTCGATTGAAGATAAGAAGGAAGATAGGAAAAAGCGGCGCAAAAATAAATTAACATGCCATAAAATGGGACAATTGGACTTTTATTGGCTAAAATGGTTGTAAATTTGCAAACGTTTGTGGAATTTCAACCGAATTTTTAATGTTTATTAAATTTGGAACGTTTGCAACAGAATTTTTAAATTTGCTTTTTCCCTTTAATAAAATTCTATGAAAGAAAGTTGTAATGAAAACCAAATACTATAAGATTAGTTTAGGAAAATTAATTAAAAACATGGAATGTACAAATTACTGAGACGATCGATTTTATCTGCCGAATTTCGTCTTTTAATTCTTTTTTGAGTTTCAGCAAAAGCAGAAAAAAGAATAATAGGGCAATCTTAAATGAAAGGAAACCCGTCATAGTAGGACAATCTGTAGCAATCGCGCCCGATTAACAGAATTGTACAATTTTCGAACAATTCAACGATTGATACACGAATATCCTCAAACACACACAAACTTGAAAGTGAATCGCAAAAAGTGTCTCACGAAATAACCACAAAAACATTGATGAGAACAGATTTATATATTAAGTGAACCTGATTTGTCAATGTTCGCTCAAATCTATCATTGGAAAACCGCGCCCGTCGAACATGATGTTTAATTTTATGCGCGCTTCCAACGCTTTTCGCTCATAATAGGATATACTATATAGACATAGTATAGAGAAAAATGAGTGTATGTAATGGTCGTTTGAATTGTGATGGAATGACTAACCGAACATAATTTCCAAAAAAAGAAGGAGTGCAGTGTTCATTGCGTTTCAGACAATAAAAACAGCGAAATCACGGTAATTTGGGACGATTATGCAGAAGCTTGTACGACGCGACTTTTGTCATTTTTGTACCGGTATACTTGAGACATCTCAAAATAGGGTCAAGTGAAACATCGCGAGTCACAGTCATTTTTTTTCCTTTCTTGTACGCAAGATTTTTGATTATGATCTTTCTAGCCGAATGAGCGAACCATCATCTCGAAAAAAAATTGAGGACGAGTCAATTCAGTAATTCGCAAATTCCAAACATTATTTGATATTCATCAAGAATGATCATATCTTTCCGCGATTAGGAACACTATTATAAAGGGTGAACCGCATCGAAACACGATATGCCAAATTGGATGAAGATAACAAAAAGCGGCTTGTCAACGAGAGAAAAAAAATGCATTAATCAGTACCCCCGCCAAAACATGAAACAAAGCAAAAAATGATTTTTATTGGTTGTTCCGCGTTTTAGTGAACTTTTAGAACATTATTGAGTTTTTTCAACATTTCTATTACAGCAAAAATAAGTGAATGAAAACAATAAGCGGCTATATGCGCAGATGGTATTGATTGACTGCTATGCATTCGCCAGAAATGCGTGCAATATATCGATCGATCAGAGAGAAATGACCGAGGATTAATGAGAAAAAAGGAAACAGGTGGAATATATATGGATTGACTGAGAGGCACCTCTCTGACGGAATTCCTTGTTTGTACTTATATACGCTATTGGCCCCAGCCATTTGTAGGCGATCCGATGCATTGCACTCGGCCTGTATAGGGAAGAAGGTGAGGGGTGGCCCGGGTATTCGAATGTATGTGTGTGTGTGTTTATGTGAATGTGTGTGACCGCAAGAGGTTTGAGAAATAACAAGAGCGGCGAGACCTACCGTGCTGTTGTGCTCAATCTGATGGTTGCTTGGTTTGGATGGTGTGTGTGTGTGTGTGTGCCTTGTTCAAATAGGTGCAGAAACGAGTTGTTGTCGTCGTCGCTCGACCGCGGCCCGCGCGGCTTCATCGACTCTCACAATAGGGGAAAAACGGTCAAAAACGGTGCGGCGGAGAGAGCGGAGAGCCGGTGCTGGCTCGACGCTTATAAGAGGATACCACCAACACCACCACGAACGAGAGGGCAATAGGACGGACAAAATTTCGTGGCTGTGAATTGGGCATCAACATGACGCCTTTTCTTGTCAAATATAAGAATAAAATCACGATTAGATCTCTACTTGAAACTGTGTTTTAAATTTTAAACCAATTTGCAAAAAATTACTGACCAAAGTGAAATTGTCTTCCATTATAGAAAATTTTCTTAAAAGGCGTTTTCAAAAATTATCAAAAATTATACACTATCATTTCGTCATAATTACGATATCGTATACGCAATTGGTTCATTTTTTACTTGTTTTAATGCAAACAATTTTGGAATATTGTTGTAACCAAATAATACATAAATATTCTAATAGTTTTAACATTGAATTCATATTAAACTTATTGGAACTGAATATAAGAAAATATGTGATATCATCCTATAAATGAGACTTCTGTGAAAAAAATTTTTTAAATTCGCAATTACAAAAAAAAAAACAATTCAACGAGACATGTCGAATAGCTTTTCTCTGAATTATAATGGCTAATTTTGAAATTCTGATAGTTTTCATTTGGTCGAACAAATAATTTTGAAATGGCTAAATTTTTATATCGTGAATACAAAATTATTAAATAAAGATGGAATTCAATTTTAAAAATAAAAATGTTGTGATGAATTTCAGAGAATAACCAGAAAAATGAGCCACTTCCTAATTTGGAGCCATTTTTTCAAAAAGTAATCAAAACCTTTTTGGTGTTCAAAAAAACTTATTTCATGAGCAGTATGCGTTGCTCGAGCGTTGTTGTTAGTCATTTTGAAAAAATTACTATCACTTATAACTGTACACCGGCTGCCAAAATCATATCGAAGTGGATGAGTAAATATTTAAAAAAAAACAACTAATTGAAACCAGAAAAAAGAGCATCTGGGCTGCTCAACGAGTCGCGCCAAGCGACTGGCTCCGCCCCGATTGGAATTAATTAATTAATGATGCTGGTAGTGATTCACACGTTCTCCAGAAGTGACTCATAAAGATTGTATCTGCCATTTGTTCAAACGACGAAACTCGGATGGAGAGTGAGCAAAATTGAGAAGATAATTTAAAAGCTCGGTGATGGGTCAATTGGCAGTTCCCAACGGGACAGAAAAAAAGGGAGTTGTTGGAAGAAAGATGGCACAAAAAACGTGACGATGAAGAGCAAATCGAGAACATAGCAATTGCGGCGGGTTGTTATAAGCACGATTCTGGCGCTTCCGACCATGTTAAATTTATGCTTGGCTTTCTCATCCGGAAATAGCGAATCGTTGCAGATGTTCGGTGAAGATTAATAGGGTGAACATTGAAGAAAAGAGCCATAAAGTTTTATGTGACAACACAATTTCTAGCCTTCCCCAGTAATAAAAAATAATGACAAAGATTTTATGACAACGAGTCAATTAGCCATTGGATTGTGTAAACGGATGTAGTTTAATCGCTTTCAAAAATGCTGATGAAAATGTCAGCAGCAAACTAGTGTCTGGAAAATTCCCAAAGGAAATTTGACACTTTAATCATTTCACCGACATTTCGTCTAAATTTTGGAGAAAGTTGAGAATTGTTCAAATTATTGTAGAAAGTAAAGAAATTAACGTTTGTTTAAAAAGTGTTTAATAAAAATGGATTTTTTAATTATACTTTCGCAAATCAAAAAACCCCACCCTGCGTCGATTTACGGTGAGTTAGCATTGGAGGATATCCAAAGTACGAAATCCGAATTCCCACTGTTTAAATTCGAATTTGAATTATCGCCTCGAAAAACTAGTTCACAATTAGTCAAGATGCTCGTATTTTTTTTTTGCCCTTTATAAAAAAATAGTTTTGATGAGTTTGGAAATTTAAAAATTCTAAATTTTAGGAATGTTAAAATGTATTGGAAAGTTCGATAAATAGCGCCATAGCGTGGGTCTTGCACAGGGATGTTATTCTGAAAATAAACTTAAAAATTATAACATTTAAATAATTTCAAGAATTTCAACTAGTGACAATTTGAGATTATTCAAGTCTCTTAGAATTTCTCTTTTTCGATTACGTTCTAAAATAGCAATGAAAAAGAAATAGTTTAACGTCTATAATATGGCATGCATTTTTCGAGGATATTGTGGAACCATTCTCACTCTCTCTCTCTCTCTCTCTCTCTCGAGACTTTTCGTTGCAGGATAAACAACGGCCTTAAGGAAGAATAGGAAATAATTAAAAGGAAACCTGAAAGTTTGGAAACTGACTTTATTTCAAAGCTAAGCAAGCTTAAAACTTTTAGGTTGGTTAGAGGAAATATTATGAAGAAGACGCTTGAGATCCGAAATATATAATTCATACGAATAACTTTATGAATAAATGTGTATCAAAGTGAAGAGCATTTGCGGTTTGCTCGAACTTTACCACGAGCAACATCGAAGCAGCAACCAAAACATGAGCGACTTCACACTGCAAAAAAATGACGAGCTAATCGCAACCGCCGCAGCAGGACGGACGAGGATGACAACGGGAGAAGCAATTAAGATGATGACTCATTGGCGATAAATCGGCTCTGCGGAAGGGAAAGAGTTGAGGTCTGAGTGGCATTTCGCATAACAATTCGAAATCTCTAATTTGAATGCGCTGTGTGGTCCGCTCGCCGTTGTCCTACGCTAACCATTACACGCACTCTCACACACACACAATGCTTCGGCCGTTCGGAGCTCATTGATTTTCGCGAAGGAAAAACCGACGAGCCATTGGTCACTCGTCTTCCAGAAGAGTCTTGCTTCTCATCTCTTTCCGAGTCGCACTCTCTCGCTCCGCCATATTTATGAACTGCGTTTTCCTCAAAATTCTACTAGCCCTACTCATTATTGTTTACATTATTGTAAGTTCGAAAATATGAAAATTGAGTTTTGAGAGATGAAAATTACAGCTTTACTATGAACAAATCATTCGATATGCTGAAATTGTGACCTATGGAAAACCCGAAGAATGGTTGAATGTGTCCGCAGAAGAATGCAGTTGCGATGGCGGAACAACAAGGAATTGCTATCCGCATCCTGATGATTCAGCCCTTTGCGGGAAATGTTTCGCAAGATGTGTTTCGCAAAATATCATCGAAAAGGAGCGAAAACATTCAAGGTCTGTTGAATCAATATATATGTATATATATATATATGCACGCAATTGTTCGAACCAACGCAGCGTTTCGAAATATGTGAGCCAAAAATGGGAATGCTGAAGGAAAAAACAAAAATTGAAAGTGTTTTGCGAGTGGCCGATATTTTTAAATAGCAATAAATATGTTATTCTATCGAATGAAAGGGATCGATGTAAAACTTCAGAAAGTTCTGCAAAAAAAAACTATTTCATATTTTAAATTGATATTATTTTTTCCCTTAATCAAATTTAAAATCCTGCAGGGCGGGCCAAATTTTTTTCTCTTGAAACGGATGTGAGGTCCTTTTTCAATTACAAAAAAATATTCCCATGACTCTCATATATTTTTCGACACTATTGAACTTTGTTCGTCTCACAAAACATGTAGTAAACAATCTTTACAGTAATTTTCAATAAACACTACTATTTTCTACTAATACTATCAGTTTTTCGTTGACACACTCATTCCCCCCCCCTCCCTGCAAATTAATCAATGTAACCATCCCCACCCCCTCCCAAGCCTACCAAACACCGCATGTTTATTGGTGATAAATTACAAGACCATCGGGCTTGTTGTCATTAGTATTTGATGATCTCACGTGCTATTGGCTTTTGTTTCTAACCGCAGGGTTTCGTCGGTTGACAACGTGATTGAACCTTGATTTTCAATCAAAGTCGATAACATTGTCACCGATTTTCAGGCAAGATGAGGTTGTCATTGCGCTGACTGCAACGATGAGGGACATGAACAAATTGCTAGTGCTTATCGGATCGGTTCACAAGCATTACCCGAAAACGAAAATGTTGATTTTTAACCCTGACAACTCGGTAAGAATGGAACGGGGCGACTATTGAGAAGATACGAATACCACAGAAAAAGATCAAACAACTATCTAATGATTGAAAAACTACGTGTTGTAGTATGTTTATAATCTTGAAACGGATTCAGGATTTCATGAGTAACCAGCTCATAAGCATTCGGAACGTCGAAGTGGTTCGAATGGCGGCTTCAAATCTCACAAAATTTGCGACTCCATTTTACATCGAGGTGACTTTTATTAACGGCAAGAGAGAAAAATTCACACAAAAAAAACCCCATTAGTATCTGACCTTCAAAATTCACTTTGGTATGGTGATAAGGATTCGACAACTTTTGAACATTATTGATATCGTTATGAAAAAAACTGGAACAACGTGGAGGCCATCGTTGAGAGAAGTTGACTGAGCGGAAATTCATGATGCAATTCGATTCGATTTTTTCGGTTTCATTGAAAACTGTTATCGAGCACGTCACAAACATGTGGTTCCAATTCAACAATATCCGATCAAATGGTGAACGTGAAAACATCAGGGTACCACGTCAGAATTACAGAGATCAATTTGTTTTTCCTTGAATATTCGTATGATTTGCTGATTATTCTGTTGATCCATGATGCAATTTTAAGATAAAATAATTTGAAAAATGGAATAGTGGAACCATGCAATATAGATGTTCACGTCATTAGTCTTAAATGGTTGTGTAAGGATCAGAATTCATCTGAAAAACGTAATTAATTTCAAAAATGTTGATGCTAGATGAAAAATATTTCAGAAAAAGCGTTGGCAACGTTGCAAGCGTTTTCTCTAAGAAAAAGCTTTTCGTGTGTTTTCAATTCAAGGTTAAAATCGATAATACGAGAAATAAAAAATTCTAATTGGATTTTGATTGAGTGATGAGGAAATTGATGAAATCGAGCTCATTTTAAAGAAATTTCCAAAATATTTGTTCGGTTTATTTTTTCAGAACGCTCCCCGACAGATTGTGGAAATTGAAAGTTTAAAAGTATTTGAAAGCTTTAAAAATAATAGAATAAATTGTTTTCACATTCTAAAATCCCGTTTCTCGATATTCCGTAAAATTTGTTTTTGCAATTCCCCTTCTCTGATAGAAATTGTTGATTTGCGATTTTTCAAAATGCCCTTTACCCTCATGCTTCCAAAACCATCAATCTCCAGTTTTATCAATGTCAACGCTTGGTGAGAAAACGCCTCGTGGCTGCGTCATGGCCGACTATTCAAAAGATGTTCTCACATAAATGGCCCACGTCAATAAGCGGAAAATCAAACATCCCGAGCGAGCGAAAATATTCACATTTTCAAAATTTATGCATTCCGTTCGTAGATCACCTGACACGAAATTTCAAAAAAAAAATCACGTCAGTCCAAAGTCGAATTGAATGCGCGTTCACGTGATAGTTCGTGTAGATAGGTTCACTGGTACTCAAAGTTAACCTACATTCAAGGAAATGCGCATATAAAGCTGTAGATGGAAAAAAAAAATATTTTAAAGAACTTCTTTAGTAGGCAAACGGTGGTAAAAAGTTAATGTAAAATGGTTGATATTTAAGTTATTTCTACAATAAGCATTCAATTAAACGTATGTACTTGTAATCTCAAAAGCATGAGCTCATTTAAAGTCATGTGAATATATGTGATTTCACAAGTGTATCATTCACAGAATTCACGTGAATTGCAACAATTTCGTCATTTCGATGTAATACTGTCTAAATCTTTAAAAGTTGTGTTTACATTTATAAAATTGTGAGTTTGCAAAACTGGAAAAAAATAACACGAAAAAAACATAAGAAAAGTAATAAGTTTTCAATACCAATAAAGACAAGATTCCGAGAATTGTGAATGTTCCAGACTTCTTGTTTATTTTTTAAAGAACAGTCCTTATATTTAAACATAGATGATTAATAAAAATCATATATCTAAATTTTTTAGAATCAAGTTGACAAATAGATGGCTCTCTGAAATTTTCAGGAAGCGCTGAATCGATTTACTACAGTGCTCTGGATCGACGTCGGTCTGGAGTTCCGAAACAACAAGCTGATACTAACGCGAAAACTCGGAAAGTCGCCGGTCACTTTTATCGGCAGGGATCCCGTCAAGAAACTATCCAGCGCCGGTATTGTTTCTTCTTGTTCGTTCTCTGTAGTCGATTTCGTTCTCCTTCAGGCTACATCAAATTCTTTCCGACGTCGTCATATGTTCCGCAAGTCTATCCATTGACCATACTTCTGAAGAACAGTGCCAAAGCTTTGATCGAATGGTTTGTCGCACAGAGAATGTTCAGTTTGTGTGAACAATATGATTGTTTGACTCATTGAGACAGTGTGTTCAGTGATATTCGTTGAAGAGATATCACTAAAAATGAACATTCTTTGTGTTTTTGTCGCCATTATTTCCTTAACGTACGCGAATGCTTCATTTTGAGGTTAAAAAGATGCGCTTTGGACCCGGAATGCTGGCAGTGTTACAGTTCGGCGAACCTTGAAGCCGATTGTTCAGTGTTCTTGCTTCATAGGCTAGCAGTCGAGAAGAAAGCGCTCGTTCGAATGGACAACGTGGGAGATGCACTGGAAAAGCATTCATGGTCGCCACCAGAGTGTGACATTTATTGCACAATGTATATGATATTCATAACTGTCGCCGTTGTTGTATTTATGGGAATTTTGGTGCTCGTGCTGCTCAATAGAGCAACAAGCAAAAAGAAATCATAGTTTTGTTCATAACTTTTTGTTTCTAATTACAAGTGTCTTTCAAACCTCAGCAATAAATAGTAATTATAAATTGGACAAAAATTGTATGAATTTCTGAAAAAAATTACTTGTACAAGATCTCCTAATATCATTGAAAGCGCAGCCGAAAAGCGCAGAAATGCACGTGAATCGAAGCCAATATCGGAAATCAAAAGACACCAAAGTCCGTTTTGCTATGATCTTGCAACAAAAAAACTTAATCAAATTAACTCAAGAATGCTTTGATCTAAAGTTTGGTATATTCTGAAAATCGGGCAAAGTGTACGAAGAAGCTGTTATTCGGCGTTCTTCTAAAGATTACAATATATCGCATTTTATCGTAAAAGTGAATATAATGTTCTTCAAAGATCGTTAATAGGATGTTACAATAGATATGCAGTTCATTCCAATTGTTCATATAATATTCAATATTTTTTGAGGAAATTGAAACATTTCACACATCTTCTGTACCTCATCATGAACACATTGTTTGAACTTTGAACTACCAAGAAGAAGTTCATTCAAATCAAAATCATCGTCATTTTGCGTTTCGGCAATGAATTTCGACGCTAGAACCCGCCCTTAACACCCCCACGCGCAAACATGAAAATCATCTTCTATGTCGTATCTCACCGCCCAACGTTATTGCAGTTGTCCCAACTTCTCTAATTTATTTTCCATCACCTGCTTGTATAAAAGCGGTTCGAATTTGACTGTAAGTTATCTTTTAACCAATCAACCACCCAATAACACCACTGTTTTTTTTAATCGAAACCGCTTCTGAAGTCGTTCTACTTCCACTTCAATCACATGGCGCCCAATTCATATTCATTGTATTGCAGCTTACACACGAACATACATCATGAACGCGATTCTCAAGATTTTTGTCATTTTGCAACTTTGCTCGTGCATTGCCTCGATGAGCCTTCTCAACGCCTACAGATCTGAAAGACTCGCTCGAAGACGATTAGGAATGTTGAACACCGACTTCCGTCCAATCTCGCATCTCCGCGGAGAGGACGACTGGGTAAGACGCCTGGTAACTATAGACTGTATGTGAAATATTTAATTTTCAGCAAGTCCAAATCAACGACAAATTCTCTCCCAATCAATTCATGGATGAGAATGGTGTTGTTTACGACATGGACCCAGCTATCAATGATAGAGTTGCATCATTCTTCAACAGCCCTCGTTCCAACGCCCGTTTCGGAAGAAAACGCCGCTAAGCGATATCATCAAATACCGCACATTGCCATAATATGTCACATTAATACAACTCTGGTCCTTTCATTCATCATACGGGTGGCTTCTGAATAATTCACGATCTCACAATTTAATTGTCCGAACATTATACAACACTTAATCAAATAAACGATTCATTGTTTTATCTCAACATTGTTTCGTCTATCAATATACGTGATAAACTGGTTTCGAACCCAGCAGTGCAAAAGATTTTTCATCGAATCGGCCAAAAATTGCGATTGATATTTCCCTTTTCTGACAAATAGTGTCAAGAATGATCAACGAACTTTTTTTTTGGAAGGTCACATTCAATAAGGAAATTAATTGATTGGTGACTTCGAATTACTATTACCAATAATTTATTAATGTTGTTAAGTAGATCAATTGAATTGAATCCTCACAAGGCACAATGTGTACAGAAAAGAGGTTATCTGGTAAATACGACACTTCTTAAAAATTAAAAAAAAATACACGAGATCTTGTCGGAGTTATTAAAATATACAGTTTATTAATTACACTGACGATTCGTTGCTTATCCGTAAAGCAAATTTGCTAGCACCGCTATGAGATTGTTCAGTAAGATTGAAGAATGGAATGCTGGATATCGTGCAAACCAATTGAACGCCGCAATCGATATCCTAAACGTCAAATAATTGTAAATTGTATTTCTTTTATAACAAGTCGTACCTGATTATGCGACTTTAACACCAAAGTCATTCCATGATCTATCGATCTTGTGACAGATTCAGCGCAAATCAGAGACCACTTCGATTCTGACACCACGTCCTGTATCGGAAATCGGTCGCTGAAGAATCTTTGAAGAAACGTGCGATGCGATAATTTAAGTGTCAAGCATCTGCAATTCATTGACGATTATCAATAACATTCAACATTCGTTGCCTTTCAATGTGTCTTGTAACCGATTCCGACGGATGTCGTGGTTGTAATCTTGTCGTTTTCAGGTATTTAGTCAACGGGCGCACGATCCAGGTGAATACATTCTGAGCGGCAGTTAGCGAGTCCATTTGGTTTTGCATTCCGTTCTAAAAATAAAAGGCATCGAAAATTCTCTCTTTTTTTGCAAAATGATAACCAACCTTTTGTCCGGTACCATTTTCTGAAGAAGTTTGCACGTGCGAAAACGCGTCTTCGGCGGCGGCAATCAAACGATACCTAAATTTCGAACGTTATTTCAAAGTCTGCATGTTTGAATGCAATAATTTAACTCAATTTAAAAATGTGGCATACAGAAAATTTGCATATAAATTTTGTTTGGCAGCTGTAATAAACAGAAAAGTAAAAACGACACGTTGCGTTGAAAAATCGCATAATTGCAACCAGATGTGGTGGGTTTAGCGTGTTTCACGTGAAGTTAATTTTAATATTTCAATTCCAGTAAATTTTCAAAAAAGAAGTTCTTTATCACACCCACTTTCTCTTTTTCAGGCGTTTTTCAAATTCCATTTCCTCTTGCATCACTTCCGAGTAGCCTCCGATTCGTCGTCTCGCCGCCGCTTCCATCAATGCACGAGCGTTCACCTGGAATAATCGTGATTGCACCTAACCAACGTCAATTCCAATAATACCTCGCTGACAGTTTCCTGTCCACCGAATTGTTCAATATTATACATTTTGAAGCCGGCGGTGCTTCCCTGAATTCCGACTTGTTTCGCAACCGCTGACTGACGAGCTTTATCCAGATAAATATTGTATGACGGAAAGTTGGTGACGTAGAACTTCAAGATTTCGGTGGCAATCTCCTGAATCGATCCGGAACCAACATTCATCGTTTTCGATTCGCCGTCCGGATCACGAACAATGGTGACAATAAATTGAGTCCGAAGTCGTCTTAATTCCAGCAAAATCACCGAGAGATAATGTGTCCAAAGAAGAGCGTCCAACAATGAAATTGAATATGAAACCTAAACAAATTTTTTGTTTACAAAATTTTCTGCTCACAACTGAAAACTCACAATGTATTTATAATTGTCATATTTCTCAATGAAAATTCGTACAATGTAGAAGAGCCAGAAAGCGAACAATATGAACAAAACTAGGAATGTAAGGGCTGCTCGGGCAAAATATCTGGAAAACCATCAATTCATTGATTTCGAAGGGTATTGATTAAACTTACAGCCTCGGCATATCAGCAGCAGCTTTCCTCCAATGCAACACAGCAATAGCAATGACAAGAAATGCAGTTTTGGCAAACATCAAAAAAATCAATCCTTCGCAATCGATCTGAAATCATGTGAAATTTCAAAATTGAGTCCTTTACAACGATTTTGTCTTACATCACATTGAATTGGTGGCATTGAAATGCCAAAATGTGGAGATACAAGTGGAATTGCACACATGACCGGAGCACTGACAACAGCGAGAAAACAGATCAAACTAGATGAAATTAGCCAAAAGATACGGGAACATCTGTAAAAATTTGTATTGAGCAACTAGTTCGCGCAATTTTCATTTAGTTACTGCGTCGAAAACCGTACTAATGTAGGCAAATAGTCGTAAAACAAATGATGGCCATTAATTTTCTTTTTTGTCTCATTATAAAAAATGACACAATTTTGTTTACAAATTTGTATTTGGTTTAAAGCCTCTTTCTTCTAAAAAAGAATGGTTCCACCTGGTGAATTTTTTCAAACTTATGAGCTCTTTAATAATTTTTTTTTCAATTTTGTTTGGCAATATTGACCTTCTTCCGACAACCCGTCCAATTGGAGGATGGTATGCAACTTTTTCATCCATCGTGAAAGAGTCGGTGGTGACTCCTGTGATTACAGTGGTATTGTCTGCCCAGTCATCAATCGGCTGATGGATTTTCTGTCCCTAAATAATATTGGCGTTCGCGACCTTGCAATTTCAATTTGCGTAATTACCTCGCTAGCAATTGCTGAGAATCGCGGCAGAAACGGCTCGCCAATTTCGGATTGAGCATACCTGGGCCGCATGTTCTTTATTTTCGGATCATAACGATAGCCGCTCACGCAGCTTCGGGAGTCTTTCATGTGGCGTCGACCCTCCCCAGACGACATATCGGCGCTAAAATGAGATGTGATTGATGTGCAAAATGAAAGTGAAACATGATACACGTGAAATCAAAGAAAAAAAATAAACAACTCAATGAAATTGTAGGGTGCAAAGCAAGTTGAGGATGAGTGACACGTTTTACAACCACTACCCGATTTGGGCAAGTGACGTGACCGGGTCCAAGGGCCGGTCACAAAGAAGAGGTAGTGGACCCTCTTTCCAAAAGAAATAACCTCTCCCGCTTTCGCATCACATTATGCCTCGACCTAGGCTAGCATAGCCGTGATGTGTGCGGGGTTGGACGGGTGTGTGTGTGTGTATGCGTCTGCGGTTCGAATAGGGACGCAAGCCAGATGTGGTGAAATCGCCGAGCGGCTCATTATATGCCGACCGCACACAGAAAATCGTTAAGAATCGTTGGTGCCATGGATTAGCGGTCATAGGTAAAAAAAAAGCATATCTTATATAATCCGCGTGCAGCTGTTGACAGAAAGGTGTTGCAAAGGGAGGTAAATGAGCAATTAAGTTGCTCATCGAGTGAGAGCATGCCTTATATGCGTTGGGAGAAAGGACCTCTCAAAAACTCTAGATTCTATGGAACCTTCAATTTTACATCGAAAAGAAGACCAAGGTAATCATTTGCACAAGCCGGAGAGCTCACACCGCAATTAAAAGGCGAACGATACAAAACAGTGGAATAACCTAACGACTTGCGGCAGATGTTCAACACGTGCATCCAATAAATTTTAACAGTTTTTTTTTGTTTACTACGGTCGAGTTGCTTAATGGAAAGTTTTTGGTGATTATTAGTCATAACAGCGACAAAAGAATCGGCATTAAAAACGATGAGCACGCGCATCCGTTAAGAGAACGGAAAATAAACAATACACAGTAATAAAAGATGCCATAGCAGTGGCTGCGGCAGGTCCCTAACATAAAAACACAAGTTCGTAATGTGTTACTTACCGCGTTGTTGCGGTGGAGCGTGTTTACGACGCCCGACGCTACTTTTGAGAAATGCACAAGATAAATTGCGAATGATACTATTATCGTAGAAAATAAAAAATGATAAGAGACAAATAAAGAGGAAGATCATGTGCCATTGACAATTTTCAATATTCTTGGACGGAAAAAGTATTATAAAAACATGTCAGACTAGATTAATTTCATTGTGCATTTGATAGAAATGAATATTTCGTGGCACACCTCAATGAATTTTCTGAAAGGAATCAAAAATTCAAATAAATTTCATAAAAATTATGATCGGGATTCGCGATGAAGTTGAATTCAGATATTGAAACAGTGAGAAAAAACGCGCTATTCGACTAGAACATTCACATGTCCATACAATCCTCGCACGATTAATGACATTGTAAGGCTTCGGGTGTTCCGTTCAACGGAAACCGCAAAAATTTATTCAAAAGCATTTCATTCCGAACTAACTTTACAGTTTTTAAGTTTTAAATAGAAAATCATGTAAAGGAATCAAAGATATTTAAACAAATTTTGAATTTCGATTTCATAACACTTAAAAAAAAATTAAATCGCCGTTATATTCATGAATTGATGAATTAGCCTCGACTTCAAATCTTTAAAAAGATGCCGCAGAGCTCTTTCTTTGAAAGATTCGAACGAGAAACTTCAAAATTTTATACACAAATGTTCTTTTTTCCGCCATATTGAAAATTTCAAACAGTTGGTGTTAGATGGGATGATTTATTGGGTGTATCCGACGAATGGCATTATTAATACATAAATTTCGAAATCTCCAAACTCCGTACGAATAATAAGCGTTTGAAGGAATGTATTGAAAAACTGCAACATATCTTTGAGAATAATAACTACAAGCCAAAAAAAGTAAGGAGTTGGGTTGCGAAAAAAGGGTAAACTTAAGATTCCGGCAGTATGAATGCGTTTTATGCCGGAATTTACAAAGCGCGCGACACCTCTGGGACGGACGCGACTAGCTGGGCCATTTGAGAAATAAATGACTTCGTCGTAGCCATGAATCGGTGTCCTTTGAGCATCCGTCACGCCATTGGCGTCGCGCGGGACTAATACGTTATAAATTTTGAAACAAAACCACAACGAGCGCAGAAATTCGGCCCGCTAAGCACTACTAATTCGATGATAAACGGCGCCCAATGATGCTAACGAATTGGCGTTCTAAAATGCGCCGCCGGAATGTTTTATGAGTTGGTGTGACCTAATTGCAAACACATGTATGCGAATTTACGATAACTGAAACATTATTCACGACGCGGTGATAAAATTCATAAAAATAGCGAACTCAAATAGGTTCAAGAAAGTGAAATAATTTCTGGAAAATAGTTGAAAAATGGAAATTTTATGGAAAATGCACATATGTAGAAAATATTATCGACTACTCTACAGTACCGCAGAAAAAGATACGAAGTGATTAATTTTCTTCAAAACTTTTGAACAAGTGGTCCAATCGAGGTGAAATTTTTAGCACATATTTTTTTATAGATTGAAATGTTTTAAAGCATGTTCATATTATGGAAATTTTTTTTTTCAAGTGTATATTGCAAAAAATCGAAATTTCAAAAAAGCATAAAAATCTGTGTATAAAATCAAATGGCTGTAAACACCAAAAATTTTATTTACAACGTTTAATAATCTTAGTCGCCATTCCATTTGCTTCAATAGCAACATCACATCTTTAAGGCATAGAAGCTACCGTCATTGTTACCGTTTATTCATGATGAGAATAGTAATTAGATATTAATTCATATTAAAGTATACCTGATAAAAACGGATGAAAAAAAACATTATAAAACATATTTTGGAATTTTTTTTAAATATATTCACATGAAGGTAAATATTTTGTGATTGCAAAAACATTTCGTCTTTTCGAAGAAATTCGGCTACCTTCTTGAAAAGGACACAAAACAAGCTTCACATTGTTAATTTCATTTGGGACTCGTGTAAGTACAACTAAAAGAATGAAATAATTTAGAATTTCCCTCAAACTAGTGAAATTGAATTGAATTTCACAGAAATTTCTTTCAATTATCTACCAGATTCCAATTAATTATTCGGTTTTGGATAGTGAGTTCGTAAATCAGCTAGTTTGAGGGTCACCTTGAAGTAAAAATGACCTCGCAAATTTATATGTTAATCGAAAACGAATGCAATTAGCAACATATTGACAGAGAAATAATCTCGTATGATATTTTGAATAAACTGCCGATAAATTACATTACGCGCATTAATAAAAGTTTAAAAAATATGCATAGTGGCAATTTGTTATAAAATTAATGGAAAATTTGAATATCACCACTTCTACTTTTTCAATGATCTTTTATTCTTCAAAATCACGTTTTTATTGTTATTCTGCACAGGTGTCCAAAATCTCCATGGCCACTTAAGTGGGTACTATATTTTCTCCTTGGAATTTGAGATTCAGGTGTTAATTAGAAATGTGAAATCACAGAAATACATTATGCATGCAAATCTCGCTCAATTGAATACTGTATTCAATTTACAGTTCAGTTTCAATCGAACACATTGCCCATCTGCTATTCGTACATTTCCTTATTCTCACTTTCCGCTTCAAGATGTATTGAAAATGCGGCATCCAATTGTTTTCGCCATGTTCGTACACCGGAACGTGAACGTATTATTAAACCCATAAATACATGGAAATGAAGGTTACGAAAATCGCAATGAATCCAAAAACTAATTTGGCAAGGTTTGACAGATAAATGATATGTTTTTGACAATGATCAATGGCTTGATGACCTTCCAAGTTTCGAGCGTAGATTGACTGATTGATGAATGTACATTTATACGAATAAACTTCTTCACCTGGGTGATATGAATGGTTCAACAAAATTAACACATCTGCCATATTTGTATTGAAAGAATTTATTCGATGAACTTTTCTGCTCCCTACCCCACATTGTATGGTACACTTTAACAGCATGTGTCACTCGCTATAAAATGGGTTTTGCCTATCCCGTTTTTACTGCCGAACGTGTTGATTCGAACTTGGCTATTGAAATCAACGACGATATTACATACACGTGATTTCACCTTCTTTTGTATGACACGACTAAGAAGCGAAAGCTTACAATATGAATCGGATTATGTTGTCGCGGTAGTTGAGGAAATCTGAAATAGGATAATCGACTGGAATGCCGGTTTTCGGTATCGCCCAATAAGGTAAACGAAAATGTTTATGGAAATTGTATTCATTCAAAAATAACCTAAACAGTTCAAAAAATCATTTATAAAAAGAAGCTTGAATTAAGCTTGAGGGCTTCACTGCATTTCTCAATAATCTCACCTCATCAACATTTCTAGGATTGTTGTTGTAAAACTGAAATTTTCTTTTCAGATTTCTTCCATTCAAAACTCCAATATTCCGACACCAATATGCGATAAACAAATTCCTTTCAATCACTCAATCTTCGGCCCCCACAAATCGCGACATGTTAAAAGAAACCGATTATTATACAAATCTCAATCATTCATCAAATAATAGGAGGTCGGAAATATCATAAACGAGGTGAATCCCGAGACCGATCTGCAGATAGTAATGAGATAACATACTCGCACAACCTATACTAATCCAGACGCTCAAGATTTATTTGATGGACGCTCTTTTTGCGCTCGCCATTCTCCAAGGGTCATATCTGATGGCCTTGCATACCCGTATTGGGCAACCATACCAGCCAACCAGCCTACCACCATCCACCCATCCAACCACATCGCCACAGTAGGCAAATTCCTGCAACACCATCAATTGTTGTAGTTGCACCTGCATTGGTACGATATATCTCACAGTCTTTCTCTGCCTACCTTTCCGCTGACCCCGCCTTCGTTTTTCTTTTCCTCCTCGCACTAGCCCAACCAACGTCCGCGCGCGCGCTCACACAGAGACACTCTTAGACTGTGTGCCTATTATTGTCCGACTTGAGAACGCCGCCCCACCTTCCGATTCCCTCTTTTTGCCCTTCCTACTCATCCTCACCTACCTTTTTTGGATAATTGTTGGCACCATCACGACGTTAAAACGCACCAGCGATAATGCTATCGTCGCCGCTGTTTTTATCATTGGCTTCTGTGTTCACGCTTCTCGGTTTGGCACTCGTCTCGATTGCAGTCTCCACGGATTCCTGGACCGAAGTCACAGTGAGTTTTTTTGTCAAAATAAAATATGCAAAACTGGAAACTTCCAACAGCTTCACTTGTTATCTATCAATTCGTCGAGTAGTCCCATCATTTTCCGGGGCAAAACAGCAGGTGGTAATATCTTAGGACCGGTTTTCAACATTAGTTTTCCGCAAAATTTTTATTGCCCCTAATTCTCAAAACTGTTTAATTGAGCAGAGTGTTGTAATTTGACAAACGAACGTTGACATCATTTGAATTTGGAATAGAATAGCTTGTTCAGAATGCCATAGCGGGAACAATTCCGTATTAAATGGTGATTGATTTAATTACCAACAATGTAGATCTAAGTGTTTGTTCATTGCCTACATAACTCGTTTCAAACATCGTTAACTGTTGGTTCAATACAAACAAAAAATATCGATGATGAACCCGAAACCCAAATCGATAATAAAACAATCAAAGAATCATCGACTCCCATCTCCTTTCCAATATTTGTTGACAACACGAAACACGAGATGCTCAACGGTCTCGCCCAAAATTAAGCGACCCTAAAAGAGCCCGCCCGCGAAGATTTGTGCGCGCGTGTATTTATATAATAATATGAATATATAGTGACGCCGCAGCGGTTATTACCTTCAGTGAACGCATGATAGACTCACGCAGCGAAAGGAATCATTTTGCTCGGACATTAAGACTATGGGGGGTGCGGGGGATTTGTTCGGTTGATTGGTGCTGCTGCTAAGGAGGCAATTCCGCATCACTCTTGAACAAGGGCAAGGTCAGATGAGGGTAACAATAAAGAGCGGGATGAGGGAGATCTCAAAGAGATATTATACAACGCCAACCTTGCGTTAATCTGTAATATGTTTATCATAAAAATGGCGTTTGAAATCTTCAATGAAGAATGACGTAACCCCCGAAAATTGATGCCTTATATGGAAATTTTATTAGCATTCAACACGACAAGGTCAAGGTGTTGCGGGACCACTTTGATCTTACTTTGTAGACGTGTAATTATTTCTAAACCTTATCAACCTTGAACGGCGAAAAAGTTAACGCATAATTAATCATGCTATAAAAGGAAATGCAATCAAAATTACTTTCATATTTATAGGTGAATCGTCGAGAGATCCTGAATGCCTTCAAACGTGAGCCGGAATTGAGCCTTCGATTGCAAAACGCCTTCGGTCATAATGTTTTATATTTCTCGCGAACCTACGGACTTTTCCACACTTGCTTCCCAGACACCGTTCCGCAAGGTTTGAGGATTAAAAAACGTTTAATGAGGCAGCCTTGTGAATGGATGAAAAGGTCACCACAATGTGCGAAGGCTGTTCTTTTTGACAAAGACTTTGAAGAATGAAAAAAAAAGTTCAAACCAATTTCTGCATTAGCGCAAGCAATTAAACTCTTCTCAAAACATTTTGAACGCAACGTTTAAATATAGTTTGAAATTCTCAATTTATTATACATTAATCGCTATTAGCAGCAAATGAGTGAATAAGTGCCTTTGTCTTTCAACGAAGGCCGCGACCACAAAAATAAAAGACTGATTCAATTTTTTTTTTCAATGAGACAACTAAAATGCAGTTAATTTATTTTGGTTGCAGACATTGGAAGTTTCTCAAAATTCAACGCGCCCTGCATTTGGAACAATGAGTTCAATCCACCAGAGGCGAAACGCGAACATTACACCAATGGCGAGTGGTATCGCCTGTATGCCTACAGATCGTCCATCATTTGCTATGCGGCAGGTAAGGCAATGCCATAGATATTAAACATAAGGTGTCACGAATATGACCAAAATCTACTCTAATACAAATATTGACATTTGCTCAAATGACCATTGTCTTGTAGGTATTGTTGTCGTTGTTCTGAGTTTGATCACCGGTATCTTGGGATGTTGGAATCGCTCGCGAAAGCTCGTCATCACGACTGCTATTCTTCTCCTCATTGCTGGTAATTATCATGTTTATTTGCTCTGCAAATCAATTGGTTCTAGCGCTCGCCATGTGCCTTTCAATGATTGGATGGCATTATGTTGCCTATAGCGAACGATATTCCTTGGACATGGAGCCATACTACAAATCATGGGAGCCGGTAGGAATATCCTCTTTCAATCTATCACAACCATAATAAAAAACACACACACATCGCGATGGGACATTCGTGGGTAAACGATGACCGTGGAGGCGATAGAATAACATAAGGGCCACTTGAGTTTTCGGCTGTCAAACAACAAGCCGAACAAGATTCCCAACGTTTAAAGTGCACAAATTTGCCAGTTTTTTTGTTGTCTGCCAATCGGGAACCAGCGCATACAACTGTCTAAATAGAAAAAAAACAACAACAACAAGATTGAATATCTTTCAGGTTCTCAAGCTCACATCGCGCTACAACTATGGCTGGTCGTATATTGTTTCCTGGGTTGGCATCGCATTCTTGATGCTCGGCAGCGTGTTCATGTTCTGGTCGTACGTCGCTGTCAAGGTGCGTTTTAAAGATGGAATGTTGCAAATCAGCGAAAACGGATATAATATCAGCGAACGATGTCCTTGAACGCAACGCGCAACATTTTTCCTAAGAAATTGGATAGGTGGATTATAATGAATTATGCAATTAATAGTGAAAACGAGAGGACGCGGATTGCGTAGCAATCGATCTATTAATGGAATGCTTGCAATTGTTCCGGCAATTATTTGATTAGAATGTTGCTTCTTCAGGACACAATTATGTCCGGATAATGGAAAAAAGATAAAAAAGTTCTCTCTTGTAGAATCTTTAATGGTAGTAGTTTTGAATTTTTTTGAATTATCGCCATCCCATTAACCATCAAGTCAATTAATACCATGAATTATTTATTAGATTGTTTGGCTATTTATTTGACAAGAACGCCAAGTGCCATAAAATTACCCTTCAAAACATTTGACAACATTGTTGTTCTCAATCGCTATTTCGCTAAATTCATATGCATTCCGTTGCAATAATTTTCGACAAGGTTAAATTTGCGCGCTCGGAGACGATGGCCGATGAGATTGAGAAACCGATATAGAGATAGGTGGAATGTGGAGAAAGACACGAGAACGTGAATAGGGCGATTTTCATTAACTTGTTGATTAAAACTAGGTCAATTTATTGCGGGGTTGACCAACTTTTCGATAAATCAAAACAACGACTAATTTTTGATGATTGGGTGCTTCTTTGGAAAAAGAATGACAAATGGATTTATTCGCAATTTTTTTTAGAGAGAGGAAGAAATGGCTTTGTCCGCGAAACATGGCGCTTACCTGATGCCAAACTATTACGACAAGGGAGCTGGAGCAGTCGTCCCATATGGCTATGGAACCTATGGAGATTATGGAACCTATCCATATTACAATCAATACAACACTGCTGGATACTACGGATACATGACATATGGACGTTAAATTTCAAATTCCTTACCAAAGATTTTTCCCCAAAACAAAAAAAAACACCTACTTGAATCACGAGGTATTCCACTGTGCAGATTCATTTTTTTAGAAAAGTGAAAAGTTGCCTATTAGAAATTTCTCCTCTTTTATTTCATGTTCATTCCTTGCCAAATCCCATTGCCGTGTAATTCTTTCTGATTTTTTTTCTCGCACATCGGTCACATCCAAAACCGCCGTTTCAGTTTCCATTCATTGTTGAGATTCATCTACTTAACGCGCCACGCTCACTCAGTTAATTCCCTTCTTTTTTCTTTTGTAAAACGCCATAGGGACCACCTCTCCAAAAAAAATTCACTGGTGCTTACCAAAATTTGTTCGTTTGAGATTTTACCGTACATTTGCTTATTATTCGAAACTCTTTCCATATCTTACTTAATATTTAAAAAAATTAATTCGCCGTTTATTCATATTATTAATTTACATTAAGTCTTGATTTCTGACAGAAATTCTGACCTTCTGTAAAATTCTACAATATCGATACTCGATTTATCAAAAACCTCCTCAGTTTATTCGTTCAAAATGTATAGATTTTTATATTTTACAATTTCCGATAATAAATGTTTTATATAGAACGTTTATATTATTTTTAAAAACAATAATCAAGAATTATGCTAATTTATAAACGTTAGACACCATCACATAACATAACTGTAATTGCAACTAATTTTGCTTAATCGATTCAGTGAGTGTAATCCAACCCATTTAATTCAAAAATATTGTTTCTTCTATAATCCTGCTAATATATATGTAGATAGAAGAATACACTATTCTTTTATAATTTTTCCTGTTGATTGGAAAGTTTTAATTGTTTTATTGTTGTCATAGAACAGCTTCGAGAACTTTCCGTACAAACAATGTAATTTGAAGTGGATTAACAACAGAGAATCTCTGATTTCCGTTTTTTTCTATAAAGAAAAATCAACAATTTTTATTTGAAATTCACATTCCGACCATAAGAGTAAATAGTTTAGACCACCGAAATCTGTATTTTTCTCACCTTAGTTTTGTATTTAGGTTGATGCACAATATTTGTTTTCTCAGGGAAGAAAAAACTAACAGAAAAAAGTGAAGGGCACTGAATTACTATAGAGTCAAAATTCTTATAAAAAAAAAATCAAAAAAACATTATTTCTTTAAGATATTTTGAAGATTCAGTTGTTTATACATTGCCATCAGAAGTTTCAGTGAAATAGTGAAATTTGTTTCAGGCGATTTACTGCTGTTTTTGCAATGAATATGATATTTTAATAATTTGAAAAACTCATCGAGAAAACAATTTGAACCATTTTTTAAACTTTAAAAAAATATTTGTGTAGAATAATTCCAGCCGGTACCATTTTTGTCCATATTGTAGTGTTCAATAGTAGCCATGTTGTACAATTATGAAATTACCAACCATATTCTACATTTATTGCGATAATATAAGCATGTTGGAAATAGACTAATATATAGATTTAAATAACAGCGATGTTCTAATTCTTTAATAGTTAGTAGGTTTCAGAATTAAAAAAAAAAGATAGCAGTCAAAATTATTCACGACGCTTTATTGCAGTGTTGGCATATTCTTGACTTTGCACCAGTCGCCCATTTTACTATTCCAATAACAATCGATCCTGCTAGGCCAGGTCTGCCAGTCATCGCTAGAAACAAATAGATATTGTGCAATAAATCATCGAAACTTACACATTTTGTTGCAGTGTGGACATCTAAAATAGGAAACAGCGCTCATGTTTCTGGAAAATTGTAATATATGCTTTCGTGAAAATAACACGTAGTTAAATAAAAAATTGGGTGGAATATTAAAATGAGACGTTTATAATTGAAATAAACGTCAATTTTTAAAATAAATTGTTAACTCGGGAAAACCTACATAAAAATGAAGTGTTCTACTTTTTGGTTTCTTTATATAATGAATGGGATGTTTGCTGTAATCACATAGAAAAAGACAAACAATTCGGTTCAAAGTTGACGTAAAATGTTAGAGTAGATAATTGTAAATAAAAATCAACTTTTGTTAGAACCATTCAAACTGATAAAAAACAATCAAAGGCCAAATCCAAATCTCAAAAAATGTCTGTGTCTCTTTAGACAGCTTGTTCTTGATTCCATTGTTTTGTAGTGAATTACAAGTAAAATCCCCGCAGCGCTCTTGTAAGTTCTTAATCCAAGCAACAATCATCAGTTGAATAAATATTTAAATTTATTCTGTATGCGTAATTTGCATATCAATTTACTTGTTTTTTCCCCTCGTCTACGATAAAAAATATAATGAAAAATAGTAACAAGTTTTTTCCGAAAATGTATTGACCCTTTTTGTAATTTGTATTACAGTAAGCAATGTCGTTTCTTTTACATAATTATATTAGCAGTTATAAAACATTTTCTTTCCGAAAGGCGATAAATATTGAATTTTAGAACTTTTTCTTATCTAGATTTTTATGCTATTTGCTGACGGATTTGCTAATCTCAAATAAAATCTTAGTAGTATTCCAATTGCATTTTTACCTTGATGAAAATTTCAATTTTTTAATTTGTGTTCAAAATTGGAATTGTTTTTTTTTGAGGTAATTTTCAAAAATGTAAATTTAATGACGTTAAAGTCAGAAGACGAAATTTTATTTTTTTTTCTGTCTTGCGTTTATTTCATATGTATTTGGGAGAACAAAAGTTTTGGGAATTTGATAGAGTAAGTGTTTCATTCATAAGCACTTTCAGAACATCAATGTTTTTTATGATTCCCTTTAAGGTATACTCTTTTTTAAATATTATTATTTTTTAATTAATCCAATTTAGATACTACGGTACACATTACAATGGCGCATTGGGTGCGGGATTGCGTGGCGGGCAGCTGCGACCGGCAAATTTTTAGGATTTACGAAAACATTGTTTTCGTCATCTTCTCACGAGGTTTTCTCCCAATCGAATCGATGCTGCCGGGCTCGGCGTAGCAAATGTTCGCAAAATTGATTTGTGTGGTGACCTAACGAACGTTTGGTGACAATTCGTTACACTTTTGTATCGAATTTCAAATTTCCAAAATAATAGCATATGTTTACGCAGTGATTGTGAGCTTTCATCGATTTCCTGCTGACATTCCTCAAATAACAATTTTCATTAAAAAAAAAGTCGTTCTCCGCGATTAATAACATTTTAATGAACACTATTCCATAACTCTTCTTTTTCAGAAGATGATGTCAAAAGAGCAAGTTCTGGAACAGTGGGCGCGTTTTGTCACAGTGCGTGAACAAAACAAAGGTTACAAAAATAAATTTCCGCGCAAAATCTCTCATTGACAATATGGAACGTTTTCAGAAAATTTTCCGTACACTAATTGCGCCATTTGTCACACAGAGCTCACCATCCACCAATATTGCGTCCTGAACAAGTGCACACATGTGTTTCATATTGATTGTATCACCGCCTGGTTGAAGGTATGATGATTCATTTTCTTTTTCCAACTTTGTTTTCGAATTCAGCTCTCGTCCACCTGCCCGATTTGTCGCATAACGGTCGATCAAAGGACGTTTCTCAGCAGCGGAAGAACCGTCACAAAAGAAGTGCCGCAAATCGAAAAACGTGACCGGGTGGGTTGGGTTTATTGATTTTTATTGATGTTGGCAGACACATTTCGAACACTTTAATGTTGGCTGTCATTGATCCGCCTTATATACACGTTTTCAGGAGCTGGTAAAATGTCATATTCACCGAAACATCGATGTTTGCGATGCTGCTGTTCGCTACTATATGCGTACCTGTAAATTTCGTGGGTATGAATATTAGTTAACTCAATATTAAAGCAATTTTGTAAATTCAGACCGATGGAGCTTGAAGATTATCAAAATATCGTTGATCTGTTCAAAAAGAAAGCATCAGAGCGTTGCTGGAGTAATGAGGTTATCCAATCAGAATTGGCCATTTACCTTCAACGCTTTATGCGTTACCAACAGTCAGGTCTATGCGTTGATGCATACTTGGGAAAACTTGAGCACGAAATGACGCAGAAGTTTGAGGACGAGGTTGCACAACAGGAAGTCGTAGGGCTTGTACTGGATCTTGTGAAGGCGGTTGCACAGAAAGTTGACAATGAAGTGATCATGAAGAAAGATGACCAAAAAGATGGAGGGAAGGAAAAAGAAGAAGAATGCACAGGTCCGATTGATCAGCCAACAGATTTCAAGTTCGCCGTTCCCGAGTTGCCACTGAAATATTTGTGTCAGTAGACAGTGTCAAATTTAACTGAAATTTCGTTATCTCTGTTCTCTTCCATATCTCTGTTCTCACTTTTCCTCCCTTTTCCTTTACCTCGATATTAATCGTTAGTATATTTTATCAGCTTCGCAGCCGCTGTTGTCCTATTCGCACCCGACATTTAACAAAGTTTACCATTTTTTCGTAAAGGTCTCGCGATTGACATGCCATTTATTCCCTTCCAATTTTGTTGTTATTATATGTCTGTTTGTTTGTTGGTTTCAAAAGAAAAAAATCGATCAATAAATAATCGCATTTTAATACATTTTATTACTTCGTTGCCAACGATAGCAATATTTCTATTCATTTTTCAAGTTTAAGATTATTTTTGATTTTCTAATTTGCAGGTTAACCAAACACCATCAAGGTAGGAATTACAGGTTCTGCGGCAAGATATTTTAATTATGACTGCTGCGATGACGTGTTTAACTGGTTCTACAAAATAAATTTCAGATGTCCTTTTTAAATCTGAACGAAGATTATCCAATTGCTTCAAATCTGACACAAGGGAATCAAACTGCTGGTATTGCTCATGTAAATGAAGTGCCACAGGCTCCAGTCTACCATGAATTAACACCGGTTAAACTGGATCAGCATCAAGGTTGGAATTGCAATTTTTTTCGGTATTTATTAAGTTTTAATAGGGTTTTATGCTCAACGGCAATATTATACAACCTCATTCAATGCGGCGAGCAATCCAACAAACGAGCAGCAAACATCACGATTTGCATCATATTATCAATGCGGCCGAGCTGTTGCAGGCGGTACAGTTTCCATTGAAAATTTTGTTTCGTTCAACGCAAATAGATAGTTTTCAATATCAAATAAAAAATAAGAATTTTAGACCAATCCGATTGCAATGGCTTGTTGTATCACGCAGAAGGTGAAGGCGGCGCCAATTATTTTCCAAATGATCGTGATTCAACAAAAATTGACAGCATTCCAATATCGTCAGCATTTCATAACCGGTTCGACTACACCTATGGATTCCCGGATTACAATCGCAATAGTGTCACTGCTGATCACAAGTGGATACCTTCGGGTAATACACATTATGTTGCAAATCTTTGCGTAATAAAAAATTCTAGAATTTGAGAAGAATCCATATCTGGTGAGAAACGATAACTTAAACGTTTCCAACACTCAATTTGGATGGCTGAATTGTCGGAATGAGCTCGATTTGTCGGCTGCGCCAGAAGCAGATTATAAAGAAATTATGATGATTAATAACTCGACAATTGAGAAAACATCGTTCCACAATGACGGTATGTTTGCGCAAAAAATCCCGGAAAATTTATTGAATACTTATCAACATTTGATTTATCTAAACGGACCCGTAAGTAACGCAAAAATTCGCTTGGCTGATTTTTTTTGAACGCGAAAAGTTTTTTGTACAATTCTTCGACTCAACACATAATATTTCATTTGATTTCAGAAAAGGAAAGAGATAAGGCTGAAAATATAATGGCTTGTTGGGATGACTATAATATGAAACACGTCGACCAGATAATGTATGAGGAACTGTATGATGAAGACGAAGAAAGAAAAAGAACCGAAGAGAAAATTGTAAAACTTCCAAACTACATTTTTAATTCAAATTTTGTTCAGCATTATTGGTTCCAAAATCATGCTCCGAAGAAGTTGGAGAATGAGACCTTCGAAACTTATTTAAATAACTTCTATAACAACAAGTAAGAATTTTTTATTCTTAATGTAATGATCTACAGTGTTGAAGGTGGTTGTCGAAAATACATTACGATGCGCTCGTCAAAATACTCAGCGAGAATCACGAATTGAGACACCAACGGATGACTTCGTATGATGCCACATTAGAAATGAATGATCTTCTTTCAAAGAATGGAAATGATATTCTTGGCGAATTTGACGAAGAATCACAGGAAGAGGATCACCCGACTGATCGTCTATTTAGAGAAGAGCATTTTGTAGAGGAGGGAGAATCACAAGATGAGACTTCTGATCCAATCGCGAATTAATGAATTAATATTGCTGTTTTTCTGTAAAATTATTCTGCTTAGCCCTTTTTTCTTTCAATTATATAATTAATCGAGATTTTAGTACGTTAAAACGTTATTTTTTTTTGTTTCACCTGCTCATAATTTACGATTCGTTTAATTGCTCAAATTCTGGTTTGAGATACATTTCACTATGATGCCGTTCACCAGTCGCCTTGACCGATTACTTATTGTTATCCGAGAGATTTTTGAATCGTTTTTTTTGGCATGATCATCATTTTGTAAATTCGGTGCAATTTTCTCTTCGTATTCGGTTAATTTTCTCCAACCAGGTGTTGTTTTCAATTCGAATTACGTTCTGCCTAATAAAAATGGTCAGCTTTATCGTGAAACTGAAACTGTTGCAGTAAATACATTATTAATGTGAATTTCATTTTTTTTTTTGTTAGTAAAAAAATGTATCAAATTCTTTCTTTGATCATTTATTGATTTACACGATAAGTATTCAGAAATTGTACAAATTGAGTTGCTCCTTGATGTCCTCCTCGTTATCCATGCCAAACATTTCCTTATTTTCCATCATCAAATTCATAATCGATTCCATTTGTTGGGCCTTGGCAATACGCTCCTGAAATGAAACCGATAATATGGAATTAGTTTCTCCAATTTCATTCTTACCTGCTCGCGCTCGGCAGCTGTCATTTCGGCTTCAATTCGTCTTGTTTTTGCCTTCAGTTGAGCGGTCGCCAATTTTCCATGAAGTCTTCCAAGGGTTTGCGAGATCCGGTCACTATCAAGCGGACGATCCTGTAAACGAACAAAAAGCATAGCTTCTACGTCTTTCAGATTTTAATATCTCAATACCTCATCAGCAGAAATGGACACTTTTCTTGTCGACGAGCTCATCACTTTGCGATTATTGATTTGCGGCATTTGCTCCTCTTCCTCATCGCTCACTTCCGAATCACTATTCTCTGTTCGATGTCCGTTGGTCTCCTTCGAACATTGACCTCCTAAAAATAATTATAACTTGGACATTTTCAACGAATTCCGTTAACACACCATCGAATCGCTCTTCAACTTCCGGATTAAACGCAACGCGATTTCTCGTGCGGATATTGGACTAAACACCAAATGTTTAATAAAATATTTTCATGAAAAATAGCCTCACCGTATTAATTTTGCCCTCGTCATTGAACAGCGAATCTTTCAACTCATCTCCGGTGCGAATTCGAGATTTCTCCTCTGTAAAACTTTAAATGTGTTCTGTGGTTGACCCTGAAACCATACTTCGCTCGGAAGCCTCTTTTTCAGCAATCTCTTGTTCGCGTTTAAGAGCTTTCCTCATTGGTCTCACATTCATGAAGTAATGGCTAATCCATCCGACGACGCCGCCAACCTATTTGCAAGAAAATCCATTATTCAAGCATTCAATTCGATTCTTACCATCAGCGAGAATACAATTAGCTTAACGCCATACACATTGGTAAATTCCATAAGCTGGGTGTAGAAGTCAGTTGGTTTCGACATTACTGCAAAAAACGAAATTGAATGGTGTTAACTGCATAAAATCAATCAAAAGAGTGCAGAAAAGCAAGTGCGCACAAATGAAAGGGCATGTAATTTTTTTTCGTTCTCTAAATGTTAATTGAAAAAAAAGACCAACAAAGCGAGTCCCAAAGACCTGACTCAATATGAATTAAAATGATATGAACAGAAATGTCAAGTCCATACACCACTCGTGGTCGAGAAGCGTTAATATCAGAGTCGGGGAGGCGGACATTCCCTTTTCCGTCACCATGGGTAACAAGGCGTTGCGAGAGAGAGAGAGATTTCATATTTCGAAGCCAAACACATCCGATGGATGCTAATCAGTGTCTAACTCTATAATCGGATATTACATGGAGCTGCCAAACATCGCGTAGACATACATCCGATGTCATTATCGAATTCAACCTCGGCAAAAAGTGCGCTTTACTGCAGGAAGACATGCATGATTCCGAGAATCAAGCAGATGTAAATACATGGAAAAGAGAAAATCAAAATCATTCAGAACTAAGATGAATTTGAACGAAAAAAATCAGTAAAGTGAATTTGAAAAATGAGCCGTTTAATTGAAACAAACAATGTGCATTTGTTTATAGAGCCAAAAAACCGGCGAATGGAAATCCATTTTTTAGCGAATTGTAAGCAAACGCTTTCAACACTAGTGCATAAATCATGAAGAAACGTTCCATTTTTCATTTTGCACTTTTTCTTCCAACACTTTTTTTTCTTTAAATACTCGTTTCTTGAGCTCAAATATTAATGATTAGACAATGCCAATAAAATCCTAATCGCTTTCTTGAAGTCTTAGCATCAAAAATGGCAAAAATGAAGTGGTAATTTGTTCAATTTATTCATAGAACTGATGTGAATCAGTTGGCATGTTGAAGAGAAAAGAAAATTAATTGCTAAATTAAGCTGTCGAAAATTCCAACTTTTAGGCGACTAAAAAAGTGGAAAAATGTGGCAGACCGAAACGTCTCTAGTTTCAGAAAAAAAGGTCCGATTACACCTATTTTCTATCGAAGGATTTCGAATGCCAACGCTTGTGAATTTATAATCAACTAAACGCACGCAAGTGTCACGAAAAGCAACAAATCGATTTGCGCAACGTCGAAAAATTATTCAAAGTAATTGGGGGTAGCGGAAAGAAAATTGACTGCGTCGAAAAACGCCGGATTTTCCAAAAACAAAAAAAAACAATGAAATGCGCTGCGAATTTGCTGTGATTTTGTCATTATCGTGCTGTGAACAAAGTCGAAATGGGATTTTTTTAAAGTATTGCGAAAACGCGAACGCAAAACAATTACTTACTTGGTGGGTCGGGGGGGCGCAGCTAATTATTATTTCACATTGCGCATTTTTGGTTTTTGCGCTTAGTGCCCAAAACCTGCCAATTTCTATTTAAACTCAGAAAGCGTATATAAAGCAGAATGTTAAGATATGTTATGAAACTCGCCTTTTATTTACTCAAATTTACAAAACACTCGATATAAAAGCAATTCTCTAGAGAATAGTACGATAAAAACAAAAAAATAAAACATTCTTGTCGACGAAATAAAATGTCGCAAAACTTCTAAATGCCAGCAATTTTAAGAAAACAACAATGATTTTTGGAAACGCAATGTCTTCAAGAGCACGATTCCTCATAAACCATTGAGCCAGAAGAGACTTTGCTCATTTATAAAAAATGGAGGCTTATTGCAATAGACAATGGGGACTTTTAAGAAAAGAAAATGGTAAACGCTCACTGCAAACGTGAAAATTGTTTTGAGTTTCACCAACAAATTTTTTCGAAAGCTAGTTATGTGGGCTTCGAATGAAATAAGGCTTCGGACAAGAAAAAATGTGTTTTTGCACGTTGCACTATGCACCAAACCTATTCATAATTGACGAAAGTTGAAAAAAATATTTTAGTTTGGAAGCATATTTGAAAAACCAAACTAATTTTTGCCGAAGAATTTGGGCAATTTGAAAAAAAAATGTAACATTGGATGATAAATATGGCAAGTGTTAATTCAAATGGCGTCCTCGGTGCTTTGGAGTGACTTTGCGTTCGTTCTACTCGGCAATGACAGATTGAATGAAAACCACAAGCATGATTGTATAGATTTTACGATCTCTCAAGAAAATATTCGATATGTTTATTAAAAAGTGTATAGAAAGATTGCGAGGTGTTGATATTTGTGTAAAGCGGTGAATTTTTGAACATCATAACACACTTCGGAATTATTGATTCGCTTATAATATCTTACACTCATTTCAGCAGGTTTTTCTACATAGTAATCGAAAATTCGGGGATTTATTCGAATATTTTTTTCTATTATAAAGCACCTGCAATTACACACCTTAGAGCATTATTCACAGCACATACTTAATTTTTTCCTATTTTCATAAATTTCTTTTAATTTTAAATAATATGCGCTTCTTATACATTATCATATTCCTTGTCATTCAAACGAAAGCCGCCCTTGATTTACATTAAACAGCAGGTAGTGTTTCGCGCGGAATGTGTAAAATCATCAATAATTTTATCGCACTGACGAAACCGTTATAGCCTATCATTCTTTCTTTGAAAGTAGCCTTATCACTCATTATGATAACCAAAACTCACTTTTATTCCTTGAGTTTACATATTGCCACGCGCTGCATTGATATTGTCGGATTGCACTGTAAAAATAAATCAATAGTCTTTATATGGCTCGTATAAGTAGCGACTATTAGAAAAAAAATCAATACGATGAGTGATTGTTATAAATCGATGTTATCGGTGTGTTTTTTTGCGTTTGTCTCATTTTCCGAGAATCCACTACTCGCCACTCGATGAATGACCGCGTCATTGTTGGACACGCAGGCAATAAAGACGGGCACTTTCGCTGCGTACGTTCAACTTCTCTAACTCGTTTCTTTTGCCAACGCAATTTGAGCAATATCACTGGGTCTTCCTCATTTTTATTTTCCAATTGGTGTTGATTGTGATGTCTGAGTTAGATTGTCACTTGATGCATTCGTTTCTCTTAATTGATTGTTCCAACAATTAAACGTATTTCATTCAGCGAACCATGATTGGACAACAGTTGTCGAAAACCGTTCAATTTTTGCAAAAAGGTTAGTTATCGATTTGATGCCTTATTGATAATATCAATTTTGTTTCAGGAAGTGTCCGCTTCTACAACAACACTTACAACAATTTGAAAATCAATAAAAATACCAAGGTTATTGTCCAGGGCTTCACTGGAAAGCAAGTATGATTTGAAAAATCGACAAAACTAGCAAAAAATGATATTAAGGGAACCTTCCATGGAAAGCAAATGATTGAGTATAACACTAAGGTTGTTGGAGGAGTCAACGCCAAAAGAGCTGGTGAAACTCACTTGGGATTGCCAGTTTTTAAGGATGTCAAGGAGGTAAAACTACTTGAAGTTTCATTGATTTAAGAAGAGAATGTTCAGGCTAGAAACAAGACTGGTGCCGATGCTTCAGTCATCTATGTTCCGGCTTCTGGAGCCGCAGATGCCATTGAGGAGGCGATTGATGCCGAAATCCCACTAGTTGTCTGCATCACTGAAGGAATTCCACAACATGTTAGTTTTGAATGCGATTGTTGAGTTTTAGTGGCACATTTTCAGGACATGGTTCGCGTGAAATCTCGACTTGTCAAACAGAACAAGACCCGACTTGTCGGACCAAACTGTCCGGGAATTATCTCCGCGGATGAGTGCAAAATCGGAATCATGCCAGGACATATCCATAAACGCGGAATAATTGGAATCGTGTCGCGCTCGGGAACTCTCACTTACGAAGCCGTTCACCAAACAACCCATGTCGGATTCGGACAAACGCTCTGTGTCGGAATCGGAGGAGATCCATTCAATGGAACCAACTTCATCGATTGCTTAAAGGTTTTCCTTGAGGATAACGAAACCAAGGGAATCATCCTCATCGGTGAAATTGGTGGGTCCGCTGAAGAAGAGGCGGCCAAGTTCTTGAAAGAGAACAACATGGTATTTTATTCAAACGTGATATTGAAATGATGATTGATTAAGGGAGATAATCGCAAGCCGGTGGTCTCGTTCATTGCTGGAGTTACAGCACCACCGGGTAGAAGAATGGGTCACGCGGGAGCGATCATTTCGGGAGGAAAGGGAACCGCTGCTGATAAGATTGCCGCTTTGAGAGAAGCCAACGTAGTTGTATGTTATTGAATAGATCATTGATCAAACGATCATTATCAAATTAAGGTTACCGACTCGCCGGCGAAATTGGGAACATCGATGGCCACCGCTTTTGTTCAGAAGATCTAAGTTATTATCGCTATAGTAATTTTTCAAATATTCGAATTGAAGAAAATTGTTTCTGAGTGTGTCTAGACTTTTGGATAAACCTAGCCGTTCATCTTCATTTATTATATGTGTCGCTTCAGCCAAAATTAGTAATGAAATTTATTTTTTTTTTCTTATAAATGAGGTTTTCAATGAAAATGGCAAGTTTGGTTTTAAATTAAAGTACATACATTGTTAGAGATCACAGGACTGCAGAATGTTAAAAAGGATTATCTGATGACAGCTATAGATAGAGAAATACAATTATACAAACTATTATAGTATTAGTGAACGCAGTGGAAGAGGTTTCAATTAACTCAATAACCACGGAATGATCATCCAGGAAGGTTTCTCGAGTCCATAGGGAATTGAATCGAGCTTTAGAAACTTTTCTATTTTCGGGAATTCTGAAATTAAAAAAACCATTTTTGTACCTTTTTACGAAATTTCTGAACATACATTATATCTTCATTGCTAATCTCAGTTATAATGTATCCTTGTGCTTTCAAATGATTGAGAACACTGTGATTTCCAAAAAAATGACCTGTAATTATACAATGAATATGTTTCATTGGAATTTCTATCAAAATACCGGTTCCTATTGCGGAAAATATCGTTTTATCCTTGAAATTAGTGATAAGTGAATCCAAACGCTTCGCCATTCGTGCATTTCTTCTAATAATAATATCGTTCTTCAGTTTCTGGTCAATCTGAAAACGGAAATAATAATTTATTATTTATTTTAAATTATACGTTCAAATTACGATTTTTGATCTTTATTCGTTTGAGATAACAAAAAAATTAATAAGTTTTGCCGGTTTTTCACGAATCATCAAAATAAAAAAAATGCCTTTATGCCATGATGTCTAGGTGTGTATTTACGAATTCTGCGTTTAATTTTTAGCCAGCATTAATTGCAACTACATTCTCTTAAATGCTGTTAGTTGACACAATTCAATCCTCATCAATGTTGTAATTTGATTTAAAAACTTTGTAAATTTTAATACGTTATTTGAATTTTCCAAAATGGGTCAATTAAAATGCGAAACGTTAAAATGTCTTCAGATTTTTGAAAGTATCGAATGTATTTAATCAATTCTTATTTGCAAAGAAATTGCAAAATGTTTCGACCACGGCAGGATTCGAACCTACAATCTTCTGCTCCGTAGGCAGACGCGTTATCCATTGCGCCACGCGGCCATTGAAAAGGCATGAGTGAACTTGGTATAAGAAGTGGAAAGCCCTCGCAGTTTCACATAATGTTGGGGAGGGGGGAGAAAAAGAAAGCTCGCCAATAATAGGGCGCAGGCGAAGAGAGAAATATATTGAATAGTATGTGGAAGATGTAGATTCGGGTGCGAGAATAAAAACTTTAAAAAAAGAACCAATGCGATTTTTGAGGAAAAAGTAGATATGAAACAAAACTTTTAAAAACAAATATTAAATAGAAATGAAACCGAAATTAATAGTAAGGAAATGATTTTTATTTACGATGGAGACATTTTTAAAAATGTTTCTGACATTTTTTGGAAAATTCCTCACCTTTTCAGCTCTTTTCCTATCTTCCAAATTCGCATGGCTCTCCGTTCTACTTATTTCGGTGGCATCAAAAATCTTCTCTTCCAGAGTTCCGCATTTGTAATGCTTCACCAATTCCGAAATCGATCGGCTCTTTTTTGTTTGAAAAATTCGATCCCTTGCATAAATGCTTTCCAGGTATCCGACGGTATAGCTTATCGAAAAGATGATCTGAAAAAGGTTTGCAATTTTCCCACATCTTCAATGACCTCTTATGGATTTACAAAACATAAGTGGCACAAAGTATTGGCCCTTCATTATTGTTTGACTCAAGAATTATCTATGGTCAATGGCGTTCACTAATTGACTTGCATTGTCATTATTTACATTCGACAATGGATGCACATCCTCGGAAATATGGTAAGGTGTGAAGAATGGTGCAATGTTTGACAACAAACCAAAATTGACGTCTTGCTTACATCATCATCAGACACAGATTCGATCGGATTGCACTGTTCCTCTGTGGTCTCAATCGCTCGAATCATTTTCTTCTCACTAATGGCCTTCTGAGCCAAGAATAGATCAAGCATCGGGCTTGACGATCGCTCCAGAACATTCTCGCACATTTGATACAATAAGAAAAGCAGCCATTCTGGTCTTTTCCTCTCCCAGCCGTCTGAAATTTGACCAATGACTATTAATATCGCCTTGTTCAAACTTTGACGATGATCCACTCAGGACAAGTGGGTATATATGTTTTGTGTATTTGTGCTGTGTCGGACCCAATATTGAAACGTGAGAACATGTTGTCTCATGACACACAATACGGTATAAAGCTACCATACCTGTAGACATTAACTGACGTCAGGTAACGGTAAAAAATTTTCTAGCCATGAAAATAGTCGGGAAATTTAATACTGCGTGGGTTGTGTTCTGGTAAAAACAAATATGATTTTGTCTTGTGGTTTATATCGACAAAAACCCAAAATTTCTTAAATTCCAATCAAAAATTGAAATGGTTTGGAAATGGCGATAAAAATTTACCATTTTCTACTGAGCTCCCCTATCATTCAAGTCTTCACGTAAATAATTAAAAGCAACATTATTTTTGTTGGTCAAAAACAATAAAATGTCATACCTGCAATGCTGGTGTACACCTCATTTGCTCGCTTGAATGCATCCTCATTGTGGGTGTTTTGACGCTGAGCCCATGATTGAAGAACTTTACGAAAAAGAAGCATCACTGTAATTACAAACTCGAAATAAATATCTCGTTTCATATTTTTACATCGTTCAATTCTATTATAAAGTGAAGGAGGTAAATAGGATTTCGCAGTTTGCCTTCTTTTCAGATTCTTGCATCGAATCAACCTCCGCACCGTCGCTTCATCCTGCAGATTGACTTCGAGCAGAACAGTGTCGGACAATGAAAACGCTTCCCTGACTCGATCGCTCACTGCAAAAACCAATGGGTTTATAATTAGAGGCAATTTTGTTGGTGTTTCCGTTAATGCGCGAAAATTGGCACCAATTAAATATGTGCCAGATTTTTGTAGACAATAAGCAACACACGCGCACCTGCTGTTCACTCAAGATTCTTTCTTTCTTACTCACATATGAAATAAGCCGATAATTGAATTTTGTACATCTCTAATTGTTGTCGAAAATGAAATAATAGTATTCAATTTGCAAGGAAATTGAAGGAAAATTGAAATTTTCTTCATATTTTTATTAATGGGTCAGGAAAAAAAATAAAAAAAAACCCGTACAAGCGTTCGTTTCATCGGAGCAAAAAAATTCATATTTTCTCTTCACAATATGCGAAATTTCACGCCCAATTACCCATCGAGCACCACGAGGAAAACTGCTCAAAAATTCAAACGGAAACTCTATTGTCTAGGGTTTACTATTCGAAAACACTTTTAGCAACATTCAAAGGTTCACACATTGTTGCCAAAAACACATAGTGACAGAAGTATTTTCGAGAACATTTTCTCATCGCTCAACATTTTTTTGGGTGATTTCTTGCGAAAAAATCTTTTTCATATAAATAATAAATGAGTTTGATGTTACTTATAGTCAATTCAGAAAAAAAAATGTGTTACCTTCATTCCAAACTTCCGTATATGGTACGTGAATGGTACCAAATAGAAATCCACTAGACGAGCTTTTTGGATGACGGATTGACCATAAGAATGTTTTCCTTTTATCCTTAAAGAAGCAAAAATAGAATGGCACACGTGTCAGGGCACTTTACGTGAAAGATCAACATGTGAAAAACCAGATCCTCACCTCAAGACAAAGACCATTCAAAAACGTTGTGAACGCGAATAGTGAGAGACTTGTTAGCAGAATTCGCATCTTTATTGCATTGTCCTCGAAACTCAAATCAATTTGAGAACGACGATTTTGATAGTAGTTGTATTAGTGGGCACTTTTGGGCGAATAAAATAAACAATGTTTATATATTTGGGACGATAGGATTAGGGTGTGTGTGTGCACCAAAAGACTTGTTGGCAGCTTGTTGAAGAGGCGTGTGTGTTTGAGCAAGACTGAACCAATCTGTGGTAGTGCACTAGGAGGGACGGGTGACTGAGGCTCGCGCAAGGTGAGAGGTATTCATAAAGGCGGTGGGCGGAGCTTTGTAACGAGACTATATCAACGGAACTGCATTCTATTTTTGTCTGTGATATTTTTTTCAATTTCTCACTTAATGTTTTTTTTTTGCTTGAAAAGTTTGAAGATGCGGGTTAATTGGATAATCAATGAAGCTAAACTTAATCAATTTTCACTTTGAGACCTAATGTGGAATTATAAATGATATCTTTTATAAAAATCAGAATTATTCCAAATTTAGAATTATCGAACATTTTTTCTACCCTTCATTTTAAAATATCAGTGATGCTTTGAAATTTTTACGAATAAAATCTATTTTCTAACCATAAATAAATATTCCCATCAACCTGTTGCGTTTTCCTAGAATATTCGCCTTTACGTAGCTAACAAACATTATCTAAATCCGGATATAAGCATTACATATTTATTAACTTTAATTTAAAAAAAAAAAGAAAAAATGTGATATCAAAATAAGTTAGAGCAAAAATTTGGCAAGAGCATAAAGAAATATGGAATAAGAAAAATGGACAATCGAGGGTTTTGTCGTCGCATGAACTTTTTGTGTTGTCGCCGTTCCTGGGAATAGTGTTGATCCACCTGTTGACCCACTCGCTGGAGTAGTAGCTTGGGTTGTAGTGGTTGTAGTATTTTGAGAAATATCATATGGAATACTATAACTTTGACGCTTGATGAAGTTGTAGATCATTTGAAGGGCTTGCTGAGGACGATCAAGTGGTACAAGATGTCCAGAACCCTAAATTGTCATGAACATGTGCAAAGTATTTTCCGATATTTTTTTTACTTTAACCGTGAGCACATCGATGTTCATTTTTCCATTCGTATATCTTGTCTGGAATCCAGCATGAGTTGTGTAGTAATCCTTGCTCAGTTGGTAATACCATGGCGAACGGTCCGTTGCAATCTGAATATTGAAAACTTGTCTAATTCCAAAAAAGTTTCTTCAGCCAACCTGGAATTTCAACTTATTCGTGAACGCGTCTGATGTGTAAATTTCAGCACCAAACCAGTTCACCATGGCGTCAACGTCACCATTATACAACAAAATGTTAAAGTCAGCCGGAGCACTGAAGATTGATAATAAGAAAACTAAAACTTAAGTTATTATACTTGTCTATAATTGTCTTAAAAATGTCTGTATCGGTATCAACCTGCTGAGTGTAGGCGTTGATAATCGCGCTGAAAATATTATCGATGTTTTTTTTTGTTATTTTTAGGATGTTAGATCTTACTTCATACCGTACCATCTTCCAACACTGTCTGGAATGTTCAAAGCTTTTCTAACTCCGTTCTGGTTAAGATAAGTTTCCATAGCTTGATCCATGTAGCAAGGGTATCCATTGTAAGGATCAGTAGAATCATAGTTGATTCCAGTCCAGTCCTCGCCATAAGGTGTACGAGGTGTGGTGTCATTATAAGAAAGAGTCCAGCATTGTTGATAAACATTATAAGGGTCGAATGCTTTGAGCAAAAGATTTGCTCCAACACTAACGATCTAAAAATAATTTTCTTAAATGAGAACATTAGAGTAACACTAACAAAGTCGTAGCACGGATCGCTGAGATTCCCCCATGGAATTGAGTTATTCATATTTGTGAATCGACTGCTGAACTTGCAATGGAACTCATCGCCAGTTGGGCAGCACAAGTTCAGAGCAGTTGTATAAGTTCTAAAAATTCATAAATATAATCAGAGTTTTATTCGGAAATTGATTCGGGTACGTTTTATCAATTCCTCCATGATAATATTGGAAGTGAAGTTGCGAATCGAAATCTGTGTTTTTATCAATAACACCATTTCCAATAGCCATTCCCTAAAATATTTACGCAATTTACGTTTTGGTGAAAAAATTGGAAAACCTTGTAGTTAACAACGATGTCACCACTCTTAAGTCCAAGAACAATGAGTTTCGCAAGTGTCGGAACATACACTCCTCCGTAAGATTCACCAGTCGTATAGAAGTCTGATGTTTGATATTGTGGGTAGAGTTTGAAGAATGATTTAAGTGCATTGTAGTTTTCGTAAGCTGTCTTCAAATGTGCATTTTTTAATAATTTGCTTATCAGAAAATTCTTACAGCATTATCATTATATTCAACCGCAACACCATCAGTTGAATACGAATATCCAACTCCGGTTGGGGATTCGAGGTAAAGAATATTCGCAAATTTATTCCACGCGTACGGATTGCGGCTCAATGATGTTCCATCTTTGCTCACACGGTACGGTCCATTTTCTTCGAACAATCCCATTAACGAGCTTGAGCCAGGACCTCCATTCAACCAAAGGAGAAGTGGATCATGCGTTGGATCATTTTCCGATTCAACAAGCCAGTAATGTATCTTATGGTTCTTGTTTCCATCAAGGAATCCGGAATATTGTCGGAATTTCATATCGACTGGAAGTCCTGGAAGTGAGACGATTCTGTCGGCTTGCTGAAAAAAAAATGAAAAATGACGTGTGGATCTCTATTGATTTTACCGCTCTTGTGCAGTTCGTTGACGAAGAGTAGGTTGGGAATAATGGTGATGGCTTTGTATCAATCTCAAAATGTAAATCTTATAGATTTTGCTTCGTATATTTATTGGAAATTACATTGGCTGGAGTACTGTAATTCGTTTGATTTGTCAAGAAGTTCGTGAGCATTTGAAGAGCTTGAGCCGGCCTATCCGACGGCACAAAGTGACCAGATCCCTTCACAGTAAGCTGCACAAGATTTTGGCTCCATGATTTGATATATCCAGCAATCGTTGGTGCAAAGGAACTGGACTTTTGATAAATCCATGGCTGTCGTTGAGCAATTGTCTGATATTTAATAAATTCGAATCAACTTCAAATATCAATTTCTACCGTAAGGTTTCGTTTAGCGACAAGCATTTCAATAAGCCATTGATCGCCCAAGAACTGGCAGATTGTGTCAACATCACCGTTATAGAACATTAAGCGCATATTGTTTGATGTGTACCTGAACCCTTAAAACTTTCTTCAGAAAAATAGATTTTGTTTAACAATTTGGAATTCATGATAGCGTTGATCGTGTCGCTCATGTCGTAGTATATCTCCTGAGTTTTATATTTCCATTGTGGTGTTAACTTACGATCTCTGAATTTTATTCATCTAATTCTCAAAAATAAAGTTGTTGCTTACACGCAATCCGTCCAGCGTATCTTTTTCTTTGCATGAATCGCAGTCTGTACGTCTTCTCTCGAAAGATAGGTAACCAGCGCATCTCCTCCATAGCAGTTCAATCCGCGGAATGGGTCGGTTGAATAATACCAACTTCTGCTAGGTGTGTCTCTAAATTTCACAGCATTCACTGAAGTTCTCTTCCGGTTTCTGAGCTTGATAAGAGCAAGTTGTCGTCGTGAATTGGCACCAAAGTTGTATTTCTCATCAAACTCGTTGTAATCATATGTATAACAGTCTTGATACAAATTGTATAGATCGCCACTTAATAAAAATGGTTAAAACTTCTGTCATTCTCTTTCTAATTTACTATTCTTCATCATTGTAGAATTTATCCTGAATCCAGTTCACCGCATCATAGCAGGCTGTTCCATTTGGAACGCCTTGAAAGTCGAAGTAAATTGGGTTTCCTGTGATATTGCAATCAGATTTCAAAGAATTCCAATCACTGGAAGAAATATGAATTAATTAAACGAATATATTTTGACACATACTCAATTCCATTCATTCCTCTTCCATATTGAAGAACAATTTCCGAGTTAGTTTGAAGATACTCGCTGAGAATTCCATTTCCCACAGCCATTCCCTGAAAACGTTTGCAATGATTTCATTCATATCAAATTGTTTTACTTTAATGTTCAAGTCTAACAATTTTGCAGTAATCATTTCAATCAATTGTAATGTCAACGTCGGACAGTAGACGCCACCATAGGATTCTCCAGTAATGAAGAATTCATTGTGAGCATATTGCGGGAAATTCTGCTTGAAGAATAATTTGATGGCAAAAGCGTTCATTTCAGCTGTCTGAAATAAAACTTTCATATATTTGAACGTAAATTTGAGTTACCGTGTCATCGTTCCAAATATAATTATTGTCTTCCGTATAAGAGAATCCAACTTCAACCGGAGCTTCGAGGAAGATCACATTGGCTTTCTGAATTTACTTTTTTCAAGTTTTCTTCAAAAACAAAACCTTACCTTGTTCCATGAGTAAACATTTTCGTAGAGAGTTTGACCATTATCATCATTGGGGTGAAATGGACCAAGTTCGGTGAAAAATCCACCTATGCTCTGTTGAAAAAGTAATCCAAATTTCCAAGAACGAACCTAACGAGCTGCATCCGGGACCTCCATTGAGCCAAAGTACAACCGGATCGTTAACGGGATCACTTTGAGATTCAATAAACCAGTAGAACAAATGATTCAATGGTTTTTCTGGAGGTGTCAGGTATCCAGAGAACATGCGGTAAGTGACATTCCATGTCAATCCCGGAAGGCTGAGTATCATATCTTTCTTAGCAATATCGTTTAATTTTGTTGGTTGATCCGGATTTGTATTCAAGAAAACTTTTGGTTCGTCAATACTTCGTTTCGAGCGTCTTTCCGAATCCAACGATGGATAAGTGACACCCGGTGGCAATGGGGGCAATGGTGGTAGGGTTGGAAGTGGTTTTGCGTTTGGATAGACCGCTGGCTCACAGTCATCCAAGTTCGTGTAAGCTGGGAGAAGAGGTTTCGGATCAATGTTGTATGGATAAGAATTATTCATGTTCAAATTCTGCAATTTGAACATTGTTGAAAATATTATGACGCAACTCTTACGTGAATGAAATTAAAGATCATTTGCAACGCTGGACCAGGTCGATCTTGCGGGACAAGATGTCCAGAACCCTTCACTGTCATGAGATTCAAATTTTTTTCAAAAGTTTTGATGTATCCAGCCAATTGTGGCACATATTCTGTTCCAGGCAAAGCATAGTTCCAAGTATTTCTCGGAACAACTGTCTGAAAGGATAAAAATCATGCAAATTTAAATTTAATAAGGAAATTCCTAGACATTTAAGCTTATATTCTTTGCAAATTGTTCAATGAACCATTGGTCTCCCAGATGATTGCAGACCATATCAGTATCGCCATTGTAGATCAGAATTTTCATATTGTTGTTCTGAAATTAAGATCTCGCATAACGTAAACATATTGGAAAATCTACGGTATAATAGTAAGATTTAATAATGTCAGCTAACACGTTATCCAACTCAAAGTAGCTTCTATTGTACAGTTGCTCGTTAACAGTTTGGCTGAAAATTTCTAAAATAATATCGTAGGCAAGAATCTTAAACATACTTAAATGATTGCCATTGTTGAACGAATTCTGGGACATGAAGAGCCGTTCGCACATCGGCACGATTCAAATAAATAGTCGCAGCATCGGTATTCCAACATGGAAAACCATCGAATGGGTCAGAAGAATCGAGATTGATAAGTTGCTGAAAACAGAATTTGAGTTTTTCAATTCACTCAAATTCTAATCGAACCCCTTCATCCTGGAAGCCAACGGCAGCATTGAAATCAGAAGAAGAAGAGGAAGAGGTTCCTGGATTTGGGGTAGTATAGCAATCCTGGTAAATATTGTATGGATTATTGAGACTTGTCCAAACCATATCTTGGGCAATTCCAAGAATCTGAACTTATTTTTCACAATTTTTATTACAAATATCTTTTTACGGTTTTTGAGCAGAACTCATCGGCTCCTTCGACTGGATGATAGTTTCCAAGATAGTCAAAATAAATATAAGGAGTGTAAAAATCGCACTCGGTTGGATCGATGTTTGATGGACAGCATTTTGCAACCAATTCGTTGTACTCCCTTAAGCACAATGATTAATTCTAACATTATTCGAATTCTTACGTTTCACCAACAAGACCATATGTGTAAAGTTGGAAGATAACTGAATTCACTTGAAGTTTAGTAGTGAGTTCCGCATTTCCAATAGCAATTCCCTTCAGAAAAACAATTTTTTACCGATTGATAATAGTTTAATCTTACCTTGAAGTTAAGAATAATGTCACCAAGACTAATTCGAGTAATCAATAGACGCGAAAGAGTTGGAACATAAACTCCGCCGTAAGATTCACCAGTTATATAAAACTCGTTCTGTTTATATTCCGGGAAAATGTTGGTGAAAAAGTCTTTCAAAGCATTGTAATTATTTTCAGCCGTCTAAATTTTATTGACACTTCAAATTCAGATAGAATAGAGTTACCAAGTCATCTCCATATATGTAATCATTTGGAGTCGTCGAGTAAGAGAATCCAACTTGATGCGGTGATTCGATGTAAAGAACATTAGCAAACTTAAAATTCCGAGATTCTTCATAATCATCATTTTTTTTCAACATACTCGATTCCAAGAATGAATGTTTTCATAAAGCGTCTGCCCATCCTTATTGGGACGGAATGGGCCATTTTCCGTAAGCATTCCCCAAACCGATGAACTTCCGGGTCCGCCATTCAGCCATAAGAGCACGGGATCTCGATTAGGATTTTGCTGACTTTCAACAAACCAATAGAAGAACTTGTGAGTTTCTGACGCTTTGAGATATCCGGAATACTGGTTAAAGTTGATTTCATACGTCAATCCTGGTAGACTTGCTATCTGTAATGTTTCAAACATTCCCTCTTTTAGTCATGCATTTTTTAGAATCAAAATTTTGTATGCCATTCTTATCTTTATGAGTTTGTCATTCACACCTTTCAGATCACAAATATTACAAACATTTGCCAACCTTATCAGCATTCTTGCGCTTCTCATTATCCACAACCTTCTGGTATTCAGGTAACAGAGGAGCCGCCACTTTGTTGACACGACTCAAACAGTTGTTATAGAATAGATCGAGTACAAAATCGCGGAACAATTGAAGCGACTGCGATGGGCGGGTTTGTGGCGCATAATGTCCTCCTCCCTAATCGACAAATAATTATGAAATTAGCACAAATTAACTGATTACTCGAATTGAAGCGATATGAAGATTATTGGTATAACTCGTGATCACGCCGCCATCCATCCATTTGAAAGCAGCTGAATCATAATTATGACGCCAGATTCGATCTTCAGTCGTGTTCAAATTCAGCGCATCAGCAATTTGCTGTCCGAACAATTGCGCGCCAATAAAATTATTCAACGGGTCCAGATCACCATTGTAAATCATAATCTATGAAAATTTGAATAATTGTCTAGCTATGGATACATTTTGAACCTTTCCTTTATTTTTGGCGTAGTTTGCATCAGTGAGTACTAGGACAATTTGGCCTAAAAGGTCAGTGGAGTGCTGACCGTACTTAATGGCTCTGAAATCTATGAGTTCAATGTTGAAGACAATAAAAGCTACCTGCATGATTCATATTTTCTGTTAAATGAAGACGAAACGTGGAACGCATTTTTCACGTCCTCACGATTCAAGTAATTTTCAGTTGCAATTTCCGCAGTGCATGGATATCCAACAAATGGATCGGTAGAATTATAATTCACAATTGCCTGAAACATGGAATCTTTATATAAAACTCGGGAACATGCTTTATACGCTGGTTTGAAGAAGAATTTTTGAGCGATAGCAATCCTGATAAAGATTCATAGTGTTCCCCCTTAAACGAAGAAATTGCTATTATTTCCCGTCATTGAATGGCACGGTTACATGTTTTTAATCCATTTAGTAATAACATCGTTCGCTTTGGTTTTGCAATTTCCATCAGCATTATAAAAGTCACAATTGATCGTTCTGTTATTCTTGCAGCAAACTGATTTTAAATCATCGTAATCTCTGTGATAAATAGAAAAATGTTTTTGTCAACAAATATTATCAATGTACCTAATGCTTCCAAATCCGTGTGTCAACATGTAAGGAAACATGCTATTATAGTTATGCTGACTGCTCAAAACACCGTTTGCCAAAAGCAATCCTCTAAACTTAATAGGGCTGCTGAACCGCGATTCAAATGGAATTGAGTTGATGAGAAGCTTGTATGCCAATGGTGTAGCAAAAAACGATGCATATCCTTCTCCAGCGATATACAACTCATTTTTTACTAAATTCGGATAAATTGTGTAGAAGTCAACCAAAGCGTTCAAAATTGCGCTGACGACCTGGTGTTATAATACTATCATTGTTTCAAGTCATTATCTTACAAATGAATCCGATTGATATTGGTTATCATCTCCAAATGAAAATCCCGTTGCTGGAGCATCGATCACAAGAAGATTGTTGACCTAAGAATCATTTAAACGATAAAAATTTTGCATGTTATCGACTGATAGTACAATGACAATATTCATGGTAAAATTGCGTAATTCAAATTGTTATTGCCTACCTTATTCCAAGCAAAAACGTTTTCAAACAATGTTTGACTATCAGAGTTTACACGAAATGGTCCGATTTCCTCAAACAGCCCAAACACTGAACTGCATCCCGGTCCTCCATTGATGAACAAAAGGAGTGGATCAGCTGTAGCATTGATTTGCGACTCAATAAACCTTAAAATTTACAGTTTCTACTACGCTAATTATCATGAATAGAAATTGATCTATGTTATCAAAACCGCGAAAGTGAAAATATGCTCTGTGCAACATTATAATCTATGGTGCTCGGTGATATCAGAAAATTTGATAATTGAGGACTGTGAAATTATTGTACAAGTTGTGAAATAAGGAAGGCGAAAGAAGCCGGTTTCCTAGAAAAATAGGGTTGTTTTGTTTTATAATGCATTAAAATAATTCAATTCCAATCAAGGATGCATTATTAAATATCAATTTTATTGTTTAATGAAAATCAAAGACAAAAATGATTTGAGTGAATCAGAATTGTTTTGAAAGTGAGAATACACGTTCATAGAGATTCAAGAATGATATTGTAACATAACTCAATCAGACCTCTTTAGTTTTCGTTTATTTACGACAAAAATATACCAATTTGATTTTTTTAATTGATTGAAGACCAATAAAACCTAAACCTAATTTTTCAACAATTTTTAAAGCGCTGTATCGTCGGCGTCCAACGACTACGCGGATATATTTAAGGGGATGCTTTTTTTCTTGGTCTCGCACGGACTAACAGGTTTTTTTTTTGCATTTCATGGGTCGGTTCGATAATTTTCAAATCGAACGACGTTAGAAATTCCAAGAAATGCCTAACTCATCAAGGAAAAAAAATCATTCAAAACAGCAAAATAAGCGTTCACACGTGGCGAGACATTTTCAAGGCGCATGCGTGTAAATCTAGCCGCGTACAGTTGTCGCCGGACGCCGACTATATGGTTTTTCAAATTTCAAAAAAATTCGCCTACCAATAGTGAAGATCGTAATTCGAAGAACCAATGTCTGATTTCAAATATCCAGCATATTGATTAAAGGATGTCTAGAATACAAATTTGTTCAATTTTGTATTCAATATAGCTCATTTCAACCTTGAATGTTGTTCCTGGTAGTTGACTGATTTTATCCTTGATAGATCTTGAACTCTGTGCATAAACCGATATCAGAACGCAAACAGCAACTATTGCCGATAGAGCAGCTCGTCGCGACCGCATTCTAGCAAACTGAGCGAATTGATAAGTTTTCGAAGCATAGTGACAATAATTTTTTTATCAATTGTGAGTTTTATGGGTGTGTTAGGAAATCATGGCTAGTCAAATAAATGATGACGGCAGTATACAAAATATGTTATTGGAATGCAATGGATTACGGTAGCCTAATTAGCGAATAAAAATGATTGCAATAACAACGGCAAATTTAGTTTTACAACAAAAAAACGCTAGAAAAAATACGGTAGCCATTGCCACACAGCGTCTCATCCATTTTGCTCTGCCATTTGTTCTTGTTCGCTCTGAGCGCCAAAATTAACATTGCGAGAGCGCACTGGCAAAAGAAAAGCCAAAAAAAAGATGATTGATAACATCCAAGAGTGTCTTCTTTCACAAAAAGCTCAACCTCGCAAATATTTTTGTAATATATCCTTTTTGTTGCGGGCGTCCCGTCGAAAACGCTGTCAAAATTCTGAAGGGGGGGGGGGTGCGCGAGCAATGTTTTTTTTTTGGCGATGAGACTTTCTTTTTATGCTCCCGAACTCGAGTTTTCCCACTTGTTTAACTATGTTTAAAATGTCGCTCGCACTGACCCCCTAGTTTATTTATGAATGTTGTATTCATTTTTAAGTTTTACAAAATATGTATTATAATACCTGCAGTACTTTCACATAGGCATGATTACGGTAGATTTTCAAAGCCTATAAAATATTTTAGATGAAATAATTTTGAAAAAAATGTAAATTAATTATTCCTAAAACTCCAATAATTTTCAGACATGTTGATGAAATTATTTATTATTTTTATCATATTACAGAACTTCGTGTAATACTTTGTCATTCTCATTTATTTGCAGTCTCTGAAATCTCACGTTTACAGTGAAATTCCGAAATTCTTGAATTACCATGTCCCAAAAATCGTGTCACAAGACGTCAGACAAACGGCGGGAGCACGAAACTTCTCCATGTTGCGCACTGACATATAATAGATTAATCTTTGCAGCCAAAGTCGCGCCTAGAGAAGGCAAGGCCAGCCCCCTCCATCTTCCGAAAGCAGGATGAGCCAAACAGACACCATTGTCGGCAATCCGATGAACTTCTACAATGAGCATTATAATCCAGGTTCGCTCGGCATGCACATGGCCAGGTATGAGGTTTACTATTTGTGTAGTCCTTACTCCAAGTCTTGAATTGATTCATCAATTTGCTATATTGTTTGCTTAATGATAACACTAGACTGTTGTATGTGTAAATTTAAACAAATTTAAATCTATGAGAGTTTACATTGATGATAAATTGTTTTCATATCAAAAAGTGGATGATGTCAATATTCAATACGATGACGATCATGTTGAAAACGATAGCAATTATCAAAATGATAATTTCAATCAACTAGCATCATCAAATAAACAGAAAAATGAAAAAATTGGTTTTTTCTTCAAACATTGACTAGAAGTTTTGTCACCCACTAGAAAAAAAATATCAGATTACTCGTTTAGATTTATTTGAAGATATCTTGGAGGAATGAAAGGCAAATTCCAATTAAATTTCAGTTTTCCCTCTCTCGGTCAATTAATGTTTAAAAGATTTTTATAGTAAAAGATGTGTCACAGAAATAAATAAATAAATATATATATATATAATTACAATAATTAGCAGAAGTAATAAATTACTTTATTAATTGTGATGATAATGTTCTGAATCATTATTGAAATCAACGCCGTTTCTGAAATATGTTTACTTTTCGAAACTGAATATTATCGGAAATTAAAAAAAAAACTTTTCTCGCAGTTTTTTTGAATGAAATATGTTATTTTTTTTAATAAATTAAAAACCTTAATTAGTCATAATAATCCCTTTGAACCAATTATCGTTAGTGGAATTCCGTATACCATTATATGTTAAGCTTGCCAAAATTTGTTTTTATTTTGTACAAATTTCAAATTGAAATATTCCCCAGAGTCCAGGTTTATCAAATAATATTCTGGGAAATAACAAGTTAGAATCACGAGAGTGTGTTCCAATTATATTCTCTCTGGCTGCCGCGTACTTCAAAAAAAAGTGCAGCTAATAATAGGGTCGCATTTCAAGTAACATTTTCATTTGCCAGCTTGTTTCATTCAATCATATCAGCACTTCAAAACATGGATTTTAGCTCAGACTTATTGGATATTAAAAACGTGCTGTTCCAGCTTCAAAGGTACGTCCCAAATCGTCTTTGATGTGTGAGTGTGTGATGAATGCGCGGAAAATTTGGGCTCATTTCGTTATCGCGATGAAATCGCAACAGGCCGCCAACCCGCATCATCGTATCTTTCCTTCGAAATCCAGAAATAAATGCGTTGTGTGAAACGTTACAAATTGTCTCGAGATCCGACAGATATGCCGAAGCGCGTGAGCGCGCGCTCGCTCGCCTTGTTTCAAAAATATTTGCATATTTCACAGCCTCTCACAGCTGGCTGTCTTGTCGAATTTTGACCATTTACATAGATGACGAATTGGTGCATCAGGCGCTTCATACTTTTGAAGCCATATCAACTTGTTGTTGGGGTCTACTTGGAAGAATAAAGAATGGGGGGAAGAGAAGACGCCACCCAGCAGCGGTGAAATTTTTTTCTTGCGTCGGCCCGGTTTTGCCGGAGGAAGCTTGAAGACGAAAAAGTTTATTTTGACACGACTTTTGACATGCCCGCGAGAAACCAAAAATTGGATTGGGTGGCAGAAAAATGAGCCAACGTTGATGATTGGGAGCATTATTTTAAGAAAATTAACAAGTAATAAACAAGACTTAGAAATCGAAACCAGAATTCTTTGATATCTACAGTACGTCGTTTTTCATTTGAAAAAAAAATTGAAATTTAATTGGCGATTTGCGTCATACCCACCCACTTTTTTCAAAGAAAATGTAGTCTAAACGATTTTAAATGAAAAAAGAATAGAATTTAGAATAAAAACGTTTCAAGCTTTCACAAATTTCCCGTGAACTGATTCCATTCAATAATTCAGTAATTTTATACAATAAGAAAATCAAATTTTGAAGACAAAAATCTAACAAAGTGATTGTGCGAGGCCAATAACATAGTTAATTTCGAAGGGAATCCAATAAAATCTTTTATGGTTGGGCCGATAGCCAAACTCGTCTTGAAAAGAAAATGCTTTTCCCCATTTTTCTAAAAACGTAAAAAAACGATGCAGTTCATTAAAACAAAATGGAGTCCGTAATTCGCTAGCTGTTCGTAAAATTTTATTCAAAATTTGCATTATTTTGACGTTTTTCTGTTTTGTTATTCCATCAAACATAGTTGAATTTTTTTAACGTTGGTTTACTAATTTTATTATTAATTTTCGGAATTCCAGTGAGTAATCCCCAATTAACTTAATTGATTTTTAATCATTCTTGAAAACGCTGTGTGACTTCTAGCATGCTATTTTCCCTGCGATTTTTTTTCGAAACGGGTGTCTCAATCCAATTCAATATTTTTTTGTGGTCCACCAATTTCCGTCTTCTAAAAATTTTCTTCTTCATCATGTATTCAATCCACTTTTGCAAGTCGCCCAATCCACTCGGTTTCGGCGTAATTGAGTAAGGAGCCCGACTTGAAGGCCGGGCTACGGTGCGTCAAGCTCACTGAGGAGGGCCCTCTCCCCAGCGAAGGCTCTGCTATTGGCTCGCGCATAAAATGTGGGCGGGATTTGAGTGGCACCAGAAACGGGAGGGCCTGCCGCTAACCGACCGACGACATCTAATGAGGCCGGTTCCCGAGGGGCCTGTGGCTGTGCAAATGTTCTTCTCGGACTCTTCTACCTTACTCAGGTCTGTGAATGATGAAAACCTTCGTGCCCAATGGCCGCCGTCACTGCTCGATCCCTCATCAGCAAGGTGCGTTTTATTTTATTGGCAGCGAGCGAAAAAAAACATTATAAACGAGAACACTAACTCGACTTCTTCATTTCACTTCAATTAATGAATAGGATATTAGGCCTGGGAGTTGGCCAACTCCCAGGTCAGTATCCCTCTCATTCCTACACACATAATACCCCCCATTGAGGCATCTTCTGTTCCGGTCTTTGAAAATGAGAAAGAAAAGTCGAATTCAATCTAAACCAGTTATGGGCCAAGTTGCGTTGTTATGTGTCTCCCGGGTGTTTAGTCCCCAGGTCCCCGTTCAGGGAATCTGAAACTCATCTGCCGCAGTCTCACCACATTTCCATTTTGTTTCGTTTTTGCCTGCAAAACCCCGCGGCGTTGTTAGTCGTTCTACAGAAACTTAATGAGTTTTGACGAGGCATCACCGCATTCTTTCTGGTTTCATTTTTAGCTTCATTTTCATCATCGCAATGCCCGTTTTATTTATTCGGCTCTTATGCGACATTTTTGTTTTTCGAAATTCTCAAAATTTCACAAAATTTTTTTTTTGAATATCTTAATTTTTTCGAAATCTTTTTCGAAGATGCTCTTCAATCTATATAGATCAAGTATTTCTTATTGAGATTTGCCTAGATATAATTTCATTAACAAATAAAACTATTTTCTATAAAGAAAATCTTTCCAATGATTTCATGTCTAGTATTTCCCAATATATGGACATTCATTCGAAACACTGATTTTAGTTTTTGAATCGTAGGACTCTAATATTAACCAAGATTTAAAATGAAAAATGAAGAACGTCTGAACAATATTGGCTAAATTGAACCAGAATCACAATTCGAGCATTATTGGCTTCTAGCTTTAATTTTTGAAGCTTCAGCAATCAACTTGCACGTGTTCACTTCGAAAAACATCCGCCAAGCAATCTTCGTAAATCCAACTTTTTCCATTTCGTCATTGCTCTGTATGACCGTGCAAACCAACCAATTGAAATCGAGCGCACACAATTTGCCGGATTTGTCGAAAAAGAAAAAGAAGTTGACGGGCAGGAGACGAGAAACGGAATTCACTATATTCTAACGCTTATCTTCCAAAATGGTAATTCAATTGCTATATAATATTCATATTGATGTTAAAAGTGCTTCAGGTGCACGTGCTGAGCAGGATGTCTACGTGCGGCTCATCGACAGCGTTTCAAAGCAGGTACGGGTTACTGTAGTCCGATTTTTGATGCTTTCCAAAAATAAGCGCAAGACACATTTGTTGTCGAGGATTACTGTACTTGTCGAATCGATGTCGTTTCGACCAACACTCACATTCATCATTTTTATCTGGCATTGCGCGCCTTTCCGCGCACAAGACGAGCATCTCTCGCTTTTTCGTTTTTTTTTTATTTTGCTCACCAAAATTGTTGTCAAGCTCTGGAATCTAACGAGAAAGTTGGTGTAACGAGGATATGGAGATACATACTTGGGAACGAAAGACTGGTTAAATGAGAATCTCATGAGGGATCATTTACATCTTTCAGGCGATCACCTATGAAGGACAGGATAAAAATCCAGAGATGTGCAGAGTACTCTTGACACATGAAGTAATGTGCAGGTAGATCAGAAACAAGTCAACATTGGAAAAATGTAAAAAGTTCATTACTTTTAGCCGCTGTTGTGATAAGAAAAGTTGCGGAAATCGAAATGAGACTCCCAGTGATCCGGTCATCATCGATAGGTGAGCTCAAAATCTTGACCGCTTATCTAGTTTCGACATCTGCCAATTACCCCAATTACCCAGTGAAATCACCTCAATGAAATATCATAAAAAAGGGCGTCTCGCGCGTCAAAAATAGCAGCTGCATGACCAGCGTTTCCTAATAGCATTGCGCCATAACATGCGACGTGCCGTAAAACAAGGAGCTCATTCACTTGATTAGCGCACGAAACGGCAAAACGCAATTTTTTTTCCTGTGTTTCATTTCCGCGCGACAAAGTGAGTCGCAAGTTTAATTGTCTCCACTTCTTCGAAATCATTGAAAGTGGAATGGACGTAGAGGGGAGGGGATCGTTGAACAGTTGGCAATAAATGAATCCATGTACAAAACAATTAAGAGCAGGAGTGGAGTGAGCCAAACTCTATTGTCAATTCATTGAGAGGGGGGAGGGGGAGACCACGAGTAGATCTGCGAGAATGAGGTGTAATCGTATAATTACTAGGTTTCCTCCAAAATGTATCATCCTTTTAGCGCCAGAAGGCTGGTGAAGGATACTTGTCTCGTTCCGACTTAATTTGCTCATGTTTCTTTATTGGATTCAACCCCAAGTTTCGCGCATTTGGAAAATGACCCCAAAAAGATTTTGAAGGGGACGCCCGCGATTAACTATATTCAATTTGCAGATTCTTCCTGAAATTCTTCTTGAAATGCAATCAAAATTGTTTGAAGAATGCTGGAAACCCGAGAGACATGCGTCGATTTCAGGTAAGACATTGGAATTCAAATAGATGAGGTGTCATATCAGAAAATCATTGAACTGCACATTTATGCGCATCAATTTCAACAGGTGGCTCCGCTGACATGAGCCTATTGTTTTGCATGACCCTTTTTGTTTTCGATGGCGGCGAGTCGCATTTGAACGCGACAGACTGTTGGCTGTAAATTCGAGATTCACTGTTGGATATTCTTGAGAATTGCCGCTATTTAGCAATCTGCTGGCCCGCCGCCGCGCACAATTCCCATGACAATTTTAATTACTCGCTGGCCTATCTGTTTTGACCACCGCATATGATTGCAGCAGTTAAAATTGTACTCACGATTAAGAGGGCTCAATAAATTTTCGAGCTCAATTATTGAAATCAAATATATTTATTTTTATTGAATTGTCAGAATGTATTGGAAAAACATTACTTTCAAATTTTAATTTTCACAATTTTTTTTTCAAATTTCAATAGGTACAATAGTAACAAATTATTTTCATAATACATATCCACTTCTAAGTTATCCCCTTCTGTGCAATGGAGCATTTTCTATTCATAGCAAAATGATTTTAAATTTATGGTTTGAAGGATAGAAATATCGAAGCAGAGTCTTAATCTGACAATGCTGGTTCGACCTCAGCCCGGAGAAATCCGACTTTTGCAAAACCATAAATTCAATATAACCAATATGGGAGACTCAGAAGATTTGAAAACGCTCAGATAATTCGTATTTGAAGCTTTAAAAATACAGATTTTTTAGGTGGTTCTCAGTTTGACTGCTCGCGTTGATGGTCCACTTCTCGCAGTTTCCGACAACATGTTTGTGCACAACAATTCCAAGCACGGTCGCCGTTCCAAGAGACCTGATGCATCGGAAGGTACGACACCCTCATCTAATCAAATTAAGAATTCATTGCGGTTTTGTGCGGCAAAGAATATTACACGCGTCTCGTTAGTTATTATTGCATTCCGTCTGCGTCGTTTGCAACTTAATTTTCTTCGAGATGTGAGAAGCGACGTGGCGCCTCCCTGTCGGAAAAAATATATGCGATCAAGGGCGATTGGGCTGCCCGATGCAAAGTCCCTCTCGGTTTCGGATCGGAAAAAAACTGTCGTGTTGTCATTCCTCCACTTGTCACATTTATTTTTTATCAAACATCAATCATGTCACGTGTGCGCTCGAAATCCTTTTTTCCCTATAGAGAGTGATAATTGCCGGAACGTTCGAGACGACAGGCAGCACGCTTAACGCAGAGTGCAGGAATTATAAATCAAAAAATCACATATATAGATGATAGGTCACAAATTTCATCGTGGCCCCCAACCGGTCAACAACTGATAGTGTCCCTGCAAGCCATGCTTGTTGTTAAGGAATTTTTAAGATGATAACACCACATAACTTCGAATGTTTTCGGCCGAGAACATTTCATTGCCGATCTGATTTCAACGAAACGATAAAATGTTTATGATGAAAAAGTACCGCAAAAAACCGTCACTCATTTTGCAAACTTGACCACAAAAATTGTCGATAAGAGTGCAATTTCGATGGTCAGCTTTCGCATTCACACGTACCGGAAGCGAATGATGAAAACGTCTCAACCTGGCCCGAACGAGAATTGAAATTTATGCGAAAAGCCGTGCAGATGTTCACATTGTTGCCAACTGCATTTAACAATTTATTTGTCACGATGACGGGTGTCGATAAGTGTATTCAGGCAGTTATTCATAATCCACAAGGCATCCGTGTTGAGCGCTGGTCGGAGCGAGCGAGCGAGCCAGCCAGCCAGCTAGCGCGAGCACACATCGTTATCTAGATTTCCGGCTGCCGTTGTTTTGTATGGCGATCATCTGCTCTATCATCATCATAACACCCGTTCGTCTCCCCCCTCCGAATAATTGTCGCGCATCAATAAAAACGTCAACGTATGCAAATCGCGCCAGCGGTTTGTCAGTATCCAAATATGAGTGCGCGAAACGAAACAATCAAAAAATAGAAGAGGGACATGAAGATATTAATACATTCAATTCATTTCCAGATTCCGAGTTTTCATCAGAGGTTCAAGAAATGCCAACTGGTAACTCGCCAGTTATCAAAGCACTCTGCCCAAGTGAGGGATGGGTTCAAGGAGGAACCCAAGTTGTTATTATTGGCGAGAATTTCTTTGACGGCATTCAAGTCATGTTTGGTACTTCCGCGGTGTGGAATGATGTAATTTTTACCGAATTTTTATAAGATGATGTTTTAATTCAATTTTACAGTCGATTCATCTCATCTCACCGCATGCGATGAGAGTCACAAGCCCGCCACGTCACAACGCTGGAGTTGTCGAAGTCACTCTTCAATACAAAGGAAAAACATTCAGTCGTCCAACACCAGTCAGATTTGCTTATATATGTCCGTCATATACGCTAGTAGACAAATTAGGACCGAAAAAAATTTTTCAGCTTTGAGTGAACCGAGCATTGACTTTGGATTTGCACGTCTTCAAAAATTGCTTCCAAAGTATCCGGGAGACCCGGATAGACTTTCCAAGGATATGATATTGAAGAGAGCTGCTGAACTTGCCGAGGCTTTGTACAATCGAGCACCAACTGACCAACTATCTCATTACGCAAATGCTTATACCGCTCAATTTGACGCAGCCACTGGTAATATCAAGATGAAATATTCGGTATATTCTGGCTTCTTTTCAGACTATTCTAATCGCTCGCATACCTCTCCCCGTCAAACATTGTCGTATGGCACCAACAGCCAAACACTCTCCACAGCAGTCTATCCTTCTAATTATCCGACAGTGACGGCAAGTCCAGCAGCAAACTTCTTAAATGCACAAACTGGTATTTTGTGAGGCATTGGTGCTGTGGCTATATTAACAATTCTTCAGGATTCGCCTCATTCGGATCAGTAAACCCATTCGCGGCTACCCTTCAATCCTCAACTCGTCTAAGCTAAATTAATGCATAACCTTCAACTATTAACCATCTCCTTATATTATTTGATCCTTCCAAACCCCTAATAAGTTGATTGTGATACATATATGCACTTTCCATGTAATATTTCTTTGAACCCTCAATTCTCATGCAAATAATCATTTTGGTGTCATAGCCAATTAAAATCTTCATGACTCCTCTCTGATCCATCTTTTCAAAACCGTTTTAATGTCACCAGATACTCAAAACCTCTTCCATTCCAGTCAAAATAATTAACTTAAGATCTCAGAAATTGCCCAATTCGAAATCTCAACAAATGTACATGGTTTCTATTATGTATGTGGTTATTGTTCATTTTTCGGAGTTGTTAGTGTTTTGATCTTTTTTTTAAATTCCACTTTGAAGTATTATTCTCTCTTGCTCTGTATAACCGACCCTCAATAAATAAATACTAGTCTAAAAGTGGTGAATAAAAGAAAAACGCAACTAAATTGTTTTCGTCGAAGACTTTCCGTTTGTTGAAAAAAGGCAATTTCATATCATTTCTTCGCAATCGAAACGTGATTTTTGTATTTTTGAAATGAAAAATAGAAATGAAAAAACCAAAGCGAGTTTGAAGTCGAAAATTAAAATAATATGATAGAAGTGATGCAAACATCACAATGAAGTTCTTTGATAACCAAACTTTAATTAGTTTATTATCCATTAATATCTGTATTCTGTCAAAAACTTATTAGATGAAAAGATTGAAGGAATCTTTTATGAAGAAAAACACAATTTATGATAATAATACTGGAAAGAGAAAATTACAATTCATGGCAATAATACTGGAGAATACATCTGAAAAAGTGCTAAAACATAGAAATCAAAAAGGAATTAAGGAACGCCTTGTTATATTTAATGGATATCCAGATAAATTTAATTTCTGGATTACAGAAGCAAGTCTCCTTGACAATGAGGTGTCAAATAATAATAGAGCACAAAAATAATTTTGAAATTGTTTCAAATGCTAACCCAATTTTTTTTTTGAATGAAAACCTAGATGTATCCAATATATTGGTAATCTTAACTCTATTATCATTAATTTCGATAATATTTTCACTTAGCATAAGTCAATAACATTGAGTAATTTTAGCAATGTTTTTATTAAAAGGAACTTTTACTGTAACTTCAGGTCGAGATGCAACAAATCTCTCATTTTGTACAATAATTGTTTCTAAATTCTTCAGTAAATTATATTGTTTGAACTGAAAATTTATCAAAGACACATTTTTAGCATTCAGTAAATCTTTCTGAGTTGAGTTCAAGAGAAATTTGATTCGCAATTAGAACTTAAAGCATAGATAATTTTATACTTAGCAGTCTGAAATGGTACAACAATGAATTTTATTTTATCCTATTTGGTTCGTTGCTTCCGCAGAAATTTTTGATTAGCTTTTTGAATATTCGAACTTTCAAATTGTCTAGAATATAAAATACACTAGTTTATTACTCTCAAAAAGTTCATTTTGCATCTCAAGACTACACATTTTTGGAATTATGAATTGAATTTTATTAATATTAGTAGTAAATTTAGTAAGATCTGTGGACACGCAAGAATTCTGGTTTTTTGGAGAACTACAGAATTCTAAAATACGTTTTCTTAAAAGAGTTATTCGATTGTAACATTCAGCAAATCCAAAAATATGAGTCAATGGAATATTTCTTTCTGTGTACTACTTATTAATTAAATAGGTCCTAATATTCTTTGTCTCCAAGATATTACCAAAAATATTTTATTTATTTACAGAAGAAGATTAAGTAATTTTTTTTCAATAATAATGTTCTTCCAGGATCAATAAAATTTTCAATTTGCCACAGAGTTCTATTTTTGAATTTATAGAGTGTAAGATTCTAATTTGATTTAATACTCATTCCTCGCTGTCATTTTTTAACGGATTCCGGAAGTATTAGTCCTCATTCTCAATTGTGTGCACAAATCAAATTTTGACTCCCTAATTTATCATCAAAAAATTTTTCGACATGGCCTTAATTGTTTGAACGTACGATTTTTTTTTGATAAATAATCGTTTACAACATCAGCATTTTTTGGAGCCAAATTTGCATAATCAACGTGCGTCTCTTAATTTGACATCATATTCCATCATGTGGTGTTTGCTCGAAAAATGTGCATCAATGACTACACTTTTTCACCGAAATAGATAACATTTCGAAGAATGCCGAGAAGCTGATAAAACGAATTCAACGGTTGCTCGCATCGTAAACATAATTCGGTTTGCCCAGATCTGATAATAGCATTCAACCCCTCGACGAAGAAAATAATTTTGTCGACAAAATGATGATGATGATAAGAGATGATAGAAATGTTGCGAACCAGGCCATTTTTAAAGATTGGCTGCGTGCGAAAATGGAATCAACCATCAAGTTTTGATCGAACCGATACCACCACATCACATTTTTTATGTGCGTAGTCAAAAACAAAATTAGATATCAATGTCGAATGGCGACAAAGAAAAAGAAGAATGTCAACGAAATTTTTCGAAAAAAAAATAGTTGTTCGAGGTGTTCGTGAGGGCCTAAAACATGTCAAGTTCCAATAGATGTGATTGAATTAAAAATGAATACACTTTCATGATTCCCGCAAGTATACTGTAGGCATCATTCAAAACACACGATTCTGTCAATGATATTCTGCAAGGAAGTGAGACCGTCTAGAGCGCTGAGAGAAAGAGACAAACGCAACGTGACAATGCCAAATTGGGCATAGATCGCCGCCGAAAACAATTTCGCAAGATATTTTCAAACAATAGAATGATGCTGATTCTAGAAAAATACTTTAAACAACCAATTAAATGGTTTACGATTTTACGGAAGATCATAAAAATTGTATTCCGGGTACCATTAGTCTGTAAACAAAAAAGAATAAGTATGATGCAATACATATATCCTACGCGGTGAAAATTTACGAAGGAATTTAGTGGCAAGTTCAAATTTGAATTAATAATAACGATTATATTTGCTCATGCTTTAATTGATTCATAATTATTTATAGAATATGAAGTATAGAGAATCAATCCTCATATGAAAAATTTGATTCTCATAAATTGTTTTAAAAAAATGTGTGCTTCAAACAATTTAATCTTCATTCTAATTATTTGTTGAAAAAAATTATTTCTTTTTATTTATAATCATTTTCATAAATCATTCAAATCTCAAATATTGTTCATTTCATGTAAAACCAGTAAAGTGTCAATGCGGAGAAAAAAGAAAATAGAAAAATAGAAAAAAATTCCAGTTCAAAAAAAAACCAATAAAAAAAGAAAAAATTAAATTGAATTTTTTGGCATTTTAATTTTCTTCTTTTCTTCATTTCTTTCTTTTCCTTCTTTTTTTTTAAATCTTCTCTGCATTGCCACATAAGAAAACGTAAGAATTCACTCTATATATCACTCTCAAAAATTGAAGCACTACTTTTTCCATGCGAAAGCCTAAATAGAAGGAAGTGCTAACTCGAATATGTTATGAAAAAAAGAGAAATGTGATTCCGAAATGTTCGTCGTGAAAAGATATTAAAAATATTTTTTTTTCTTTTCATTTTTCTGCATTGTTTTTTTCCACAATATTTTATAATTATCTTTTTATTATAATTTATGTGCAAATTTTCGTGTATGTAATTGCAATCAATTAAAACTAGCCTGTATCAAAAACTATTCCTTCAAGCAAACTCAATCCTTTAAGACGCATATTTTAAAATATATTTTGAATAACCGAATAATTTCTCAAAAACAAATTGGTTTTTCTCTTCGAATATTTCAAGTCCCAAAAGTTATTTTCAAATTATTGAATTTTTAAAAAATATATTAAAATTAATTGTTAAAAATTTAAATAATAGAAATAATCGCTACTTGTCATATGTATATTCTAAATGAATTAAAAATTTTAAATTTGCTTTTTATAGAAAATTCCACAAAAATTTCCATTTTCCATTCAAATAGAATTGTCATTTCTTGGTAAATACCCTCACTGAGTGATACCGAACACCTACAGTATCTTTCGTCAGCCAATCTCTTGCCTTCTCTATTTCCAGAAAAGAAACAGAAACAATCGACCGTACGCCCCAAGGACAGCATTAGTATTGGTTGCATCCGCCCGTTTCCCCCCTGCCAAAAATATCAAACAGCTGCATTCCATGTTGCTTATATAATATTGCATCATTATTGAAAATTCATTATTACAACGTTCGGTCCCCATATAAAACTCGAAATTGGAAATGGGGTAGAATTGTTGTTTTCGCATTAAAGGAAGTAGTGATAGGCCGAATTACGATCAATGGAGACTGCGATCCCCTTCCTTACAATAAAATTCAAGACCTTCTGAAATTTGATATTAAAGTGTTGCATGATTCACACGGAACATTCCGGTTTCGTCTGGCCCCACGTGGTCGATATCAACAATTATTTAATTCTGGACATTGTTAGGACCACGTGACAATTGATATCGGCTTCCATTTTCGAAAGAACCTAAAGATCACGTCTGACGATCAACTAATCAAATAGAATCAAATTAAACATAGGCAGTGAGTTAATCATGCCGATCAGTTTGGCTTTGTTTCATTTTTAAATCATCCTATAAACATTCAAATTTCCTTCCGGTGGCCTCATATATGGCCATACATAAATTCAATCGCGAAATGTTGCATATCAATTGTTAAATTCAAAGATTAGATTGCTATCAAATTTTCCCACAGTTCGACACAAATCATTGTTTACTGATAAATTCAAACAATTTTTTTGTTTCCGACACTCCACAAAACAAAACGTTGGCTAAAGTCGACTGACGTGAAAAGTTTGAAATATGCATTTTGATATTTCGCTATTCTCAATGCGAAATGCGGTATATTTGGCATCTGACGATTTTAGGTCAAATATCATTTCAGCAAAAAGAATGCCTCTATCAAAAAGACGATCCTCAAGAACGATGTTTCATTGCTTCTATGAAAACAATGTGATCCGATATTTTTCATTAAAGAAGCTTCTTCGAAACGGAAGCAATGTTCAGAGAAACAAGAAAGCGACACAAAAAGATGATACGAAATAATGGTTTCTTTTGAGCAGAACGGCCTCCTTGAAACAAAGACAATTCGAATTCTTCGAAATTTTCTATCATTTTTTCACTAGTTTTGGTCGAAGATCCCCAGAATCATGATATACCTTTCACGTTTGCCTTGGCGACAAGGTCAAATGAACATTCCTCAAATCCCCAGCCAAAAAATCAAACTTTCTAATATGAATTTTGTTTGTAGTACTAATGTTTGTCAAAAATTGATAAATAAAGTAAACATGAAAAACAATTGATTACGGTGTTCTTCTAGTTTTGTGACGAGTTTTTGTTCGCTGTGTTCAGTATTAATTGAAAAACAACAGAAACAAACAACAAACGACGTAATTGTACTCAATATCGAGATCATTCATGAGAAAAACTCCAGTACTGTTTCTCGAGTATTCTACAGTAACCGACCTCGATTACAGGTCGCAGTCATAAAAAATCGCTTTATGATTTGATCACAGATTTCCACGTGTGCGCGTTATTTTTCTCTGTTCTTTGAAAATAATTACTGCGCGTGCGTTTTTCAAAGATTCGATTGGATGTTGATAATGCATGTTTGACGAGTACCAGCGCGATCTCAACGAGGTCTCAACGTGGTCTGATCAAAATAAACGGCAAGAAGCCAATAATAGAATCATGTTTACCACTGATCGGTCCCCACCGTCACCAGATTTGTCATCTTCGCCTTCTTTAGCACCCGGGACCTATCAAAGAACACCACGTCACAATTGACCGCAGATCTGTGACGTCACGGGTGGGATACGGTGATCACGCCAGATGCGTACAATAAATGCATAGATTGCATCATGTTTGTCGTTTATTCAAATTGCAACATTCTCACCGACGAATATTATCAAACAATATTTTTTACAAATGAAGAGCATCTGAATTGGGTTCTGAGATGCTCAGAAAGTATCAAAAGCAAAATTAATGAATTGAGCAGAGTATTAGAAAATAAATCGCGGAAGAATGTAATTAAGAAAGATGAAAAGAAAATTTACGAGCCCTCATTAAAAACGTAGAGTTGCGAATGTGATGCTTCTCCTCGGCTTGGCTCAGGTTCTCCCAGCGGTTCAGTCATTATTTTTTTTAAGAATGTCTTCTTGCATTAGATATCTTTCAATTTGATCCTTTAGCGTTTGATCTCATTGTTTAACGCCTCAAACCAATCGGCGACATTGTTAGGGACATTACGATGCATGCAACGTGCAGATCTCCCAAACAGATTTTGGGCCATTAATTTTGACCTAAGATCGTTCGTATATCGAATATCGCAAACTTGTCAATGAAAGAGACCCGATTAACATTGCTGTGGTGGCATTTATTAGGTCTAACAACAAGCTGATGCAACAATCGGCCACCGCGGAGACGGGCTCTACCGTAACCCGATGTTTTGGAGGATAATGAAACAGATAGAAAGGAATGGAGAACGGTTTTCGAAGAGAACGTAAACATCTACAGTAACCGAGGGTCCTTGGAGAATTTGAACGCGGATAACACACAAAAGAGACAAAGCGAAACATTTGAAAATTTGTATTTGCGCTATTGTTGCGAAGCACATGTGCTGACCACGTAAACAAAAACGATTTGTCTCCGAATGCAAATCACAACAAATCGCCGATGAATCATCGTGTCCATCTCATCGAGTTTTTCAAAATGTTTTAATATTTTCCGGTGTTTTTTTCATTCTCCTTTATATCCGACGGAAATTGAATCGTTCATTGTTGAATTTCGTCAATTTTTCTCATTCCACCGTTCTCAATGTTCCGAAATAAATCGCGCTTCTCCCTAAACAACATCCACGGCGTTTTCTGATGCAATCTTCGCGAAAAACAATTTCATGGAAACTTGCAATCGAATAAAATAGTGCATCGATACGCATGTTTCACGTAATGTAAATTATTGCATCACTATCGTAAAGAGTTGTGGCCGACACAAATATCGTAAACCAACGTGACCACTCAATTTTTAGATTTGAAACTAGGAGGTCATAAAAACTAGCGTGAGAAAACAATCCAACGTGATTTTACTCGCCATGTGATTATTCAATACGATTATTTGTTTAATCGTATTCATAGGTTATGGAGCACACATGGGGGTTCAAAAAGTGATCATCAAAACTTTTGATGATGTTTCAAAAACTGGATAATGTTGGTACGAATATGTAAACAATTTGGCATCAAATTCTGATCATATCCGCTTAATGAGTTTTCCAGCTATGATTTTCTGAAACTACCTCGTAATTTGAAAATTTAAAAAAATGCTTATGGATGATATATGCAATTTTTCAAAATGTTATTTAAATTTTATGAAATTTCTATTCTTTTCTGCTTATTAGATCTCAAGTAATGAATTTGGCGACGCCACTTTGGCCGTATTGGCAGCCGTCCAGGTATGTCAGATGTTCATCATCATTCTCATCCTCATCATCCGGTGTTCATATCAAAGACCAAAACGTGAGTCGTCAAAAATAGTGTCTATTTTTGCGCTGGTGGGAGGGCGCATGAGAAAAGAGGGCAGTCATTTCATCAGACTGATTGTGAGAATCGGGAAGGCAGAGATGATTCTGTCGCGATGTCTGTTGTTGATGCTGATGAGAATGATGAAAGCGCTGATATCATGAACGAGGCAGCGCCACGTGTAGAGCGATTCAGCGTGCGCTTCCGATAGGGCGCAGATTATCGGTAGCGCGTTGATGTTCCCTGCGGGTGGGAACGATACGACAACCGTGGGAAACCGGTAGCTATAGATTCATAAACGCAGGCGATGAAGATCTCAACACGAGGGTATAATCATCATTATCCCACCAAGCTTGACCAAATCCCTAGCGAAATCTATTGACTGATGATATTGTTTGCATCGACGAAACGGAATCGTCATTGGGGCGTGGTTTAGAGAGGGGAGGTACGAGGGGGAGGGTACCAAGTGGGAGGTGGGGACATGGACCGTTAGATATAAAAGAATTGCTCGATGCAATGTGCCATTAATAGATTTTCGATTCTATTTACATCTCAATAGACCACAACCACGTGGGCCACAAAATTCAAAATTAATAAGCTCATTTTTCAGAACTCAAGTGTTCACCAAATCAATTCACAATGCGTTTCGCTAAATCACCCGAATATGATGTGCCAGCTCTCAAGCCAGTGCACCAATCTCACACACAAGTTGCCATGTACACCACGAAAGCTCTCAATGATCATATGTATGGAAAAGAGCATGTTGAGGTGAGTGGGCATAAGCCAATAATTATGTGGGCGGTTGGGTCTCGCTAATTACAGATTGCAGGAATATATAAAGAACTTGAGTTATTTTCAGGCTCCTCCGAACATGATGTGGCCGAAATTACGACAATCAAAACATTCATTGAATACCGTGAACCCAGTCCGCAAAATCGCTGATGCTTGCGCCATCCCTCACAACCCAGAAAAAAAACCTATCCGCCTTCACCTTGGTGATCCGACATTGGGTGGAGAATTGCCAGCTTCTCCAGTCGCTATTCAAGCTCTCCATGAGGCTATTGATAGCCATGCTTCAAACGGATACGGACCAGCTGTAGGATCACTAGCTGCCAGACAAGCCATTGTTGATAAGTATTCAACTTCTGCTGCTCCATTCACTGTCAACGATGTTGTTCTCGCCTCCGGATGCTCGCATGCTCTTCAGATGGCAATTGAAGCTATCGCTGATCCAGGAGATAACATCTTGGTGCCACACCCAGGATTCCCACTTTATTCGACTCTTTGCCGTCCACATGGAATCATTGACAAAGCCTACAGGATCGACATGGAGAATAATGATGTGGTCATCGATTTGGGATTCTTGAAAAGCCTCGTCGACGATAGAACTAAAGCTATCATCATTAACAACCCAGGAAACCCAACTGGAGGCGTTTTCAGCAAGCACCACCTCAGACAAATCCTCCAGGTATTATTTTAAGATTTTAAAGAAAAATTTTAGTTTAAAAAATTTCAGTTTGCATTGGAATATGGACTTGTGATTATCGCTGATGAAATCTATGGTGATCTTGTTTATAACGGAGCAAAATTCCATCCAATCGCCACCCTCTCACCAAAAGTACCAGTCATCACCTGCGATGGAATTGCCAAGAGATGGATGGTTCCCGGATGGCGATTGGGTTGGTTGGTCATCCACGACCGATACAATGCTCTCGCTGATGTCCGCAAGGGAATAGTGGCCCTCAGTCAGAAGATCGTGGGACCATGCTCATTGGTTCAAGGAGCCCTCCCAAAAATCCTCCGCGAGACTCCAGAATCGTATTTCCAACACAATCGCAAATTCATTGAGAAGAATGCCAACATCGTCGAGCGTATTCTCGGCAAAGTCAATGGAATCAAGGTGATCAAGCCATGCGGAGCCATGTATATGATGATCGCCATTGAAAAGAAGCACTACGGTGGAGATGTCGAATTCTGCCAAGGACTTATCGCGGTATGAAAATCGATCTTAAATTCAGAAGAGGAATCTAGTCATTTTCAGGAGCAATCGGTCTTCTGCCTTCCTGGAGAAGCTTTCTCAGCCGGAGGATACTTCCGCGTTGTTTTGACCTGCTCCCATGATGAGATGACTGAAGCCGCTAAGAGAATCAAGCACTTCTGCATTGACCACTATATCGAAAGAGATGATTCAGAGGAGAGCTCCGACGAGGGCCTCGACCTTAGCCAAGTGGAATTGGATTAGAGTATAACCAAACCTATCTATTACCCTAACCTTTCTAAACCCACTTGCCTTTCAAGCTCTTAGGTGTTGAATCATTTTCTGTATACTATCGCAAACCACATATCTTCAATATTTTATTACTTTACTTTATTGTATTATCCTTCTGCAGCCGGTCAACTCATATCGGTTCCTTGTCTTTAATTTATACCCCCCCCCCAGATGCCATTTTTTCCATGTTTTAATGTTTTCTCTTCCGAATACCTTCGAGCCTTTCAGTGAAATCTCGTTATTTTCCAATTGATCCCAGCGCCATTTACAGTTTTACTTTATGGATTTTGATTTATATGTCCACGCAATTCGACAACAATTTATGGGTACCTTAATCTATGTTGTTTAATTTGATTACGTGACATTTGATTCGTAATAAAAAACTTCTATTTTTTGTAACATTTTTTGAACGGCAAAAAGTGCGAAGTCTGATGAAATTTGAACAAAAGACGGTGTAATAGTCAAAAAGGTGTTCGAATCGTTAGCCGCCTTCGAAACTCGTTCTCAATTCTTTCTTTTAGGGCAGAAACCGTTCCCGCTGTATCCTCGTGGTTACTAAATATAGTTTAAGACGAGCTATTATTTGATGCTGTTGGGCTAGTATCAATCTGATGCAAACTGATTGAATAGAGGAGGTCGATCAAATGTGTCATCGACATTCTCAGAATGTCGATGCGAAGATGATCAAGATGATAAAAAAAACACGACGGTGAAGCGTTATCGCTGATTACCGTGTTGAGAGAAACTATCGCGGTTTACAGACTATTTTATTACTTTCATTTCGACGAAATCTGCCAAATTGCCCTCATTTTTCTCGTCGTGAAATGATACGGAAATGACAATCAAAGCAATTGACACATGAAACAATGCAAATTTTATTATCAGCCTGTCCATCATCATCATAAATAGTTGCACTTGAAATAATATGTACGTTGATCCTTTATTGAGAATGTTTGTGAAAAGATATTGTCATAATAAATCATCGGAGAATATGCAGGTTGATCGTTCCAACTGATCAACGGAGATTTTCTAGAAATTTCTGATCTCAACGTACACATAAATGATACGCGCGCAAGTGACTACATTCTTCTTAGAGGCATCAACGATCCCTATAAAGTTACAGAGCGTTTGAAAATACTAAAACTCAATTCGACAATTTATGACTGCAAAAAAAATGACTCTAAGTACTTATCACTTCTGGTGATATGTATTTCTTTTCGTAACTATAATTAAACGACTGGCGAAGAAATTCAAACGTTTGAAAATTATAGCATGTAAGCTGAGAAAACAAAGGGAATGAAACCAATTGCATTATGGGAAATACCAAAATAATCGTTTTGACTGATTGAGTTTCGTTTAAAAATCTAAAAAACATTAATAACATAATTCTTTCTATCATTTCAAATTCATGAATATTACAATCTTTCAACTGATGATGAATTATAATTTGCAAAAATCTCTAATCTTTTTTCCATGCGAGACTCGAAGTAGCAATTCAAAGGATAAATTATTTATTCACCGAGTTCGTCCTTCTAATACATTATTATGATTCCAAGTTCCATGGCATGCTGGAATTGTTTTTCAAGTTTTAATGTTGCATTTTATAAGTGAAACTCCATCTAGAAGACTAATTGTCAACGTTTTAATGGTTTTCATGCGTTCTTAGGTCAGACAAGTTACATTCTGAACTTAAAATTACACTCGATATTCAATGAACAAAAAACGTCACTAGGTCGAAAGCATAGATTTCGTTGATTCGTCAATTCAAATATGTGACGAAATTTTAGCCTTTAATCTGACAAAATTTTTATTCAAAAATTGTAGTAAGCCGGTCGTAAAAAATTATCAACTATACACATTCTTTGCGAGTTCCTTGTTTCACAACAGGTGCACTTTTGTATGCGTAATGCGATATCATGCGATCACATTTTTGGGTGCAATTATTTTCCTTTCACGAGAGATAATAAACCAATAAATGCTTTCGATAATTTTTTGTAAATTTAAGGGATCTAACAACATCACTGTAGAAATAGAAATTCAATTGTTGGCAGATAATTTGTAATATTCTTTGCTGATGAAGAAAACAAAGAAAAATTCCAAAATATAAAACTATAACTGAACGATTAAAAACTTTCCAGATATATTGAGTCCATCTGAAAATAAAATAACAAACATTCTTTCCGTGTAGTGTGCGAAATCATAAAGTGACATTGTGGAATTTAATATATTATGGCAAGTATATGAATTCATTTTCAAATCGTTTTTTTTTTTCAGAAATTGTTCCTTTTAACATTAATTTCACCTAAATATTAATTTTCTGATTAAAGAATATAATCATTTTATTTCAAAAATTCAAAAATTTATGCAACTTTCTTTAGCTGCTCTATATTTAAATCTGAATTCTTAAGATTTGTATAAAAAAAATTCAGTTTTTGGTTTATTTATCTCACCTCAGAATATCAATGTAAACTAATTTTTCCTGTTTAATCCAATAGAGTCTTGACTAAATATTGCAATAAAATTAAATGAATACAATTCGCAAGAATTTTCTTAGTCTTGAGTAAAGTTTGTCTTAAGCGAGAGCTTTTTAGATTTTTAATAGTAAATTAATTTTTCTCGCAATTTTTAGAATTCATCTTTTCAAGAAAAATTTTCTTTCTTGTTCTATAAATACATATACTCCGAGCAATAACCTCATATTTGTCTGTTCATCTCCATTTTCGGACATCCTTCAGAAGTACTTGAAGAATGGAACAAAATTTTGCGGATTTCAATTCCATATTGTCCTACATTCACTTCATATTACATTTTTAAAATTTTGCCTAAAATTTGAGGTACGATTAGCAAAGAAACTTCACCTAATTAAATATGCTGTGTCATGAGGTTCAATCGGGTGTTTTGACAGGATAGTCAAAAATTGCCATGTTACTAAACCAAAAATGGACAGAGTTTCTTTTTTCTTTCTCTTATTTGAGGTACTATTGATCTCATTTACATTTTTTATTAGTACGTTCATCTTTTTTCCGCTTCTCCCATTACTGTAGCTCTTCTCAATTTGCACTTATGTCAAAAATGAGAAAATCCAAAGTGTCAAATTTCAAATTGCTATAGGAAAACAGAAAAAAATGTTAATGGCACAACGATATTCGAAACTTTCATTCTAATGAATCGCTCATTTTCCTTTTACAATAAAAATATTGGAATTTCGTGCTATTTCTTCATACACTTTCAAGTATTTTTTTATTGGGAGTCATTGGCACAATTAAGTAGCTTAAACAACCATCAAGTTTCACAATAATGTCATTTCTTAAAATAACATGGGTGTCGCAAAAAACAACTTTAGTATGGGATGATAAATCGCATCCTGGCAGAGGTTTCTAATCTCCCAAGAGACATTGAAAGAGATCCTAAAGTAGTCATAAGCGTGTTGCTTTTCCATAATTTGGTGTCTAGTGTTTTCAAATGTGGTTAAACTGCTCTTTATTTAAACATTTTTGTAGAAATTTCGAATTTATTTATTTAATTTTCATTACCATTAGGATGTAAAAAACGAAAAAAAAATTATAGGCCATTTAAGTTTTCACTATTATTTAAGATTTCACTATATTTCACGAATGTTATATGAATTTTGTTGCATTATATAGATTCAGTACTCTTGTAACAAATCATAAAAAACATTTACTACATACATTTTCTTCGTTCAAAAACAATTTAAATGATCACGCGATTGTTGAGTTGGGTCACTGTAGCTGCTAGGTAACTAATTTTTGTTTCCGATTTTCAAAGCGAAAACGAACTACATATAATAGAAATTTCTCCTCTCTACTAATCAATCCGCCATTATTCATAATTGTTACGCCAAAAATAATGAGAGCCATAAAACCGAATTTTCGATAATTTGCATTTTTTTTTCTTTCTTTTCGCGCCATGCGATTGATAAGATGAAAATCGGAAAACACTTCAAGCAAAAATTGTCTCAAGATGTTTATTTTATTCTCTACACATCAACATTAAATGAATATACGTGAATAGTAGATAATTTGCAGTTCTAGCGCACCTTTTCGATATCTAATTTTCAACAATTTTCAGAAGTAACCAAAAGGTCAAAATGGGTTCCTTTAAAAATGCCATCGAAATAGCGCCTATTCAATTCTAGAATTTCAGAGGAATTGTCATGAGATACTCTTTCTTTTCAATTCTGAGAGAAAAGTAGGAATGGTAAATGTAAACGAGATTATAAACAAAAAATTACGGGAAGCAGCGTTGACATGAGTGTAATTTTAATATACATTCTAATTACTTAATTATTTTATCTACAGTAGAACATCACATCGAGTGCTTAAGATCATCACTATTTTTAACTTTTCTCCATTTTTCGTGCATGATTATTGTACAATGAAATTTAGCTTATTCGATTCCTTTTCTTTGCGAACTGTTGAGAATTACAGCGATGTAGTTCATTCTAAAAATCAGAAATTTGGTATTAGTAGACACATATCCCTTGTTATAATTAAAAAAAAAACATGTTGCATTTAGAATTTTAGAAGAATTTAGGCATTAGAAATTTAAACTAACAAAAATTATAATCAGTTGACAATCACTGGTTCTTTTGCATCATTTTGACCGCATAGAGCCTTCTCAGTTTTAGAAGTTACTGTGAGTAGGAAATGAACTTCGCCGCGTGAAAAAATAATATAAACAACTTCAGACATTTTTGTTGTCTGAAGTGTTTTCCGATTTTCATCTCATAAATCGCAAAGCGAACAAAAAAGATAAAAATGCAAATCCTCAAAAAATTAGGCTCTGTGGCTTTCATTATTTTGTGCCAAACATTATGAATGATGGCTAATTGATCCGTAGAGAGGTGAAATTTCTATTATAGTTCGTTTTTGATTTAAAAATCTGAAACCAAGGATATCAAGCGATTGCGGCCACCCAACCCATTAATCGCGTAAGCTTCATTAAATATATTT